GGGGGGGGGGTCCCTTCGACACTACAACTCTCCTCCTGTGGTTTCCTCAAGGTTTTATTATTTTATTTCTCTTTTTGTGGTTTTTTTTAACCCTTCCTTTCGGTGACCAATCTAAATTCCTTTGATTCAAGATCATATTTGTTCTTACGAGCAAAACGCAAGACTTCTAAATAATAAATATGTAGGAAAATAGTAATAATAATAGCTGTCTACCAAAGCAACTCATGAGCATTCAGGAGAATGGTATGAAAACTTCCAAAATCCCCCGGTCGATAAAGGAAATCAAAGTCTACTCGAGATGTTGTATTTTCAATCACTATAGATAGATACCTCAAGCATCCATGTTCAGTGAACAACTAACTAATCTTATCTGTCCGAGGTACCTATCCTTTGACTGTAAAGACATTCCATCGCCAATGACGCCAGGCTATCCACTGCGTGACACGAATCAAATCAAATCAATATGCAGAGCCCTTTTCTTTTCTCCCACGTCTACTGTAGATAGAAAACAACCAACCCAAGCCAAGCCAGCCTATTCGACCTCTAAACGCAAAGCGCAGTATAGGTACACAGAGCTTCGACCTAGGTACTTATCGCGCTATCCCAGCTGCTGCAGCAGACTCTACCTATCTATCTCCTCTTCCCCTTCCCACCCGGCAGCACGGGCTTTCCATCCGCGCCCCTTCCATAATACATATGCGCACTGAGTTCCCTCTCAGCTCTTCTCTTGCGCGCCATGCGCAACTCGCTCAACTCTTTGGTGATCCGCAACCCATCCTCGACGGCTAGCTGCTGCTGATCATTCGCCCTCGTGCACTCATCCACGCCATCAATCTCCCTATCCAGCTCCGGATCCAGCTCCTGGAACTTTTGGGCGAGGGCCGCAGAGTGTGGGAGCGAGGCGAGCTGGTGGGTGTTCGAGAGGAGGTCTGCTTGGGTTTGGAAGCCGCTGCTGAAGGAGCAGGAGGAGGAGGAGAAGGAGGGGAGCTCGCGTTTGCGCCGGATGACGTAGTGCGTGTTGAGCGCGGCTAGGACGCTGCTGTGGTCATGTAGCTCGAGACTGGATAGGAGTTGCATGGCGTGGTTGTAGATGTCGCGCTTTGATGCGGAGCGGGGCTCTTGGGGGGAGAGTTGGAGATAGCTTGGGGTGAAGATACTGGGTGGTGGCAGCTCGCTCTGTGGGGAGGGAACAGAGGGAGCATCGACATTGCTAGCTGCATTAGATGTCATGCTTGACATGGAGAGTTTTGGTTTGGTGTCAGCGACCTCCTCAGGCTCCTCTACCTCTTCCTGGAAGCGGGGGTGTTGAACGGTGTCAGATACCAAGTGCTCCATGCCATGGCTTGATACTACTGGTAGGTAATCGTTGGTGCTGGTTCCCGCAATGGTATTCGTGAGGATTCTGTCTCGAGTGCGAATTTCGGCCGTGTAGAGGAGACCTCGATTCTGAGAGTTGGTGAGCTCGTAGGTGTTCTCAAATGAGGTGGCTACGGAAACATCCAATGTCCGAGTGGATGGTGTGGATCGAATAGCTTCTTGTCTGAGTTAGTAGACTGAAACTTTGATAGACTCCATGGCGGGAAAGGGGTAGAGAATAAAGAGTATATCTAATAACTTGTGGCTCACTTACGAGGTTCTTCATCTACCGGTAGCTCTGGTAATTTCTTCATGAATCCTATGTAAGACATCTTGCCTAGATCAGTATTAGCAACTACCCGTAGAAGAACATGAATCACAGGAATTGACTGCCGAGAACAAGGGTTGCTCTTGGAAAGACGCCAGTACAAAGCCAAGAGACGCATCTCAACCATGCATATATTCTCTCAGCAAGGTCTAAGTTCAAAAGTTGTCAGGAAATACGCAAAAGCAACTAGCCCTGCGTTCTCAATGAAAAGAGTAGTCTGAGGGTTTGGATAAAAGGTTTCACCAGGCCTTGAGCCAAAGATCGACGTCTCAACCTCTGGAATAAAGCTGATGGCTGAGCCTTCTGTGATAGCGGTGGGACAGGCAGATCGTCCGTCAAAGAATGAGATAAGTTCGATCTAAGCTCTGTGCTTTAGGCAAAACTGTCGTAATGTCCAGACTATAGCAGAACCGCGGGGGAGGATAATTCGATCGCGTACCTAGAGTTGCAGAGTGTGATAGCTCTGCTAAGTAGAATTAGTACATAGTCAACTAATTAGAACACATCGTTGATTAATGAGATGTAGTGCTAATTGACACTCACAAAGAACTAGGGTTGATATACGAACTCACAGGTTTTGTTATGATCTTGTTGGGTGAGGCAAGAGATCGACTGAAGTAAACAGACGCGCGAAGAGAGTTCACCTCCTGGACGGTGTTCTCGCCTGGTCTAAGCGAGTTTTGGAAATCATTCATGATGAGCTGAGTGAATTCTCTCACAGCCGCCTGTCTGGTTGGTTGCTGGAAGCTTCGATATCTGAAGGAGATACGGGAATGTACCTAGGGGCGAGAACTGAGTATCAAAGTGGAAGAGGGGTCGAAGCTATTCGAGTCTATACAGGAGTGAATTGAAGATACTTAGCCATGAGAGAAATGGAGAGCATAGGATTAATCCGCTGGTCTACTTCGGTGAACAATATCGTAGCTGAGCCGCCACGGAAGTATTATCGAGGTTGATCACCAACAAGTCCATAGCTCTGTTCAGGACATCCGCAGGTACGAGAATAAGGGGGGTAGACGGCCGATTGTCCACTATAGCGAGTCCATGTTAGGATCCAACCAAGTAATAGGAAGGAGGCACGCACCAAAATGTTATGATAGGAGAAGAACGGTGTGTTCTATGTCAGTAATGTGCTGGGAGGTTGCCTGTAAGCCGTGTACAATGAGAGAAACGACCAAGGAAGGGATCAAAGTCAATGCTAGAAACTGGAGAGAATAAGTCAATCCTCCGTCTCCCTATCACTCGAGTTCCTATCATATCAGAATCACATCAAATCCATACGAAACACAGCCAGCGAACCCTGTTCTTGCATTGAATATCCTTCGTCAACTAATCAATCCAGTCATCCAAGGTATCTAAGCCAGGAAACTTCCTAGAATCATCATTCGTATTTTCGTATCCACAGAATGGTGCACCATCCATAGAGGTATGACTACCACTCATCACGAGGTGTAGAGTAGAGGAGGGAGAGCCCCGTAAAGTCGTTCGCGAGGGCCCTTATCTATTGCACCAATAAACTTCCTCACGAAGATGCAGACGCAATCAAACGAGGCCATCGTACAGTGACAACGCAGATACAATCGTCTCGTCACGCTTGCTACCCTCCTTGAATTCTTCCATATCCAAACTGCCGTTCTCGTCCTTGTCCATCATGCGGAAGATCTTCCTGACTCGTTTTTCGGGGGTATCTTCATCTGCTGGGAGTTTGACCATTGAGCCGACCTTGTGGTTGAGCATTAGTAAGCTCGGCTGACTTGATAGGGGTTGTGTCGATCCGGCTTTGAAGCCCCGCACGATTCGGCAGCTGGGGCACGTACCATCTTATAAATTGCCTCTACAATAGCCAACATCTCATCATAACTGATCTTTCCGTCGCCATCGATGTCATAAAGCTGGAAAGCCCAGTCAAGCTTATCTTCCATCTTTCCTCTGCTTGTAACACTGAGTGCGCAAATAAACTCCTTGAAATCGATCGACCCAGACTTGTCGCTATCAAAGACATTGAATACGTAATCTGCAAAAGAAGATGGATCCCCGAATGGAAAGAATTGCCGATAGATCTTTTGAAATTCCTCCTTCGTAAGCATGCCGGATGGACAGTCCTTCAAGAAGCCTGAATGTATATCAATAAGAAGCCGCATCTATGACATGGCAAGACATACCTTTATACCATTGCTGCAACTCCTTCTTGTCAAAGTGAGTGGATCGCTGGAGCTCAGTGAGCTGCTCTTGGGAGAGCTTTGATTGTCTAGGTTCTTCTGTTAGTTCTTCTACTTCCACAGCATACGCGACGAGATTTCCAATGTCTGATCTCCTGGGCGTACGTCGGAGTCCGAGAGAGAAACTATCCAAAGAAAGACGCGACTTGAGAGTCTGGAGATGACTTCTGCGCCGGACACCTTGGTCTGAGGCGAGGTTCTGAAGGGAGTGCTTGGACTTCAGATGATTGCTCGCGCGTTTGATTGAAAATTGTCCGAAAGCTTCCTCCATGGATTGAATGCCGACAGTGTGCGCAAGATACTCGAATAGCTTTACGCTCTCTTCGCCGAAGGTCGGGTCTGGAAGGCCGCGCAAAGTCCAGTGAAGGAGCAATGCAGCAAAGATTCCGTAGTTAAGGCCAATGAATAGCTTGAACCAATACTTGCGTTGTCCATAGAAGGGAATTGACCAGACGGCGACGCAGTCCTCCAGAGAGCCAGTTGCCAAGGCCTTCCTCTCCAACCTGATAAGCCTCGGGAGGTGGAAGGGCCTGGGGTCTGTATCGTCGGGGCTCGACATTGCGGACAGTATGATAGTCTGATGCCCCCTTGATAGCAAATAGACTCGGGTTTGTTGCTCTCAGACTCGCGAGGGAATTGCACCATGAGAAGAGCGCATATTGGTGATTGTGCTCTGGTGTTGTGAGGAGGTCCTCTTGTGTGTATTGAAGTAGTCCGCCCATGTTCGCCGAGAAATCGAAATCGAGAGCGATCCAAATAAAATATTCATTTAACTTACGATTTTCCCATGTTGAATTCACTTCGCAACCTTTCCTTGACTCCTACAGCTATGCGGCGACTCTTGGATCAGACTCGTGGATGTCGAGCGCAAATGCGGGAGGGTCGGAAGGCTGAATCGATTCTGTGGCACATGCGACAGTCAGATATGGCTCTGGACAAAGAAGCGCGGGGATGTGACGAACAATTCCTTCGCAGACTGTCTATCGTTGGGTTCAATGCGGGTATGTTGCTATCGTGTGCAATATCAGATCGCGAAATGCAGCTGCTAGGTCGTGAGTGGTGTCGTCGTGGAGGCTGCAAACCAGAGCAGGTCCCGCGGGGGCATCAATCGTGGTCTTGTCTACGTAAGAGGCTGGAGATCATAAAAAGGGAGATCGATATGATATGAGATGGACGTCTGCTGGGCCTGGCCGGCTCTGTTCGTCTAGGTCGTCTAGGCAGATCGTCGAGGGGTTCCAGGGTATAAGTGTTGCATGAAGTGGAGAGTCTTGAGGCAAGACTCGCGAGACGGGCCCCTCGTTTTGTTTGCAGGAAGTTTAGCCTGGAGGGGCAGTTTCGGCCAGTCAGTGAGCTTTTACCGGGGTTTACCGCCAGCCGTCGCAGGGGCTGTGCAGAATTACGGGGGGATTACGGTATTTCTTACTTATCACGGCCGCACGGCGCTTCTGTATTACTTGCTCGCTTCCGGTATGGCGTCAAATCATGTCATGTGCAACTCTGGGACCGCGGAGTGCACATTACCAATTACCTTGCTGCACCTTCAGAAGTCTTGGCCAGACGCTTCCCCATAGAGGCAGGACAAGATAAGATAGGACAGGACATGGCAAGACAAGACAAGGCAACACAAGAGCTCAACAAGAGCTTAAGAAGACATAGCCTTTGTCAAAAGAATAACCAGAAGACAAAGCATCTTGTGGCTGTCGGTTCCTTATAGCTAGGTCAACATGCTCTCTTGATCTTTTCTCTGCCATCAACAAGGTTATTGGCTCTGCTTAATGTGCCTAGTCGTCAAAGTCTTTTATCTACATAGCTATTTAGTACGGCCTTAGCAAGCCGATCGCTGGCAGAGCTGTCAACTAGTTTTGTCTCTCAAGTGTTCTAGATGACATTCTTTCCGATGGCAAGCCTATCATTATTAATCAGAGGATAGTTCTGCTTGCAACCTTTTTCCAACTAGCATGACATACATCTCCCATGACTGAAGCGTGAAGGGTTGAAGACTGTGATTCTAGAAGAAGTTTGGTTGTACATTACAATTCTGTAGCTACACACATTTGCTCCTGTGCTCTCTTGTCTCTATCAACATCATAAATGCATCTTTGAAAGACAGCTACGCGCGGATTTGCTTCATGGAGGAAGACAATGAACTGGAGTAAATGCTGCTTCATAAGACAGCTTTACCTCTGCATGAAAAGATATGAAGGGGTATCAAAGGTCTTGGATGATTCAACATCATAATGGAAATTGCTAAATCACATAGGTAGGCAGGTATTACTGTACTGCTTCGACAATAGGGGAGCTGTCACTGAAAAGACACAAGTCCATGGTCAATACATAGCCGATGTCCCTTGAATAAATGGCCCGCCTTTCGCGCCATGCTATGCTGGAATTGTCCCTGGAGTAGTAGGATTTGATAATATAATAATTGGAATCTCATCCTGTATTGTCTTGCGAGACCTCTCATTGACTATAAATCTCTCTTGACCAGAAATCAGGGATCGGTCAGCTGATTTGGCGAAGAGGACTCTACGCCTGCAGGGATCGCGCTTCCCCATATGGGGCCTCGCTTGCTCACCTGGCTCCTTGCACCTGGAATTTGTTGTGACCTTGCAGTCCCGGCGCAAACAAAACATCGCAGCCTTTCCCAGCATCAGTAGGATTCTACCTACCAACGCCATGAACGAGATAATTGATGGTCGCTTCGAGCGCGTCGAGAATGCTCTAGCCAAATTGATCAATTCAATTTCTGCATACAATCCCTCTCCAGCTCTTGCGACTGACTTGGTAACCGCCGACGCTGAACTCAGTCAAGGTCTCGAACAATGTGTGTCTTGCTTGCTACGTTCCTTTCCCAAAGCTGTACTGATCATGCTATAGTATCAACTCACCAAACGAACTATTCCAGAATTGTGTCTCTGCGTAATACCTCTGCTGCCCTCGACCAGCAAATCAAAGAAACCCTCACCCTCCTCACCGATACGCGACGCGCCCTGCTCAGCACGCCAGCAACCACCTTCCCCGAGGCTACAAACCCAGTCTCATACTCCGAGCTCCTATCTTACGCTCGAAGAATCAGCAAATTCACGTTGCCAAGTACATATCGTGAGCTCGAGACCCCTGGCGAAAACGCCGAAGCAGCAGGCAATACACCGAAAGAAACCAAACCCGAAAGCCAAACCAATGGTGCCGCCACACCAGTAGCAGCAAGCAATGGAGTGGATAAGGACACACAGATGAGCGGTACTGCTGTGGATGGTGACACCGCAACTCCCTCCGCGACGCAGTCACAAACACAGACACAATCTCAGAATACGACTTCCACCGGCACATCTCTCCCTGAAGGCTACACGCAATTCCTCAATCCTCTTGCTGATATTCCCTTCATCCCATGGCCAACAGAGGAACATATGAGAAGGGGTGTCTTGGCTAGTATACAAGTATTATTAGATCAGAACATCGATCCCGCGACATTTGATCCGGCAAAGAGCGCCGAGTTAGAGGAGGAGCGGAAGAGGGTTGCCGAAGAGGAAGACAGGGCTAGAGAAGAGGAGAAGGCAAGGATGGAGGAGGAGAGAAGGATTGAGATGGAAAGGAGGGCGAGTGTTAGTGGGAACTCTGCTGCACCAGCGAGAGAGCAGGAACGACCAAGCGTGTTCCAGTTGGAGACATTTGATGACGACGAGGAGTCTGATTGAGGGCTAGTCCTGGGGGGAACGGAAAAGTAAATGTGTAAAGAACTATCAATACGTGGAAGCGGGCTCTTGATGGAAGATTACTTCTCTATCTTCTGCGAATATTCCTATATAGGCTTGAACATGAGATATAATGATTATCATTGGCTGAAACAACTGCACCCCTGAATTCTAACTACTGGAAGGAACTTGCAGGCTTAACAAAACCTCTCCCTCGTTCACGAGGACTGTTCTAATTGATCGGGACTCCCTATGAAAATGCTCCATTTTAATTTCTCCATCGAACCCAAAACCCCTAACAGGCGCAACGCCATCGTGGCTTCACGCTCAGAAAGCCAGCTCCTATAATACAATCAATGCATTGGCATTCAAGCAGACTCGTCTTCTCATAATCATTCCTTTCCTGTACATCACCATCTCTTCTAGTCAATCTTGATTGACCCGTAGATCTTCTGCACGAATGCCCAGCTCGCGAAGTATCCGATGGTGCCTAGCAGGACTGTTAATATCGGCGTGCATTTCTAGGGAGACGCAGGGAACACTTACCCGTAAGTATAAAGAATAGGAAAGAAATCAACAAGCTGTATCCAATGTACAGTACGCTGCCCACGAACCCTCCTAGGTGCAACTTCGTAATCCAGTAAATCAACGCGTTTGCAAATACGTATCCCGCCGAGGCACCGGCTGTCAGGAACGCTCTCCAATGCCAGTGGTAGTTCTCGCTGCAGAGCAAGAAGTACACCATGAGTATAGTGACTGCTGCGCAGGTGATGATCATGAGACAGTAGCAGATAAAGAGGAAACCGAACATGTAGTAGACCTTGCTGAACCAAATTGACGACATAATGAAGTATAGCTCTACAAAGATGGCGCCAAATGGTAGGATACCAACAAGGAGCATTGAGGGGATAGGTCGCATGTATGTTGAGCTTGGAGGAATTTGACGAGGGATTTGGTTGGTGCGAACAGGCGCCGAGATGGCTGGTTGGCGGAAACCGACCCAGCTTCCGGCAAAGGATAGGGGAACGGAGATCAAGAACCAGATACCCACGATCACAAGCATCGTGGTGAAGGGAACAGCACCAGATGATTGCTTAGCCCAGAGAAAGAGATTGAGCAAAAAGAACGTGCTGAAGACTATTCCTGGGACAAGGAGAGGCGTGAGGCCAATGTTGAGCTTCCACTTTTCACCGCCCAGGGTCTTGTAAACGCGCGCCGAGACATAGCCACCTATGAAGCCGAGAAGCGTGTATAGCAAAATCATGATCGTGCCAAGAGATCCACGATTCGAGGGCGAAAGAAACCCGAGAAGCGCGAATACAATGGTAAAACCCGCCATAACGAAAAGCTGTGCCCCATTACCGAGGAACACACTCAGTATGAGTGGATGCTTGGGAGTGCGGAAGACATCTCCATGTACCAATTTCCAGCCGGAATCTTCTTGCACGCCATCCTCAATCGCAGCTGATGTCCCTGATAAGTCATCCAGGTTGATCGAATCCAAGCGGTTGTACCGTTGGATATCCTTTTTCAAGGCTCGCACAAGAACGGAGAACACCGTGATAGTCAGGAAGACAACAATGACGGCAGAATTTATGAGCGAAAACCAGTGGATCTTCGGGTCAAAGACGTGTAGGTATTTGTCCCATCTGGTCGCCCAGGCGGTGGCCGAAGGCCTCCAGTAAACACTGTATGTCCACTGTACCTCCGTCTCCCCATTTTCATTAAGGGTCAAGGGAGGGCCTCCTATTCCACAGCTTCCCTGAGCATCTCCTTCACCATCTTTCTGTGACCTTCGCGAATCAGGTTGAACAATAACCCCGACCACTCGCAACTGGCCTGGCGTAACCTCATGATAATCAATCAGGATATCATAGTGGTTGTTCAGATGCATATCCTGCTCGTCATTCTGCCCCAGCGCAAACCCCTGGCTGTAGAACTTCGTCTTCGTAACCTCGTCCTCGATCAGCTGCCCGGCAGGCAGCCCGTCAATGAGCCAATTCAAAGCAAACCCCTGCGCTATCCTCCTATTGACAAAATGGGAGGAGCTCTGATCGAACTTTTCTGTGCATAGAGACTTACATGTCTCATTAACTCCCATCTTTAACTCGAAAGGGGAGGACATTATCCTGTCACCGAATATTATGCTACCCAGACTTTCTGCCACATGTTTTGGTTCAGGTTTCGGTCTGCAAAAATGGAAGGCTGGATGGTAATAATCGAAGGAGACAACTGATCGCAGTGTTCCATCTATGTTCGAGCCTATGGGTGTGAGGCGATTGACGTGAAGAGGTACTAAATCTCCTGGCTTATATGACGTTGGCGCAACACCTGGAAGGTAGAAGGCCGAGGATATCTCTGGGGCTGCGAGAAGCGCAATCAGCGCCGCGGACGGCGTAAGATCCCATAAACGCATGGTTGATAGTACCTGTAAATAATAATCAAGTTAGAATGAATGTTGAAGCTTGGATTGCTTCGAAGCCAGCTAGAAAGGAGAGCTTACGAATTTAAAGATCCCCTTATTGACTTGGCATCAGATGCCTCGACAACTGTCGCGCTATACTAATGAACCATATGCTGAATTATCCAATATATTGGAGTTATTCGCAAATGTTCAATTGCAGAGCAGATTGACGTGGTCTGAACGAGAGATTATGTAGGTGAAGTCCGAAGGGGACCTCATTTGGCGCCTCCCTGGGAATTATTATCTGGCTCTAACTATTTTCGGCCGAACGTTTCGCCGATATGCGCTAAAGTTCTTGGATTTCGGAAAATAAAAATAAATTTATATTTCCTTGCAGCCTCATTTTCCAGAACGACAACGCTGAATATGGCACTGGAAACCTCCCTTCCAGCGTTGCTGGAAACACTCACTAAATCATTAACTACCTCATCTGAATCTTCAGAGAAGGTTCCATCTCTTCTTCCTCCCAAAGACGGAATATCTCTCCTCGACGTCAAAAACGAACTTTTCCTCTCCTACCTACAAAATCTCGTCTTCCTCATCCTCTTGAAATTGCGGAATCGCAAAGATAGTTCCGAAGAAGAAAAGGGAGAAGACTTGGATAACTTAGTTGTCCGAAAATTGGTCGAGCTGTCAGTCTATATTGAAAGAGGTGTCTTGAGATTGGAAGGCCAATTGAAATACCAAATCGATAAGGTCCTCCGCGCGGCTCAAGATGCCGCAAACACCGCAAAAATAAATGGGGCGGCGAAGAGAACCAATGGAGTCGAAGAGAGTGACGAAGAAGATGAGGATGAAGAGGAGGATAGTGAGGCGGAGTCTGCAGATGGAGGGGTAGCTCTCAAGGCATCTGAAATCGACGACCTGCAATACCGGCCCAACCCTTCTGCGCTCGTGCGACCATCATTTGGCGCCGAACCTGAGAATAATAAATCAGAAGATGGAATTTACAGACCACCGCGCATTCAACCAACCGCTATGCCGACCACGGAACGCCGAGAGAAGGAGTCTAGGAAACCGAATAAATCCGCTACGCTGGATGAGTATATCGATACGGAACTATCGACTGCGCCATTAGCGGAGCCCAGTATCGGAAGTAGGATAATTCAGGGAGGACGAAGGACCAAGAGCGATAAGGAAAGAAGAGAGGAGGAGGAGAGGAGAGAATATGAGGAGAGGAACTATGTGAGATTGCCTAAAGAGAGTAAGAAAGAAAGAGCGAAGAAAGGAGGAAGGAGGGACGCGGGATATGGTGGAGAGGAATGGAGAGGCCTGGGAGAGGGTGTTGATAGGATTGAGAGGTTGACTAAGAGGAAGGGCGGGGACGCGAGAAGTGTGCTGGAGAAAAGCCGGAAGAGATCTACTGAAGATAGGCCTAGAGGAAGCGGTGTGGCGGAGGTTGGAGAAGGTTTCCAGAAACGCCTCAAGGCTCTGGATGGCGGAAGAAGAGATAGAGGACGAAGGTAGAACAGTTGGTTGGTTTGTTTCAAAGGCGCAAGGGATTTAAAAAATGATTCGGAGGTACAAAAGCAGTGGTATGGAGTATATATCACTTTCATGGCCCAAAAGTGGCCACATAATAAATTAAATGCAGTGATCTCAAGCTTGTTGACTAGTGCTGGCGTGAGGGCAGGACTGGCCGCAAACACTCTTCAATACAGAGAATACCACCCTAGGCTTCCTGGGTATACGAGTACGGAGAGAAGGAGGTTGAGGGCTGGAGTCAAGGCACATGAAAGGACCTACAAGGAGCTGCTGCGAAATGTGCATGCAGGAGAAGTCTACCTATCTAGTCTATCCCATCATGCGTCGGACGTGAAAGGCAAAAGAGCAGATTGACCATTTAACTTGAGACTGCATGTCCTACATCGAGGCCCTCTGGGAGGAAATGGTTATTCAGATATGAGATTTTGATTATCAAAATTTCTTTTAGTCAGTTGGAGTACTTTAGATACCTTATATGGCTTTAAGAAAGAAAGAAAGAAAGGGGTATATTATACTAGTCCCAATTAGGAGTTACCCCTGAGTGCATACCTACCTAGGTACGTGAATCCTATTCCAACATTCAATCGCCTTAAGATACCGCAACTTGTTGCCTTTTAACTAATGAAAGGGTTTAGTTAACTAATATCTTATTACAACTTATAGTACAAGCTGAGAGTACTAACATGGAGGAGTGTCCAGTAATTGCAAACGAGTTTTGCCGCAGTTCTATATGCTTTTATGTACCTGCATTTCGACTTCCATGTTCCGCGTAAATGCACTGCCTGCCAGTAACCACCCTAAACTCACTCATGCAGCCAAACCCTCAACTCTTGTATCTCTTGCCTACCACGCCACCTAGAAACTTTGCCCAAGATCATAGTTATCTCCATTATTATATCCTAACTTCTCCCTCAGTCGATCCTCGGCTTCAACAACATGTTTGGGCAGACTTTTTCCAATCCCGAAGAATACAAAGAAAGCCCACTTCCATCTAAAAGGATTGATGACAATGCAAAACACGAACCACCATACCAATTCCGAGTATGTGAAGAAATCAAATGCACCTGTCGGACTGAAGCGTTTGAGAAAACGCGTCATGTCTATCCAGCGTTCCATCCAGAAAGGAGATGGACGGGTCCTGCTATCCACCAGAAAGGTAAGAAGCATTCTGGTGAGAATACCAATATGCCAGTTTCCTACGGTTCCGATTGCGTTGATGTAGGTGCAGTTATTGCAACATACCGAAGGGTGTTGGGGCGGAAACGTCTGTAGATACCAGTTGGGAGGGCCATATGGCTCTTCGAAGCAGTCTTCGGGAAGGAAATCCAGAGAAGGTCGATCAAACCCAGTGGCGATGACTACCATATCTCCTTTGATGATCTTTTCTTTTCCTGGGCCGCCCTTTGGGACACCTTTGGCCCTTATGTTGACTTTCACTCCATCCTCCACGAAGCCCTTTATGTCACATCGTAACCATTCCGCTTTGCCGGTTCGAATCTTGTCCATAACATCGGAGTTGACCATAGGCGTACCAGTGAAGAGACCCTTATCACTGGGAGCAAGATCCTCGAGGTCTCTGTAAAAGAACTTTCGGAGCAGCGTTTCAGGGATCCAAGAGAACATAGTCTCCCCGCCAAATATATTGAAAGCCAATAAAATGTCAACAAGAGGATTGCGAGGAATGATCCATTTGTCTGAACGAGAAAGGATGTATGTTTTGTCAGCATCCTCGTGGGTTGCAAATTCCAGAGCTTCCACAGCGCTAGCTCCACCTCCAATGACAATTATGTTCTTTCCTTTCGCCTGCTTGCCGGTCAATGCTGATGAATGGTAGATCTCTCCCTTGAAGTTTTGCTGCCCCGGGATGGATGGTATTTTTGGTTCGCCGCACGTCCCGACTGCGGCAATAATACCTTCAAACCGTCCCTCAGAAGGGTTATTGATGATCCAACGTCCTTTCTCATCTTGGTAGACCTTCTCAACTCGAGTATTGAATTTCGTCTTTTCCTCTAGACCGTATCGCTCCCATAGCTGTGTGATTTGGCTGACAATCTGCTGGCGGTTGGGATATCCACCCTTCCACTGGACAGAAGGATGGAATCGGTACATAATGGAGTGTATTTGAAGACCGGAAGTATTATTCACACGCTGAATCAATCAATCAGCTTCAATTGACCAAGGCGGGGTAGTTTTCAATTTACACTCCATATTCCACCAAGGTTTTCCCTTGGACCTGCCTCGAAAATCTCAACGTCAAACCCATGGCCAACACAGTGAGAAGCTGCAGATACGCCGGTCAGTCCAGCACCAATGATGGCAATCTTGGGTCTCCCAAGCTTTTCCCCTGGTTGCGGGGGGCTGGGAGCCAACAGTTTGCCTAGCACCCATTGGATGACCTGGTAGATGAACAGAAACGGATGAAAGATTAGATTCCCCATGACAGTTGAGGCTTAAGAAGACAACTGATTCAAATAATTCAAAGGATCGAATAAGAAAATTATGATGAGGGCGGTATTTGAGCTTGCCCTGAGCTTACCTTACCTTACTGCTAAATGCATGACGTAGTCGGACTTTCGTCGCATGTGAAAATGGATCTGCCCCACCTATGACGTTCGCGTGGTAAAACGAGAACCACAAGAAATCACAGCTGGATCAGAGAATATCTATCCCGTAGTCAAAATCGAAGATCAGTTTGTAGACAAGAGCTTGAAACTTGTTATATATAAGGGAAATTGCATCACTACATAGGGCTGCAAATGCTGGGTTTTTCTTAGGCAATTGAATGGGTTTTGTTTTAACCCCTGGTCACTGACTACTAACTTGCTTTTGATCAGCAAACAAACTGCCCACATGTGAAATTCTGATATTCCAGTTCCTTGATTTTCTTAGACTAAAAGTTGTTGGTTGAATAATCAATATGTACCTGCACTCTCTAAAAGAAGCTGAGTGTGCATTAAAAAGGCGAAGAGGAGCGGATGTGAGGGACATTTGACGGTCAAGGTATAGCTATACAAATAGTGGTTTAAAACACATTTCTTCTAACTAAAGAGATGGTCCGGCCTCTTGATAAAGCTGTATTATCAGTTCTACAGAGGTATGATATTAAGTAGGTGGATACCTGATATGGGCTAGTCAGGGGTTCGCCGCCGCATGTCAAGAAGTTCCGTTCTGGTGCCTGGTTCCTCGCTCTTTAGTCAAAACAACGCTTAATTACCTCAGTCAACATGTTCGTCGCGCCATGTAACCATTGCTATCCAGAAACGTCCAACTAAGAACAGTCTTAAAAACCATATCCAACGTTGAAGAAAGTTTTCTGACTGGTCAGAAGAGCATATAAGGAGCCTTCTCCTCCTAATTAGCCTCGGCGTGCTATGAGTGGGTATTCAAGTTGGTCTGAATTCAAGGCACTTGCCCTAGGATGCTGTTTTTGAAAACAATGTAAGCAGATGAAGGCGATCAAATATAAATTAAGCCAGTATTGGAAACGAGTGTCCTTTTCTTCAGATCCTACTTATCTATGCTTTTAGCATAGCCGTTATCGTGAGCAGAGTATAAAACATGTGCCACCGAAAATCAAATGAATGACTCCGTAAGCATCGCAAATCGCCTGACGCCAACGCTACGCTCCATGGATATCAAAGTTGCTGCTGGGCCATGATCTTGAAGATGCATCAATCGCTAACCTACTATTTTTCCCTTTAATGCAATTCCAATCAGGCTTGTCCTCGCTCGGTCACTGTCCATCTGCGCTTGTGACCCGCCTCGCGCATTTTCTCAGCTTCACCAGGTGGTCTCGGGCTGCCCCAAAGACCTAATGGTGCCACTTGATCTTCTTCCTCTTTCCTATTCTCTATAGCGATAGCCTTCTTCTCGCGTTCGATTGGTGAAGAGACAGCATTCTCGTCCCCGAAATTCAAGATCATTTGATCCTCCGCATCCCCGGTTTCTTCCTCCTGCGCTGACGGGGCACTCCACAGACCCATAGAACTTCTTTTGTTTGAAACATAGCTCCTCGGCCTTGAGGTTGCAACGCTAGATGTCCGACGAAGACCGCCAAAATTGTCTCCTGTAGCCACGGACCGTCCAGGCTTACCAAAGCTTGTTCCATCCATAGATGCTGCAACAGGATTGAACCGTTCACGAAATGGAGGAAGTGCTGAGGCTGACGCGGCCCTAGAGGACGACGGCATAGCTGTTGACATAGTGCGTAGATGTTCTGTATTTGCGACAAGCTTAACTTCGTATTCATCAGAGACACTTAAATTCCTCGAGTTGGCCCGAGAACGTGAATCTGGGGTCGCCCCAGGACTGGAAGTTGGAGTACCGACGGGAATCGGCTTCCGAACTGCCATTGTAAGTGATGCCATACCAACATCCAATAAGACTGGCTGGTTTGTCAAAGCTCCAATGAGAGCATTGCACCCAGCACCATGTGTTACCAGAATGATCACTAGATCAGTATCTTCATCCTCTGATCCTTCACTTCCAGTACTGTTACGTTCAGAACTGGCTGACGTCTTCGTCGAAAGTCTGTCTGGATTGTCGGTCTCTTTGTACCATGTGACCATGTCCTGCAAGCCTTTCCGAAACCTTTTATGCATGGAGCTCCACTCTTCACCATACTCGCCACCGTTACCCCAGTGCTGGGGCTCGCGCATACTATCCCACTGGTAGTCTACATCGACGCAGGCATCTCGAGCATGTGCCACAAATCCAGGCGGGATCGGCTCGGAATTCGAGATTGGATAGATTGGAATAGGGGGCTGGTAGGTTCCGTGCTCTGTCGACGCTGATATGGTCAAGTTATTTGGAGACTTGCCTCTATTTCGGCTCCCGCTAGCCCCTACACTACTGAGACTGTTCGTGCGGTCTCGCCGGGGAAGTGATTGGGCAAGGCTAGAAAGGTTGGAAAGAGGTCCTTCATCTTCTTCCTTCTCGTGATGCATTGTGGGGCTTTGCCATCCACCGGGGAACCCTCGTGGCTGGTGAGCCGGCAAGTCTCGAGCGTATGTTAGATTGCTGTAATCTTCCCGTCGTAGTAGATCTGCTTTTGCACCTGCCACCATCATAATCGAACTGGGAGGAGGCGTAATATATTCGAAATAATCTGGTGATAGCCATTCTCCGAGGAAGGCATCGACACGAATAGTTGATGTCTTGATATTCTCTGGTTGCTCGTTCGGTTTAGAATTCGCTTTAACAGAAGAAGGCTCTGGGATTGGAGCTAGCTTCGGAGAGCTCGTAGACGCTGCCGGGGATGCATTTCGTGATGGATGGCTGTGTGAGGACTTGCTTGCATGAGATCGGGAGGAGGGCCGATGGTGACCGGGGTTCTGGGAGAGGCCTGCGCTAATGGCGACAGAGGTTTGAACGCAGCGTAGGAAGGGCGACGTATGTATAATGACCTTGTGTCTTCGTCTTCTCCCCTTCCCTCCCTTCTGATCCTCGGAACCATTTGTAACGGGCAAATCGTCGGTCTCCCGGGTTCGTAGGATACTCGCTATGCGGGCGCCAAGGGCTCTCGATTGAGACCAGCCGCCGTAGGTGAGGGGAGGATCATAGGGAGTCGGTGATGTGAGATGCCACTGTTTGTCTGCAGCATCAAGTCGCGCACCGTGTCTGTAGTTCCATTAGAAGAGATTCTGAAGACCATTTCGCCACTGCTGTGCACTGCTGGCACAGCTTGTTTACGAGGAAAGAAGATCGATCATATAGACAGACTCTGAACAGACTGAAAGAACTCGAGAAAAGAGCTTACCTGACGACAATAACAACAGCAGGTGGCCAGCCCATCACATTGGTGGTCCGATCCCAATTCGAAAAGGAGGTTGTTTTTTTGACTTGTAGATTTCCCGTCAATGCACTCCGTAGCAGTTATGCGGGGCAGTTTTAATGGCATGTGGAGGCGCCATTTAGCCTTATGACTAAGGCAGCCGATTTGTAACCCACGCGAAATCAGGGGTATACTCCGTAGGGGCCCGCCTCCGTCTATTTACAGCCATTTCGTTTACTGGATCAAACACAACATTAAACATGAAGCTGGATATTCTTTTCCAGTTGCCTGTGGCTCTGGCGCTGCTGGCTTCTATGCCAGTAGCTGCTGAACACACAAGCAATTGGGCAGTGTTGGTATCGACGTCGAGGTTCTGGTTCAATTATAGACATCTGGCTAATGTCCTCTCGTTATATCGAACCGTCAAGAGACTGGGCATCCCGGACTCCCAAATCATCCTCATGCTGCCTGATGATATGGCATGCAACCCACGGAATGCTTTCCCTGGGACCGTCTACAGTAATGCGGATCGAGCCGTCGACTTATACGGCGACAATATCGAGGTGGATTACCGGGGATACGAAGTGACGGTTGAGAATTTCATACGATTATTGACGGATCGAGTTGGAGAGGAGATGCCAAGGAGCAAGAGGCTTTTGACGGACGATCGAAGCAACATCTTGGTGTACATGACTGGACATGGTGGGAATGAGTTTCTGAAGTTCCAGGATGCCGAGGAGATCAGCGCGTTCGATTTAGCAGATGCATTTGAACAGATGTGGGAGAAAAAGAGGTATGCAGGGCTATGAGTCGTGACTGGGCTACTACTGACAAAGATAGATATCACGAGATTCTCTTCATGATCGATACATGCCAGGCGAATACTATGTATAGCAAATTCTATTCCCCGAATATTATCGCCACCGGATCCTCCGAGATCGACCAATCTTCATACTCCCATCATGCCGATAACGATGTTGGGGTGGCTGTCATTGACCGGTACACGTATTATAACCTCGACTTCCTTGAGACCCATGTCCGGGAGCCCAGCAGCAAGAAGACGCTGGGCGATCTGTTCGACAGCTATGATGAGGCAAAGATACACTCACATCCTGGTATCAGATGGGACTTGTTTCCCGGTGGAGAACAGGGCGGGAGGGATAGGCTATTAATGGACTTCTTCGGCAATGTGCAGAATGTCGAGGTCAACAGTGTTGTGAATGACACTGAGTGGAAAGAGGATTTGCTGGCCCTAGGCAAGAAGATTGCGGAGTTACGGGAACGGGCTGAAGCGGATGAAGCTGCGGAAAGAAATGTCAGTACGGCTGAGCCGCTGCTAAAGAATCATTCCTCGCAGAGAATTCGGGCGGCGAAGGTGGAAATTGACGGCAAATGGTGGGAAAAGAAGGCTATCGGCGCATGGACATTGGCAGGCTGTTCATTGGTTTGGTTGGCAGCGACGTATATGGAGTCTTGATACATTAGGTACCTTAATACCCCTAGAGCATAATTAATTCTGTTTAAAAGAAACCAAGCAGTCATTCAAGATGGTACTCGTCCCGGGGTATTGATGCCATGTTATGGCTCTATCCGTAGGGGGGAAGGAGATCCACGTTTGAGAGGACCATCGCCCTCTTTCCTGTCTATCCGGCTTACCTTAGCTGGCATTCAATCTGGGAGGTAAACCTGTCTAGGTAGTTGTTACACCATAAGCTTCCAAATCATGGATGCGCTCGTATTTAAACTCTTTCTATACCCAGATGCAGCCTTGTTCTAGAGATTGCTTCCCGAACTATCTCAGAGCCCTTTCGCTCTAGGACGTTCATGCATCCAGGATGGCACCATGAGCCTGGACCGTTTGATTGGTAGCTGCGCTGGATAGTTTCTCTGACATCCTCAATAGATGGGCACAATTCGACTTAGCCATTGGAAGTTGATGTCCGATATCTTTGAGAGAAGGTAGGAATTATTGTATTTATGATAGTGATCCGATGTGCGAGAAGCTGGCTCAAATATCGGAGCCCCAGCACTAGACACTAACATTGTTGTTGCCTGTTGGATCTGAGGATTAAAGACAAGAAGTTAGGGGTTTCAACTTCGGGGCTTGAAGTAGATGCAGTTCAAAGATAAACTGACAACAGCACAGCACTGATAAAGCAGGGCTGACAGAAGACCATGGGAGTCCACATCCAATTTGGATGCTATATAGCTAGTTTGAACAAACAGGGCAAACCCTCCCTTTTTGGACCCATCCCATTGTGGCGACCCCTTCTACTTCTCATAACACAGAAAGTATGTGCCTACATGACGAGGAGCATTGATACCAGCTTTGGGGGACAAGATCCAGCTTGTTGTTTATGTGAGCTCTGGAAGGCCTCAAGGCGCGTGTCTATTACGCTATTACCTACCTGTATGCAATTATGCCACACAAAACGTGCCAGCGCCCCCAAACGCGTTCTGAACAAGCCCAGACAGAGATTGGATGTAAAAAGAGGGAGGGTAAGGGAGGAAGCAATTGCCAGAGATTATCATCTCCGCTCGGGGAGTGAATAGCTTCGGATGAGTTCATGCCTCTGATGAACTCGTGGATCATGCATAACTGATCCATCTGCACTCATGCATGGCCTGGGTGGGCAACTTGGGCACGTCGGAGCATATAGTTCTTTCTTGAATCAAGATATGATCCCAAATAGAACGGAGACTATACCAGTTATAGTGACTTGGGATCAAAGCGGTGTGCTTCGCTTTTGTGTCTCGCTACAAGGCGGTCGCTTCGCGGATAGCTTCAACGCGCTTGATTCCAGAGAGGGGGTAAACAACAACAATCGCCACCAAAAAGAAAAGAAAACTTGACTCGAGGAAATAAATTCAAAAAATAGATAAAAACAGCAAAAAAGGGTGGACAACTGCCGCATCTGCGACTCCCCGAAGGAAGAGCTGCGTATGGGACAACTAGTTGCAAATCAAAGACCGGCTCCATTGTGGCACCTCCTGTCCGAGGACGGCAGGAGAACTGATCGGCCTCTTAGAGAAGAACAATAGCAGCTCACAAACAGTTTTGAAACATAAAACCTTATTTTTATATATAACACACCTTCCCAAATTCAGCACCCCCACCCAAATTTCCCCAACGGCGCATCAATACTTCATTGATTGAAAATTTGGACACAAAGCTGGCTCAATATTTCAAATCACTAAAGTAATTATTTGAAATCGACAGTCAAGTGCTTGTTCATGCCCCTGTTCTCCCCAAAACCCGAGGTTTCGATATCTCCTGTATAGATACAATTCAAAGGAAGCAAGTGCAGGTTTATAGATAACACAGTATGACATCATGATAATATTGGAAGGCGCAAGTTGCGAGTTTCAAGTTGACTCTAAAGCCGAGAAGATCAAGGGGCGCAGATCTCAGCAGCGTTACTGTTTTTCTGACCGCCTGACGCCTCGTCCAATATACCAATAAAGCAAAAATATTACATGTGCAGGACAAAATATGGGAAGCTATCCCCAAGATCTCCAAGTTGCGAATTGAGGCAGGTGGGAAAGGGGGAAGGTATCCCAGATCACGTGACCACATGCCACTTGAGTCAATGTCTTGAAAGGGGTAGAAATTTGCCTTCAGCCACTTGCTTTAAGACAGTTCAAGTTGTTCTTTTCAAGATGACAGATGTAGTGCAAATTATTCAAACGCTAAACTGCAGTGCGCGAGAGCCACAGTCGAAACCGTGAAAGGGTGAAGTGTATGGTTTTTGCAGTTGGCTCGGCTTCGAGCTTCCCCTGGCAATGGTCACTGATATCTTCAGGACATAGTAGATAGAGTTGCATGGCCGTATCATTTACCTCTCCAGACAAAGTTTCTGGGTCGATGGAGCCAGATGCAGTTATGAAAATTTTCTTTCCGGCAGTGCACAGGGCAGAGCAGCCGCGCGTTGTCGGAAACACAGGCCATCGCCGGGTATAAATAATTCAGCATGCCTCAACAATACCACTTTGAATGTTATGGGAGGTTGGTTGCCTGCAGACTTTGCATTTAGGTAGAGAAGGGATTTTGCAAAGCAGTTTCGAGTGATGCATGAGGTGAGGTTAGGCTTCTAGTGAGGCTCGGCGGAAACACTAACCGGAAATACGCGGGGTAGGGATCTACGTTTGATCTGGACCAAAGGAGGGCCTGGAATTAGAAGCACAAAATAGGGAAGAATAAGAGAAGGTAGGATATTATAGGAATTGTAACATTAAAAGATTGCTAGGTTTGCTCTTGGGAAATTCCGGGAAAATTGAAACGGATGCGTCTCATATTGGACGAGAAGTGAGATCCAATCACCCATCGATCCTGAGCAATCTACAGAGATATCGAGCTACGTGAAAAGTCAGAGTCTACCTATATGAAGAATGATGAACCGTGGTGCGGTGAGAAGCGCCGAAAAATCAATGAATCACTGCAAACACTTCTGTAATTGAAGTCGGCCTTCGACAATCATTTTCTTCATAGGCGAGCAAAATAAAAAGAACGTAGAAGATCGTAAATCTATATTCCATATAGTGCTAGGCTTCTCCAAACACGGTCTTTCAGTCATGACCCTCCCAGGTCGTAAAGTGATATTATATACAATGCATCGACCTTCCTTGCCTCGTCTCGCGGTCCATACTCCTTTCTATCCAAAAGTCTTGTTCATGAACTGATGAGCTAACTCAACTCCCAAGAATGTTGCGGCATTTGCTGGCACGGCTCGTGCAAGCGCTGGCCCAAACCCTGGGAAGAACGCCTTAAACCCTCCGTTTTTGTATAACGCACTGATGACTCCGCCTACAGTTGGTTTCCCTTCCATGGTCTGCAGCCTTGACTTCACTGTATCCACTGGGAACACTGGAATCCACATAGCCACACCAGCGGCTGCACCAGCACTTGTGATTGCCAGGAGACTCAGATCTCCGCTTGGCTTTCCGGTTGATGGATCGATGGGTGTGAGACCCCTCTTGATGTATTCGTAGGCAGCGAAGTATGCAGCAGAACCAGGTCCATCTCTTGCCAATGTAGCAAAGGATCCACGGAATACTGAACGAACACCACCCTCCTTGTACAATTGACGAACAACGTCCAACCCGCCACTGTATTTTGGTTTCTCGCCAGGTGCGAGCTGTTTTTGTCCCTGGATTTGGAGCAGGACCTTTACGCGCTCGAAAGGTGCGGTGATAAGCGTCATAGGAATGGCAGAGAAGAAACCTGCGGCTGAGATTTGGGCAATGGAGTACTGGTTGTCGTGGACAGTAGATAAGTGGCGGACGAGATTCTTGCCAACATCATAACCCCAGAACGAGACGGCAACTGTTGGGGCACATTAGTCGAGGCCTGTCTTGCGCACAAAGGAGGAACATACACATAGGAGTAACGCCCACCAACGGCGCACTAACACCTGCATACAGCCCTTTCCCCAGTCCATCTTTTGCGACACTCTTCCGTACGACATCGATCGCACTCTTGTAAACGCCCCGTTCTGCGGTTTGCAATCGTACCTTGACCAAGTCAAAGGGGTGCCCAACGATGACAGCACACACACCACCGAAACCCCCGGCTACCAAGCTCCTTAAGCCCGAGAAGGACGATTCCTTTACTTCTCGCACATCCTCTTTCAACTGCTCCTTCGTTTCTGGGAGATGGGGGACTTTTTCGGCGATTGCTGGCGGTAGACTGTCAATCCCTTTGTTGATTTGCACGGTGGGGGAGGAGGAAGGCATGGCGAAGAGAATAGAGGAGGCGCAGGAGGAGACTGCGGCAGAGAAGTGAAGAAGATTTTATAGCGTTGCGAGTTGAACGGTAGGAATGTGAACGTGGGGCCCGGACGGCTGGGGTCTTAACTCAAGAGATGCCTCGGCTTATGGACATACTCCGTAGTTTGAGACTGATGGTGGAGAAGAACTGGGGAAGCCGAAAGCCGAGGAGGCTGGCGAATTAGCCGTGCGAGCCTCAGGATCCAAAGGACCCTTATCGAGGACCACCTACGGATCTCAATCATCTCTTACATACCTCCTTCAAAGACAGGTTCATATTGGCCGGGGTAATCATGCTCTCATCCACCAGGGGCCGGAGCACTCGCCCGCATGAACGGAACCTCGAGCATCACTACAGCACCCCCCTACCTGATGATGCCGGGAAGGGCAGCTCGCAGCGGGGGAACGGAAAATATCCTCCATGCATGTTCACCCAGTCGCGTTGAACCACATAGTTTGACAGCTAAGCGCTCTATATCGCTATCAACTATCAGAGTTTACAGCGCATGGCGTGTCGCCAGGTGCGGTGAGTATACTATGTAAGTATTCTGCTCTTGTCTCTTTTTCTTCTTGAACGTCAGACCCTCTGGTCAATGCCGGAATCCTTCCAAAATATGCCTCCTACTTCTCGGCCTCCCTTGTCAAGCCGTATTTTCCGGTCCGGCCCCGACAGAAAACGCAGCGCTGAAGGTACAAGACCTACGGAGGTGGATGGATTTGTGACGCAAGATCCCGAAGCGCTGCGATCTATCATCGATCAAGCCATCAACAGCGAAACTTTTCTGAATGCGATCGCAGCGAACCTGGCGAAGTTGATAAAGCCATCGATTAAGACGGCGTTGGATACCATACAGCCAGTGGTAGAGACAGTCTACAACCACGAAGTCTTACTCCGGAAGACGAACCGGAGTGTGGAAAATATTTTAGAGCGGCTGGATTCTGTTGCTGAGACAGGTAATCTTGGACCTATCGATGCGGAAGGGGAGGGACCTTCGATATCTCGAACACTCCGCAACAAATCAAACGGCGGATTGACTTCTGCTTTTGGTGTCGAAGACATCAAACACTTGGTCGAACAAAACAATGCACAAAATGCAGCAAAGCTTTCGGAGCTATTGGGCTCAGTGGAAGCAAACAATGCCAAAATTATAGAGGTGATCGAGGGTATCCATGGAATGAATGCTGCATTGGGACCGACCGAAGAAGTTCTGGATGCTATGAAAGACTTATCGGAGCAATCGAATAATAAAGCTTTAGTTATGCAAGGACAATTGGATCAACTGAAAGCAGACATTGGAAATGTCATAAGTGCGGTCGGCTCTGACCTCGGCAGCAATGTCAAAGCAATCGATCAAAAGATCGCCAGTCAGGACACTTTACTCCTATCATCGCATACTGCAAAGCTTGATTCTATTTCTACGGACCTAGAAGCTTTGAAGCGGCAGTCCAACGCTTTGGAGGCGCTTCAATATATTTCTGCTAAGCTTGAAGCATTGCAGGAGAGTGTTCAAGCTGGCATCTCCTCTAGCAATGACAGCTTTGCTATCATTGCGCCCAAAATCAGCAATGTCCTCACAGCGATCAATGCACAATCCAACATCTTAGCAGAAATCAAGGCAGGAGATTCCAGTACCGAGATATTGGCAGCTGTGAAAAAGTCAAATGACTTGCACCAGTCTCATACAGCAGTGTTGAGGGAGATCAATGATAGGAGCGTCTCAGTTGGAATTGAATCTGCTCCAGCCAATATCAGTTCAGAGTTAGAGACACTGCATGCTCTCTCTGCAGACCTTACTTCTTTGAAAGAAAGCATCAAGCTCGGCCTAACCTCCAATACCGAGAACTTGACCGATTTAGGAACAAAGCTTGACGATGTTTTTACAACGCTTGAAGCACACAGGGTGGCAGACCCAAGCCCGGAGATCTTAGCTGCTGTTCAGAAATCGAATGCTTCACACGCAGCTCATGCAATAGCCCTGGATGAGATCAAGGCCCTCAGTGTCTCTCCTGTTCCTGTCAGAAGTGATAGTGATAATCTGAGCTTAGAGCCACAGATTGCTGCCATCGTAACCACTCTCGGCACTCACACTTCAGTTTTGGAAGAGATTAAGACTTCTTCAGTTTCCAACACTGGCCCCGTGCCACCAAGTTTCCAAAGTGAAGCTCTAGAAACTAATATTAGTACCATCATCAACATGCTCGACTCCCATACCGGCCTTCTGACCGAACTCAAAGATGACGTTGGCGCTGAGATACTGACTATTCTTCATGATATCAACGAGACGCATACCGGTCAGAATGCTATACTTGCAGAGATCAGAGAATCTGATGTTAGCGATGAAATATTGACTGCGCTGCATACGTCCAATGATTCGCATACGAGTCACACTGCGACGTTAAATGACATTCATGCTGCAGTGAAGGCATCTAATGATTCGCTTGTTTCTCATGCAGCCACTTTGAAGGAAATCGAGGACGCCACTGCCACCTCCAACGAATTCCACAACTCTCACACTGCCAGCCTAGCAGATCTCAAGGAGATAGCTACTGGCTCAATGGAAGCCCCCTCTTCTCATAGTTCTACTCTGGCCGAAATAAAGGATGCTACTAAGTCCTCGAATGATCTCCATGCCTCACATATCACTGCTTTAACAGAACTCAAAGCCACCCATACTGGAAGTCCACCCGATGCTGGAAAAATTGCTGACCTTAGTACACTGAACGCACAAATCAACGACATCACAGCTGCTCTTGAAATCTTAGCTAAAGATGGAGTCGCAAACCCAGAACTTCTCGCCATAATCAAAAAGTCCAATGAGTTGATTACCGTCAATCATGAGTTACTTGTTTCTCAGACCGCCCTTCTTGATTCGGTCAAGAAGAGCAACTCCCGGGAAGACATCCTTGACAATATTGCTTCCTTGAAATTAATCATCGAGGAATCGAAGGCTGGGATTGATGCCCATGGTGCTTTAGTGAAAGATCTTCAAGAAGCGACAAAAGCGTCGCATTCAGGAATCACTCATAGTATCGAAGCATTGGCCTTAGGCGGCGCAGCGGGAGCTGGAGCAGAGTTGACAACCCCCAAGGACGATGTCAGCAGGAATACGGCCGAGATACTCGAGGAGATGAAAGCCGTTCGTACAATTGTTGATAAATCGTCTGCAACACTCAACTCGACGGATCAGTCAATTACATCGATGGCGGCTCAACTTGATATTAACCATACTACTGTTATAACTAGCATAACAGCTCTGAGTGACGAACTGAAATCCGAGATTGATGCTAGTGGGACAGAGATCACGGATTCAGTTACAGCGTTGAGTGGGGAAGTTAAAAACGTTGGTTTGAACGTTTTGGGCAATGCTATTGAGAAATCTGGGAAGAATGTTGAGACTTTGACGGCAGTTGTCGAAGAACTTAGTAGAAGTCTTACGGCCTCGGCAGGTACTGGAGACCATGCCGTGGAACGTGGACGGGACATGCCTTTGAAGCAGGAGGATGAGGGGCAGTTAAATGAAAACGTTGTTGCCATAGCTGCAAGTGCAGCTGATGATATTACACCCCAGCATTTGGAGGAGAGTCATGGGAAGGAAGAACCTGAGAGCCTTGAGCCAGCCGCCAAAGAAGTCGAACCAGTAATTGAGAGTGAGCCCGCCCAAGAGAGCATTCCGGAAGCTGCCGAGAAGCATCTCGATATTCCCAAAGCGGCGGAGGGCGAAACCATCCACGAAGAAGAGGCACCTGGGATCACGCCTAAGCATGAGAAGGTACCGGTTCAGGAGGCACCAGTTCAGGAGGCACCAGTTCAGGAGGCACCAGTTCAGGAGGCACCAGTTCAGGAGGCACCAGTTCAGGAGGCACCAGTTCAGGAGGCACCAGTTCAGGAGGCACCAGTTCAGGAGGCACCAGTTCAGGAGGCGCTGGTTCAAGAAGAAGCACCTGCACAAGAGGATAAACTAGCCCACGAAGATGCTTAAAGCACCACTTACTTTACTTTCTCCCCCATACGTATATTGGAACGGATACTCATTAGGAAATTATACCCTTTGCAAAGGGCGTTCGTTAGTTATCAAACAAATTCATCATTCATCTAACCATATCATCATCTATCCCTCTCCACTCCACTCTCCTCCCTTCCTAACCCAAACCCCTCTATCCTCCTTCCCCAAACTTTTAAATCTGAAGACACATCCCCAATATTTCCCAAATCCCTCAATTCATTCAACATCTATCTCTCCCTGCTGAAGCTCTGACGCCCCCTTTTCCATACATAAGATAAGGTATCTTCATGAGCTGAAGAAAACGCGTGTCGTGGAAACATGGGGATATGTATATAAGAACGATCGAGTGGATGAATTGAGCATGCGGCATGTATACGTCTACCGTGTCATGCGGTAGGAAGGTAGGAAGCCATGCAGATGGCAAGAGATGGATCGAAGATGCGGATGCGGATGCGGATGGTTAGATAGGTAGGGGATAGAGATTGCGGGGTAGGTAGTGTGAGTTATTAAAACGGGAACAAGGGGGAGTTACTTACTGTAAGCCCGCCGGCGGTGTTGGATTGTTGTAGGTATGTAGGTACCTAGTGAAAGATAAAGCAAGTATCCTTTTGACTTGAATCTCTTATTCTCATGTACTTGGAGACTAGACTGTTCCTGCACAAAGTAAGGGAACGTGTAGCTTTGTGTACATGGTATCATTGAATAAGTATCTAAATGCTGTTGTTTTCATCCCATCCCTCCACAACTTGGCTATCCTACCACCAAGTCCTGATATATATATATTGAGAGAGAGCCATCCAATCCAATCAACTGAATCTCGAGGAGGAAGATCGACTCGAGCTCCCCCCGCACCAGCAAGTGGTATCCCCATCCTTCTCTACCTGCACCACAACATCCATGCCATGACCCTGCAAGAAAGCTCTTGTCCTTTCCCTTACGTCATCGAGATCTGATCCCCGGGTTGCGATGATGTGTATCACGCCAAGCACTTGCTCGTTCTCACTGTCAGGGATTTTGTCGCCCATCCAAAAACGGGGGACGCAGTAGTTGGCGACACCACGGAGGTCGCTCACTCCGGCAAGGGTGTTCCGGAGGTTATATTCAACCCCATCTGGGACTGTGAGGAGAAGCTTTTTGGCACTGCTCTTGATGAGAGGAATCGACGACATGAAGATCAGGATAGCGATTACACAGGATGCCAATGGATCCCAACCATTCCACCCTACCAAGTAGATCAGAGCAGTAGAAACCATGACCGCAGCACTGCCCATAGTATCCGCGAGAACATGGAGCCAGATACCATGCATATTTTCGTTTTCGTGTGAGTGCGAATGCCCGACATGAGATGTTGCGGGATGCTTATCAGAAAGCAGTGGGGAATGGTTGCCATGATCGTGGTCGTGGTCATGACCATGATCATGGTCATGCCCATGGTGGTCATGCGAATGTGCATGGGAGTGCCCATGGCTATGGCTCCCGTGATCATGGCCAGCATGGCCATGGTGCCCGAAACACGCCATTCCAACCAGATTGACTGCCAATCCAAGACCACTAACCACGAAAAGTTCCATGAGCCGCTTCGTCTCGCGGCCTTCCGCAAGCCTCTCTGTTGCCTCGATCATAATCTCAATGCTTATCAGCCTAAAGAAGGTCAGCAAGAATGTAGCCATCCAGCCGAAAGTGCTCCTACATCAAAAACACCCCGTTTCCAAACCCCGATAGACTCTCGATCTTCCCAAACCCATATGGGAACCGTTCGCTAGCAGGCCACTTGCTAGCTACTGCTGCAAAGAGCCCCACCGCTAGAGCTAAACAGTCAAAAAACATATGTATGCTGTCGCTGAGGAGCCCGAGAGAATCGGTCAGAAAGCCGTAGCAGGCCTGGATTATCATGAATGCAAAATTCAGGCTAGATGTTGTCAGCATCTCTAGCTATATTTTCGAGGAGTAACGCACCTCATGAAGTAGAAGATCCTCCGGGAGTCCTTCTCTGCTAGGATCGAGTGGAGGAGGGGCCATCGTAGCGCCAGAGGAAGGACAAAGCTTGTGAATCTCGACTGCGGTTCCGCTGCGGCAACAGTTGGTCGGTTATGTCCATGATTATGTCCATGATTATGTCCATAATGATCATGCTCGTGGAGCGGGATATTGTCAGTCTTTACTGGAGACGCGTTTGGATCGAATTGTGGTAACGTTTGTTTTCCTGAGGCTTCGACATAGGGTGAGGTTCCTCGTTCATGACTATGGCTATGGCTATGGCTATGTGAATGCTCATGGCCATGGTCATGATGTGATTCCGAGTATGAATAGGAATGCAGGCTTCCGTTCGACCGCTCTTGTTTCAGTGATATCGGCGTGTTGGCGGAATATGACAACTGTCGGCTCGGGGAACGCGAGTGCGAGTGCGCGTGCGAATGGGAATGGGCGTGGCCATGGTGGCTATGGGTCATGGCTGAAGCTGGCAGAACATAGGAAGAAGCCATACTCTGGCTACCAGCTTCTGCTATCGAGCGTTGAGGCCCGGGGCGTGATATCTCCTCCCCATGCGTTGTTGCAGGACGGGACTGGTGTGCGCGCCGGGGCGAGCGTTTTGACGGATATATACCAATGCTTTCAGCGAGACGATGCCACTGCGAAGGGCGGAGACAAGAAGACAACGCGACGGGAGGGGTCGTCGTTGAAGGAGTTAGAGTGACGGGAAGAAAGGTGGAAGTCTATAATAGAGGCCGTCGTACTGTAAGGTACAATGCACTACTGAGATATGGATCGCTCCGGGACCCACCGCCCTGGGAATAAGAATCCTGGGAATAATCCGGGCCGAGCGCTGATAGGCCAACCACCGAATACTTTAATCGAGGCGTCAACGAGCTACCTTATCACCAGAACCTCACAGCGTCACAGACTCACAGTAGTACTCGCCCCGCGTCAGGGGTCCCCGCATTGCGCCATGGCGACACCAAAAGCCACAACTCTCAAGGATCAAAGATCATGCACGCTGCTTCTCTTCGACTCCTGCCGCGGCCATCGCGTTATGGCAAGCTGAGGGCCTCCTCTCTACCCAAATCTCCCTCTGCTCACAACCAAGCTGAGCACAAGGATGGCGTCCAAAAGAATAAGCTGGTCAATTCGATACGTCGGGACATTTGTGAAGCTACAGAGGAACGCGTCTATACCTACGAAGATGTAGATATTGAGGCATTTGAAAGGGTCGCAGGGTTTGACCGCGGAGCGCTTGCTGCATTCCTAGAGAGAAAGAACCCCACGTATGTAGTTTGATCCCTAACTATGAGCATTTTGGCTAACATTTATCAAAATATTAGCCTCACTTATAACTCTGTGCTCAAAACCTTCGAATTAGTTGTGATGCCGTCTAAGCTCCACAATTGTCCTCTCGCATGGCTAAATACTGCCATGGGGATCTTGTTTAGGGATGGATTTTTCACCCCCCAAGAGTGGCTGAAACTTCGCGTTCAAGGTAACAGCAGTAAGTGGTCCTGTTGCCTTCCGTCTTAGTCAACCCTCTGTCTACAATGCTAATAGAAGTATTTAGGATTCAGCGACTTCGATATCCCATACAGATCGTCACGAAAAGAACCAGACGGATGTATCGTACCAGCCGGAATGTCGCTTCCAACGCTGGTCATAGAAAGTGGTTTGACTGAGAGCCGGCGGAAACTACACCGAGATCGCGATTTATGGCTACAAGGTGGTGCGGGATCTGTCCAAGTTGTGCTCGTAGCAAAATGGACGAAAGATGCCGCAAAGAAAATAAGAGGGGATATCGAAGTGTTTGATTTAGGCCCGATGGGAACTGCGCGATCACTGCAGAAAGAAGTAAGCTGCCAAGTTGCTGATTCTTTTTCTGATAACTAACATAAACATTACAGGTTATTTTTCCTGCTCCGCCTGCACAGATTGCCCTTGGCCAGACGATCTCTCTAACAAAGCGGCACCTTTTTGGGTCTACCCTCCCGGCCGTCCAAGATCCTGGGTTACTCGCGCATCTCGATCTCAATCTGTTTCGTGAGATTGCGGATGAGTATATAAGATGCGAGGATTGTGTTCCGGCTTCGTAGCTCTCCATCTGAGCACTTTTCTCTGATTCCAGGGGGGTTTGTTCGTACTTTTCTGGTCACCTGCCTGCATGTTCTCGGTAGAGAAATAGAAAAAACAACTCCAATGTAATTCAAATCCATTCATATCGTCCGTTTTCCTTTCTAATTAATTTGGCATATAATGAAAGATCGAGCTCTGCATCTGGGTCGTGTGAACTTGTCGGGAGAGATGTATAGAGAGCGTATGTCGTTTATATAGATCTATCCATAATTCAAACACCGTGAAAATGAACTTCTTGTCGACGTTTATGTATTCCTTTTATTCCTCTTCCATATCATCGTCTTCTTCCGGTAAAGAACTATACGAAGATAAGGTACCTTAGTAATGTCCCGAGGCTAGGTTGACAAGGATGTGCTCCTAAATGGCGACACTCGCTAGGCCAATAGAACGGAAAACCGACAAGATGTATATATCAGATTGTCAATAGGCAAAGAGCAAAAAGAGCAACAATGCACCCTTGATCAACTTGCAATAGAAGTTGAGGAAAATTTAAGGTAGGAGATCTTTATCATGCGAGGGAAAGAATGTGAAAAGCGGCGTCGACTGATGCCGAAAAGAGCCTCATTTTCCCCGACTTACACACTCCCGTATAGGAGGTAGCCTTGTCTGCGCCTTTGAGGCAATCTCAACGTTACAATGCTGGACTCCCTCTTGACGGTGGCAGTGGTAGCCTCCACTTCTCTGACTATAGTCCTCCTGCTGCTGCCAAGCCGATATATCAAATCCTCACCCTCGAGAGAGACGGCATCCGGACCAGGGAGTGAGCCCAAAGTCTCCGTCCAAGTGCTGGTCCTCGGAGACATTGGGCGCAGCCCGCGGATGCAATACCATGCTATGAGCATAGCAAAACACGGCGGCAGGGTAGATATTATAGGATACAGGGGTATGAAGTTTCTCTATATGTCTCAATGTTTGGCTCATGTAAAACCAGAATCCGCGCTTCATCCCGGGCTTGTCGATAACAACCTAATAACGATTGTGCCGTTACCTCCTCCGCCTCAAATCCTCCGATCGAATACGCTACCGTTCATACTCGCAGGACCTCTGAAAGTGCTATGGCAGATATGGACTCTCTTCCAAGCACTTAGCTACCGCACAAAGCCAGCGCGATGGCTTCTTGTACAAGTGCGCTCCACCCCTTCGCCCTCTTGTGGCTTTCACTGACGGCCTCCAGAATCCCCCTTCAATACCAACCCTCTTTGTCGCAATAGTAGTCTGCTTTCTCCGAAATACCCACCTAATAATCGACTGGCACAATTATGGTTGGACAATTCTCGCAGGTACCCGGGGTCCTTCACACCCCTTCGTCACTCTCTCCAAGTACTATGAGGCCTTTCTCGGCCGCTGGGCTCCTACAGCCTCATTCACAGTCACACACGCCATGGCGCGACAACTCCGGAATGAGCCATACAACATCCGTTCTCCGATCTTCACATTGCATGACCGACCTGCTGCCATTTTCCAACCTATAGCTAGTCCCGAGGCGCGGCATACTTTTCTAAAACGTTTGCCGGAGACGAACAAATATGCGCAGGATATCATTACCGGAAAAACAAGGTTGTTGGTGAGCAGCACATCATGGACGCCAGACGAAGATTTCAGTCTCCTTCTCGAAGCATTGTGCTCGTATTCTTCGTCCTCCACGTCCAAGCCACTTCCTTCAATACTCGCTATCATTACCGGTAAAGGACCCCAGAAACAAATGTACCTTGACCGGATATCCTCCCTCACCAAATCCTCCAAACTCAACAACGTTACCGTCTCTACTGCTTGGCTTAGCGCCGAAGACTATGCCACCTTGTTGGCATGCGCAGACTTAGGAGTCTGTTTGCATAAGAGTAGCAGTGGGGTCGATTTACCCATGAAGGTGGTGGATATGTTTGGAGCAGGCTTGCCGGTAGTAGGATATGAAGCTTACGAGAGCTGGATCGAGTTGGTCAAGGAGGGTGTGAATGGGAGAGGTTTCGTGACGAGTGGAGACTTAGCTCGGGTTCTCGAGGAGTTGTTTAGAGACCAGGAGGGGAGGGAGCTAGCGATATTGAGAAAAGGGGCAGTAGAGGAAGGAAGGAGGCGGTGGGACGAGGAGTGGGATAGTGTTGCGGGAAGACTTATTGGCATATGTGATCAGACCTAAGAGGAAGAAGGCAAACATGATCCTAAGACTGGGTGGCTCTTATCAATAAAGCATCCGATCGATTACTGACCTCGATAGTAGAACTCTGACATCCATTTTCGAATTACTAATTATAGCTAAACTCTGAATCACTAAGGCAGGGACTCCCCCTCACATCTTTAGAAGCAGAATTGTGCTTATGATAAGTATAAATACTCTTCATAGATTGATGGATTCTAGACATCGTTATAGAATACCTGAAATCGCCGGTATATTCGCTATGATGAAGATGCCGCTAAGAAGCATATATGTCGACTTGAGTCCCAACCCACCACCGACTCGCCATATGAACGCCCTGTAACAGAATGTCTTCCGCCCTCCCCTTCTTGCAAGATACTTCCCCAACACCTAATCCTCACCCAGACTCTCCCTGACCGCCTTCCGACAGAGTCTCTTGAACTCTTTACTGCCCTCCTTCTCCTCCCTCCACAACCGCGCCGCCTCCACATTCGCCGGACTCTCATCATTCGGGCTATGCAGCAGGCTGATGACGCTCAGGAGGATCGTTTCCGGGGTCTGGACTGGGGACCATCGTTCCGCTGCTGATTCATATCCGTATTGGTCATCCTCGGGCGGGTGCAGGATCGAGATGCAGAGGAGGCCGGAGGGGTAGATATTCGGATGGAATGGTATGGGGGATTTGAACGTCAGGGAGGGAGGGAGGAGGGGGTAATTAGGCGGAAAGGTAAGAATGCAGCGGAAATTTCCTCCTACGGACAAGTCAGTACAAGAGCGGATTCGGTGGAGGAGTTGAGAAGGGATCGATTCACCTCCGTAGTATTTACAGTCGTCACTGATCATGAGCATGACTTCCCACTCAAATACGTTGTCATTCACAAGCCCGCAGGAGATCCCTGGCAGGTCCTTCGCAGTTTGCATGTATTTGAGTTGCCGGCGGAGGAGGCCGGCCGCTCCTGATGATTGTGCCATTCTGTGGGTGTAAGTGTTGGGAGAGCAGTGAAGAGGAGGAATGGTGGCTCGCGGTGGGCCAAGATCCTCGGTGTCTCTTGCACTCAATGAGTCCCAGATAAGACCTCCGAGACTTGGTGAAGGTGGGAGAATATGGGAGACAAGAATGGGAGTTGGCGTGACCCGAGAAGCGACGAGTAGCTCCGATTGACCTTCTGATGGGTTGACGGCGCTTTAGTGTGTCTTAGAATTATGGATTTTAATCATCTGCTTGCGGGAAGTAGAACCGCGGTAGACAAATGTAGTGGAAGTGATATCGGGTGAGCGTCGTCGTTCTAGATTGTGAGGTCTCTCAAGTGGCACGAGGCTATAATAGCTTTGGTGGGGTCGCTTCCGCCTTTCCAACATCAACGACAATTGCTTGCTTCATCAACACCTCTTCTTCCTGTTCGCCTAGTGAGATGTATATGTGTATATTTCTGGGAGGAATAGAGGAGCCATTCCTTTGATCAGCCTGGTATATTTTGAAGGCGGCCGTTATATCCTTCATTTAGCCTTCGGAGCTTCCTCCAGCCAACAAAGCTGGCCTCGGCATTGGCGCGAGGCTATTTACCTACCGCAGCGCACATTCCACCTCCTCTTGGTGAGAAGGAACATCGCACCTCTGCGTCATCAAAGCAGTTGGCAGAGTCTAAGCAATGTACAAGCTTTCTCTCAATCTCAAATCATTGATACATACAGTCTTGAAGTAATGACTTCAAATACCGCAGACGGATTCCGCCTTGAAGATTGGACAACTCCGTGCCTCTCGAACATAACCATCCAGCCTGAACTTCTGAAGACGAATTGCCCACTCGACAATGGCAGACTCGAACGATGCACAATCTACTAGCCCGTTACACGCAGAAGGGAGGCTTTTCGATATTGGGAACCTGCGAGCTGTTCCTGTGGAGATTAGTTACCTATTCGATTCGCAGCTTTCTCAACTTGCAGAGGTCAATAGACTTCAGGGGCTATTAGCTTGGGAACTATTTGGACCTTTCCTGGATATATCTACTTGTCGTCAATAATGCCTCACCTGGGCCATCAATTCTGATGATGATATTGTCTTTACCAATATCTGTGGCAAAGCTAAAGTTGAACCCAAATTCCAAGACGATGCGCGCATTGCCTACGAGCTTGAGTCTGCCTAGCCAATATACCGAGATTGAAAGGAGATACAGGAGGCGAATTTATTCACTGCGAGTGCGAGTGCAATCGATCGTGGCTACTGAATGGCGCGGTAGAATTCCCATAGAGTATCATGGCACAGGTAAGGACTTCTGGGCGTCTCCTCTGCAATGATGGCTACAGGCCTCCTCTTTGCAGTTCAGTGCATCAACGGCAGGATGACAATCACCTGATTTCATATCGGTTCATGGCAGCGGTGCGGACTCCTGCTTCGGACCAAAAGTCCAGACAGCTAAACTAGGGAGTTGCTTACCAAGGTTGCCTTCTGGGACCCAGAGACGAGTATCGTGAATCTTACGAGTGGGATACTTTATACTCTGCTGCTGGGCTATCTAGAGCACTTCCAGTAATGTGACGTCCACTGGTACACTCGCAGACATGTGCCAGATGGCAGAAGAGCAGCGGCGCTCTCATTGTCAATTCTTGGCTTTTCTAGAGATTAAAGAACTGAAGAGTACTTCATCTCGAGATTTGACGCTGGAATCCATCGGGTCCAGCTGACTCGATATAGCACGGGGGTTTGCGACAACAAAGTCCAAGTGTACATTTATCAACCTCGCGTCACAAGTTAATAGGTTACCCCGCATAGATCCCGCCTTGCGAGAACATATAATAAGCAGGGCTCATTGGATTCCTGCTGGTATCACGCAATGTGCAACGACTCTTTCGCAACAACCAAGTGGCAGTTGTTTCCTTCTATTTCTAATCATGCTTATCTGGTTGCATTTCAAATCAGTCTTGTGCTGTATTCTTAATATATATACATCCTACAGATAAGTCTCGAATTCCGTTCTTTCATTGTTCTCAAATCCCATTCAAGACAACTCGCCTTCATATATCACTCTCAACTCTATAAATTACTCTCTGCTATCATGGCTTCTATTGCACAGTCCCAAGGAGTTGCTCCGCATCTCTTGTCCCCCGTTGGCAACCAAGTCTCTGTTGCTGAACCAGTGTCTCGGACCACCCAAATCTTGAAGCCACGAGATGTTACTGCAGCCTTCAACTACTACAAAGACCCAGCCGATGGATCCCCTCCACGGCCAAACTATGTTAACGACCCCGGTAGCTACGTGCGTGAACATATTACCCAGCAGCAGCTTGTTCATGACATCCGTGGAAACGAAGACAAATATACCTTAGACACTACTGGTTTCCAGATCGTCAAACATGAGAGCGTTGAAAAGGACTTCTTGGATGATGAACAAATCAAGAGGGTTTACTATCCAGAGACTGAAGAGCTCTTGAAGAAGGTGTAAGTTTGCCCCTTCATCCCCCCTCTTCCCCCCTTCTCCCATCCCGGTCACTAACGACTAACTTTAGCACCGGCGCTTCCAAGATCTTTATCTTCGACCATACCATCCGTCGTCAACCTATCGACACCCGCGCCAAAGCAGAAGAAGGCGCACCGCCTCCCCCAAGTCTCCGTGGACCAGTCCAGAGAGTCCACATCGACCAGTCCTACGCGGCGGCTCCAGACCGTGTTAACTTCCACCTTCCCGATGAGGCAGAGACCCTCCTCAAAGGCCGCTACCAGATAATCAACGTCTGGCGACCCATCAAGACCATCTTCAAAGACCCATTGGGCATCGCAGCCGCCGACAGCGTGCAGGATGACGAGCTGGTCCCCATCAAGCTCATCTACCCCCACCGCGTTGGTGAAACGCTCTCAGTTCGGCCGGCAAAGGAAAGCCGAACGGATGGCGGACATCAGTGGTATTACGTATCGAGACAGGCGCCGAATGAGGTTACGTTGATCAAGTGCTTTGATTCTAAGACTGACGGACGGGCGAGGAGGGTTCCTCATAGTGCATTTGAGGATGAGGAATACAAGAATGAGGCGACGAGGGAGAGTATTGAGGTTCGGGCCTTGGTGTTCCACCCTGATGATACTGATTAAGATTGTTACGGTTATGATATATATGATGGAAGATTGGCCTAGCGTATATGCGGAATGATGGAATATGTTTTAAACTTGAGTTGTTCTTGAGCATGAACGTCCTAATAACGTGAACAGAGGACAACGAAATGTCGTAAGCCATCGAGGACCTTCAGACGAAGATGAATTCTATGGGACGATCGATCTTGAGAGGTATGAGATAGAAAGTACGTGATGTACAGTGAGGTTGTTTTGTTTCGAGATTCTGTCAAAGTACATAGGATCTAATACAAGCCTACACTCACTTGGAGGTACGCACCAGGCTATCAACGACGATCTCGCCTGTAGACCTTCGGGAGGAACTGTCTCTGGCTTCGAATTTTCTGTGTGGCCGAATGGCGCTGACGGACGGCATGATCGTATCCCTGCTCTCCAAAGTCTTCGTCCGACTGTCGTTAATCTGAGCAGTAACCAGACGTACATGTGGGATTTCGTTGATGCTTCTCGCGTTAGCCCAACTCAACCACCACTCCCCACTGGTCGCGCAATGCCGCTCAGATTGACAACTCCGCCCATTCCTCCTTTGCGCTCCCCCTGGACCCAACCTGGGACTTCGGTGTCTCGGCCATCGCTCTCGGCTCTCTCTTTCAGGACACTCCATACTGTCGGGAAGCCGGCATTTAAAGGTCCACCTCTTTGCTTGGAGCCCAGGATTGCGAATTTCCCTTGGTTGTGACTGATGAAGCCATGCAGTAAGCCCTGCTGCACCAAACTTGCAACAATGGCCTCGATCTCTACTAAATTCGGCATCTTGTTTCCAAACACCGTGCCTTGGTGAGCAACAAGCCTCTTCCTGTTAGAAGGAGGAACAAGGTCTGGTGTCTTCATGAATAATGAATTTGGATGAGTTCTTCCGGATTGCATTAATGCCATTGAATCGACCGGTCTTTGCCATCCTTCTAAGACCTTTTGGCAGTATTGCGCCGCAGCGACCAGGTCTACCAGATCGAGTGTTGGTGCTTTGCGGGAATTAGGATCGGTTGGAAATTGGTAAGTCAACAGGAAGACCCGACGGGCGAGAGAACGCCATACGAGTACTTCACATCTGTGTAGCAATGGCAGGAGGATACCTTTCTTGAAGAACCACTGCTCATTGCCGGATTCGGGCCCTAAGGCATGTTTAAAGGCCACGAGATCTCCTTTCCGAATAGCTTTGGTGATAGGAGCGAATTTCTCGAGAATGCCTGCTGCCTCGGGCCGTGCCATGATTTGGGGGGAAGGGAATCGACCGAGTATCATATTTACGGAAATGAGGTAGATGAGTATGAGGCGTCTTTGGTTCGTGCATTTAGCGTGGCATTGGCTGTATGCGGATTCGAGACATAGTTGAGCTCGGTAGAAGTGGTTATTTGAGAAGAGAAAGCGGCCGAGGTAGTAGAGATATGTAACTCGTTGACTGGCGGGGTAGAGTGCTAATGGGGGCGAGTGCTGGGATATGTTGGTGAAGAGTTGGTTTGCTAGTCGAGTCTTCCGGCACTATACGATGTTCATAGGGATTCCGTCTGCTTGGAGATGCCAAAGACATACCTGAAAGAGCAACTTCAGGACCAAGTTTGCGAACGAATATATGCCCACTTTCTTCCCCTCGGGCTTGCCATCTTTCCCAATTCCGTTCCGATTCGAGCTCCTCTCTGTCAAACACATGGTAAAGGCTCTTTGTATGGACTCTGCTGTGCCCTCAACCAATGATTTCCTAGTCTCGCCTTGATCGACGTTGGCAACTTTGCGGAGTCGACTCGTTAAGTCTGGTCTCTTATCGAGCAACATGGCAAGTTTTGCCAGGCTAAAGCACAGTTGAATAGCGGTTGGCAGGATGATAATGCCATATTGTGAATTCGATAAGGCGGTAATGCAAGCACTGGAGGGCCCTGGTTATGAAACGGTCATGAGCGGCGAAAGGGTGACATACTTGGCAAGCCCGCTCAGCTGTGAATGCGTCTCCAGCAGATCATCAAAGTTCACATCTCTCCAATATTCCAGATATTCTTTTATGAAAGCTAGGAAGCCTGGCCAGACATCCCCTTCGTCAGCCTTGTCGTCGTCATTCTCTGGAAGCAGATTCGTGATGTGTTGCTCGAGGACATTGCTGTCGCGGTATGACGCCCTCAGTTCCTGACTCAATTGAAGAAAATTATTGGGTAGTTGCGGGTCCGGTTCGACTCGAAGGTAGAACTGCAGTTCGGTGGAATTCTTTGCTCGAAGGAGCCCCAGAATGGATTTGAGATATTCGTCGACGATAGCCATGGCTGCGAAAGGTAATTAGGTGGTGTCGTCGGGGTGTGAGGGGGAATCAAACTTGGAGCGTTCCATAGTAGAGTTGAGTATCAAGGCGACGCTGGGAGTAAGAAATGGAGCAGCATTTCTGGACAATGGACAATAGGCAATGGGCGAGGCGATAGGAACGTTTCGTGGAGTTGTTTTGGCGATTCTCGAGCTTACCTCTGATTGGTCGCCTGCCTCACAGCCTTCTTCAACCCCGAATGCTGAACCATCATCATGAGAACCTCAGCCTTGACGAGCCAAGAAGAATGAATTCTCTGACAACAACGCACAACGGCCTCAGCATCTTTGAAGATCCACCATGAGATTGACTCATTCGTGTAGAAGAACCCTTATGCCGTTGTCTATCCATAATCGCCAAGAGTTCGTATACTCCTTTTATACTCCCGTTTGAGGTCCGCCAAATGGTCTGGAAAGAAACAGTAGTCAACAAGATCTTGCATCTCAATGCTCGATACCATAAGCAAAATGGCTGTATGGTACTCCCCTCTATTACTTACCATACTGCTGATGAATCAAAACTTTCGACAAGCAACCTAACCGTCACTTACTTTCAGTAGTCCTTTCGTGCCATCAGGTGTAAGACTCGTCCCTTTGTTTTACCTAATACAAGAATAGATAGTTCAATGCTATTGGCTACCTACGCTCCAAAAACATGTTTGGTTTTCTTTTATTCGGACTGCGTTCAGTTCCTTCCGTGGCTCATTCTTCCTCAAAGTTTGGATGCTTCAGGCAGTCTGGCTCAGATGGCGTATGTGGGAGACAAGCTGGGTTCCAGGTCTGGGGAGCTGCTACTAAAAGACCACTCTTCGCAGACGCAGCTGAATAAAATGGAAATTGATCTGATATCACGCTCATGAGCATAATTCATTTGGTTCCTTTGATAGTGTCCATTGTAGTGGCAATTTTGCCTGACGTCTACAAGGATGTACCGAGTACAACATCAATGATGGGCTGTCACTATCTGCTCGTCCTCGAAGTCATACCACCCATATCCCACAACCCCCCCGTCCCCCTCCCCCTCCCCCGTCCCCGTCCCCTTTCCTCCCATTTGCCCCCCTGAGTTTACCCCCACCCCCATTTCGTCCTTCTCCATCTGGTGCTAGTAGTGCTGTCGCAAGAAGCCCCTCCCCGTTGATTCCAACATGAGTGCCTCAGCACTGGTCCAAGCGTCCTCAGTACCAGCCGAACAACAACAACACAGAAGGTCCCGCAGGATCGTTCGCCTATGCCTCCTCAAACAGGTGAGATGCCCCATTCTTCATCGGATGCATACTTGATGCGGAGACGACAATTGAAGGTCCAGCGCTTTTCGAGTCTACCGAAGTAGTCTGCAAAACAGGTCTGGTCAAGTCACTCGAACAGTTTCCACCCTTCTAGAGACAGCCTTCAGTGCACGCCGGAGCGATTCCGTCGGCCCTCATATGAGGAGCTTTCATTGTCAAGTGAAGCATGTAAAAACTGACCAACTTCCGTTTCAGGCGTCCAACACTCGCTTCGATTCCAGGGATTTCCAGAGCAAAATGACTGAGAGAGAGGAGCACCGTCGTAGACACGAGGTTGGTAGAGCCAGGTGCCCCTGACTCTACGCCTCCGGTCATGAATTCTAGGGAGACTCGAGATATCAGCATATTGTCCATCAACAATCCGACGTGCAAATGAAAGACCACTTACCATCTCTCCCATGAGCGCGGACTTCTCCTCAGTCTCCCAACAAGTTGATGGTTGTCTCAAGGTCTGTCAACACTGGTCTTGTTCAAGAAACATCTGTACTTGTCAGTTACCCTCGCCCATTAAGCCCTCAATCCCCGTGGATGGCTTCAATTATCTCCCCTCTTGACAGCAACCGCCTGCGCTACTAACAGCCAGTGGAGCCAGGACCCTATGTCCCCCCCCTCCCCCGTCCCCTTGAGTTGATAAATTCTAAATGAACGTCAGTGAGTGGAAGTTTCAATAATTAGATGACCTCTTACTGTAGTTTTTGAAATATGATTATGTGAACGGAAGCAGGCACCCACGAGACCACCGGTACTAGAGTAGCGATAGAGTTGTGTCGAACTTCGATGATAGATTAGAGCAAAATATCATTCGAGGAGTTGTAAGCGTACCTTATGTGGTTTTTTGGTTTGCATTTTCTCGAGTGATGTGAAGACATGGAAATTAATTGTTTTGGTAAGACATGGCGGTCTCGTGGGTGCAGCATAAATTAGTGGAGGAGATGAATGTGAGATGACTGGTCGAAGAAATTTATTGTCTGATGTGTTAATGTGTTAATGTGTTCATGTGTTGATTAGTTGATGTGTTCATTAGTTGATGTGTTGATTAGTTGATTAGTTGATTAGTTGATTAGTTGATTAGTTGATTAGTTGATTAGTTGATGTGTTGATGTGTTGATGTGTTGATTTTTTTTGTATTTGTTTTGTTTGGTGTAGTGCGTCGAGAAGCTGGTTTTCTGAGTACAAGGCGTTCTGAAATGTTTTGTCGAAGAGTGGATTACTGTATGTAATTTGAGGAGTCGTTACCAAGGGAATAAGTTGGATGTTGTCAATCCCTACCTCCTTCCAGTCGTTCGTCAACCAGTCCTCCCAACATCAAAGACAAGAAGTGGCCAGCTTCATGCCAGTGACGAAGGGGATATGGTTAACTAAGACTGTGGGGAGGTGTTCTGGCTTATTCGCTGGCAGATAGGTATGTTCGTAGATACCACGTGGAGAGACTCGCCGCGGTGGGAACTTGGAGTTGCACGAAAAGTGAGTTTTTCTGCCGTTGACACGATCTATACCCGGTTCCTTGAGCCTGTTCGAGATTAGTGTTGATCGGACTATGATAGAGATATCAAACCTCCTGTGGAGAAAAGAATTTGTTTGGAGTTTTCATAAGAATGTTATTGTGGCTCTCGAGCCTATTAGGAGTTAGTGTTATTCGAACCGTGCTGAAGCTACTAACCTTGTTTTTTTGGTCTCTCTTTACGTGAGGTACGTAGTTAAGTATTCAAGTTGAGAAGAATTGAAAGTTGAAGGATGGTGAATTCGTGAGGAAATTGTATAGACGCAATCGAAGATCTAGAGAGAAAAAGGAGAGGAGTGAGAATAACTCACTTTTGAGTGGCAACTGGTGATAAATGTGTGTAGACTAAAGCACTCACCAAATGCGCCTGAGAGACGTAGACTAGGTAGACCACCATCTGGTAGAAAGTTGTTTGGTCCCGAGATGGATGGTTGGTCTAGCATAGACTGGAGAGGTTATCAAGGTTTGCTCAGTTGACCCAAGCCAGACATTGGGTTACTGATGGGGAACGGAGTGATGAATTAAGAGGAAAGGGCGTGGAGGCAGGGTAGATAAGTGTGAGAGGGTAGAACAGTGAGGGAGGATAGATGAGTGTGAGAGGGTAGAACAGTGAGGGAGGATAGATGAGTGTGAGAGGGTAGAACAGTGACTCAGTGAGAGACAATAAAGAATGGAACTTGGAAGAGGTATGAATCTAATGACCAAGGAAGCAAGAGAGGAGTAGATCGACAAGTAAAGAGGCTTACATGATGTAATATGGAATATGACTTTGATGACTTTGGAGAAGTAGGACTGACACTCACGTATTGAAGATAAAGATCTTGGAGTAATTCAAGAGAGGTTGAGAGCTTTTCTTGTGTTGTTTTCCTCTCGTCCTCTGCTCTCATCTCTTGTTTTGTTCTATGAAGGGGAGGAAGCATAAGAGGCTTGGGATTATGGAGGTTGACCTTGGGACGAGGTTGAGGATATTCGAGTTGGGAAAGGCTTTGTCTCAAGGTTCGGAGAGAAGTTTATATAGTAGTCCAGGAGGGACAAGTGATCTCCACTTCGCTTAAGTGGTTGAAGATGGAATTAAATGATTGGCTAGAGCTTAATTAAAGTTGGCTGAAGATGGAATTATATGATTGGCTAAGACTATCTGTCAAAGCAACGAGGCTACACGTGACAGAGCGGAAGGTGAGATAGTATGCAGCGCGGCGCTCCTAGAAGCACAGAAGGAGTGAAGTTGCGCCATCTTTTATTCTTTATTTTTATTTTTTTGTTAACTGTACCGTGCCTTACGAGAAGACCGTGGCTTGTGGAGTTGCAAGCCATCATAATACCTTACCAGCATTGAGATCGTCGATGAGGTTCTACATCATAGGTCTTTTTAAACCCTCACCACCTTCGAACCGAATGGAAGTGACGAGCAATTTTACTGTACCCATCTACTTACTATGTCTTATAACGCTCTCAAATCCAAGGAGAATATACTAGTAGAATTCCCTGAGAGTGCTCTCAAAGTTTAGTGAGGTCTGATTAACTCGACAACCGGCATTTCATTCCGTTTACACTTGATTTCTTCTTTTGGGATAACCTTTTGCTCCTTTCATTTGGCTTGATGTTTCCCTATCCCGCTGTGTCTATATCAATTGAAGATTAACTTGTACATTACGCTCTCACGGAATTATAATTAGCTATTGGATTTTACCTACGCGCTTTGGAACCTTGCAAAGTTGCAAATCTTCGCCAACCCATGAGGTTGTCTTGCAGAGAACTGACCTGTTCCCACAGAATAGTTAAGAAAGGAAAAGATAACAACAAATCATGTATTTGGCAGCCATAGTAACCGCATCTGCCGTGGTCTTTCTCATGACTTCAACTATAGCCACCTTTTTCGTTGGGGGAATAGCTTCTCGAAAAATCAACGGCCATAAAAATATGTGCTATTCGACTTGGGATTCAACAGTCGTGATGTCTTCCGTCTCAATGGCCATGTGAAGTTGATGACGGGTTCCAGGTAGTATGGTAGCATGTAGTAATGCACTTGCTGCTACTATAATACTTGAGGGTCAATGTCGTGCAAGGTATTGGGGTTCGTAGGATCCTGAAGGCTGCAATTGCGTCTTGCCAGCTCTGCAATAGCAGTAGTTTACTAGTTTCACCACGGTATGAATAATACTACCTCCTAATAGGCTCGAGAGCCACAATAACATTCTTATGAAAGCTTCAAACAAATCCTTCTTATCTCCACGGAAGATTTGACAAAAAAGGCCATAAGTTACTAGGTTTGAAACACTTTGTTGGCTAATCGGTCGTCGTGTTGAACGAGTTTCCCGAATCTGGAGAGGAATTATAACTTATTGCTGGGGGCGAGGAAGATGGCACAATTTTTTGGGTACTTGAGATCGGTCCAGCCATTTTCTTCGACGCTTGGTTCGAACGAGAGCTTGAATTTGTGTTTGTAAAGCGCGCTGGATGATGGCATGGCAGAACTCGAAGACGAAAAACGCGTGCTGGGACATGTCGGGCCACTCGAGCCCCTGGGTTCGTTATCGATTCCCTAGCTTGGTGCTGCTTGAATGAGATAAAGGCTCCCGTGAAATAAGGAGGTGCGTTTTATGGGCTTTGTTGGTCCGAGGATGGGAATTGGGCAGTAGGGGATGACGTTGACCTCACCAAAGGCGGGAAGTAGATCTGGACTAGCTTGATGGACACTTTGGTGGAGAGGTCGTGCTTGTGGAGGAGACTCTGTAGATGGGCGAGCTCATCGGCGGCTTTCTTCAGGAAGAAATAACAAGTTTGGTGTAGAATAAAGCAAGCGAAGTTCCGAATGCTCATGTCAAGGATATATCTTACACCATCAGGTCCATCACTGTCCATGACCTCCTCTCCCTGTCCCTCCCCCCCTCTCTTTCTCCCTCTCCCACCTCTCCCTCTCCCACTTCTCCCTCTCCCTCTCCCTCTCCCACCTCCTCCTCTCCCAATCCTCCCTCTCCCACTTCTCCCGGTCCCACCTATTCTTCTCCCACTTCTGTCTCTCGCTCTCCCTCTCCCTCGCCCACCTCTCCCTCTCTTTCTCCCTCTCCCACCCCTCCCTCTCTTTCCCCCTGTCCCACCTCTCCCTCGCCCACCTCTCCCTCTCTTTCTCCCTCTCCCACCTCTCCCTCGCCCACTTCTCCCTCTCCCTCTCCCTCTCCCACCTCTCCAGGCTCTCCCTATCCCTCTTTGAAGCCGTTTGGGGTTCCAAACTGTAGTATAGAAGCAGAGGATTAGCTTAACTACTAACTAAGGATATATAAGAGTAATCAAAAGCATTAACAAATCATTACCCGAAAAGTCTCTGTAACCCCCTTATACAAAAAAAGGAGTAATTAAGACTACGTAGGCCAGGAAACCGAGAACACTAAGCCAGCTAATGTCATGCTCTACCCAGAAATAGTGAGACAACAGTCTGTAAGACTCATTTTGTAGAAGAAAGAGGTGGTGGATGTGGTAGTCGTGGTTGTGTGAGGAAGGAAGAAAAGAAAGGAGTAAAAGAAATAATAGAAGGAAGGTGCTCTCTTACCACCACAACTGGGGGCTATCAGCCTTGTTCTCTAACCTTATGCTAGTTTCTCCTTCCTGAAAGTGTTGTTTGTTTTGTACGGTCAGAGGACTAAGGGCAGAAGGAAGTCGCTTGACTCGCTTCCACCACCGTGATTGCCGTTGCGGTCTATTAGCCAACGATGCTGTATCTGTTGCCTGAGCGAAATCATCGATTGGATCCTCTAGGTCGATTACTATCCCTGCTATCTGTTTGTCCTCCTCGGATCCAGGTACAAAGGTGCGTAATGCCATTGTTGTATTGACGGTAGTTCGAAGTCCAATTAACAGGGTGTCGAGTTGTTAGTTCGTAGATTGTCAATTTGTCAAGTTTTCAAACGCCCAATTTTTAAAGTTGTGAAGTGACAAAGTTTGGATGTTCTTGTCGCGAGAATATATAAAGTAGAGATAAGGACCCAAAAACACCAATTTGACGACTAATCAACTATCTTACCTATTGTGGGCTACGCCTGACTGTACAAAAGCAAAAGTTACATACTTATGAGCACATCTTCCAAAAGTGCTAGTCCCAGACTACCTAGCGAGTCTAATAAAACCCATGGGTGGGAGGTCTTTGGTCCGACTTATAGGTATCCCCCTAATCGTCGACTTCGCTTGAGTGTGTCGACTTTTGGTGTTCACTCCAAAGAACTGCCTGTTCTTGGCCTGGCGAGAGTATCTTGTTTTGGCCCCATAGGCTTTGGGAGCTCTATTAGCCCTGTGGATCGAGTTGCTCAAGGTCTTTCGATTAATATTGTATATCCGCGCGGCTGTAACGACCTTCTCTGACGGGTTCGCTATAAGAAAATATTTGGCTAGTTAGATACGCTCCTGTAAAGGGGTTTCTGAATCAACTGTGGTTCTGGGACATGATGACCACGAATAGTGGAGCAGTTTTGGTGGTCGAAGTGGTGGTTGGATTGCAATGGGTCAAGATAGAATTTGTACGGGGATCGCTACCAAACTGTATCGCGGACCGGTTCGTTTCGCGGACCAACTCGCTTCTTACAGCAGCGCCTCCAATACATCTGCAGTCTCTCCAAGACTCTGGATGAACGGAATGAACTTCAAGCCCATCTCGGTCTCCGCTTTCTTCCCACTGGCTCGGATATTTCCAGGAGGGTATTCAACCGCTTTCACCTCTCCCGTCTCCTTATCATAGCCTACATATCCCTCACCCGGGTTGCCAAGGATGATATTCTCCGCGATCTTGGTCCCTTTGTATTTCTGACGCAAGACGTCTGCGGTTGCCTGGACAGGCCCGAAGCCTCCAAAGGAAATGTACCGCTCTCCGTCTGCTTTGGAGGGGTTTTCATAGGCCCAGACATGCATGTACGCCACGTCGCGGACATCCACGAATGAGCCAGTGCCGATGTTTGGTGAGATGGTCTTCATTGCCCCGGACATGAGATTGTAGATTGGCAATAGGGTCTCGTTAAGTTGTGATCCGGAAGCTGGTAGTACGATGGGTGGGCCGATGACCACCCCTGGATTTATGCTTGAGATGGCAAATGATGGCTATAGCAGGTATTAGAATATTAACCCCCAAACTAATAGTATTGACCCAAGGAAGATTCATATCCTTTTTGAGAATGCAAATCATGCAATGATCCAAAAAGCCTAGATTTATAGAGCAGAGACCTACCTTGTTCTGCTCTCTAAATTTCCACGTAAATCTGTCAGCAGCAGTCTTGCTCGCCGCATACAAAACATTGCCTGGCGTCTTCACCCCTTCGTCACGTTCCTTGGTCGCACGCTCCAGAGCCGTCGAAGCAAATTCGGCTTCGGTGAACACATGGTTCGGTTCGGCACCAGGGTCTATAACTGCGATGAGGGAGGATGTGACGACCACAGATGACAGCTGTGGGCCTGCTTTGAGGGCGGAATTCAAAATCGTCTCGGTGCCTTTGACGGCGGGGGTAACAGTTGCATCGTAGGTGTCGAGCGCAAAGTTAAATGGAGATGCTGTGTGGAAGATCCCATGAACGCCTGTGAAATTATCAGTCTTGGAGGTTGCGGAAATAGGTCACATGAGGGAAACAAGACAAACCGTTTGCAGCTTCATCGAATGCTCCTGCAATGGTCATATCCGGGACTTCATAGATCTTGACTCGCTCTTTGTACGGTCCGTAAGGCCCCTTGAGAAGAGGCTCTGAACTCGCCTTGCGTCGAGTGGTGCCGCGAACAGAGTATCCTTTTGAAAGCAAGAGTTGTCCGAGAACACTGGCGATATATCCATTGATACCGGTGACAAGAACCGTCTTGCCATTGCTAGCTGGGAGAGCCATATTGCTTGGAATGATTGGCGAAATTATGTCTCTACTTGAACAGCAAGATAGATCAAATGAGAAGAAGTCACAACAAGATATCTAAAGTCTAGAGGAATAAGTGGAATGAATTGAGACCAAAAGGCTTTTTGAGAAGAGCGATCTTTGCCCTACTCCGCACTTACATTCAAGCTTTACATACGTCAGCAATATGATTTTAACTCAGGATGATGAGAAACCCGGGATAAGCATACAGTATTGACTCTTCTCAACAGCAGTACGTCCTGAACCGTATGTGCAACTTTTTACTAGGAGGGGCTGGAAGAGGGTTACAACTCACTACAGTATTACCCCGTCGGAACTGCCGATCTAACACTCTTATTATTAATAATCTTCGGATGCAGGCCTACCTCAAGTTCCTCGACAAGTGCTGTACCCGAATTCCAGGCACATGCATCTTATCTGCCGCCGCATATCAATCATGACAGGGCTGCGGCTAAGATCCAAAAGGATGAGGATGGTTCACTGAACACTGGACATCGTATTCAAATGCCATAAGGTAATACACAACTGATCAATATTCTGAATTGATCATCAGCATTTTGATTGTGATTGTTTAGCGCTGTGAGATGAGTAACGCGAAATACCCGGGACTTTCGTAGTGAATGCGAAGCGAGGCGCTCGGCCACCGTACAAGATTCATCCACAACTACACGCGAAGCCCCCCTCCACATAGTTCTACAACGCGCGGCACCCATGGGCTATCAACATGGTGTTGTCATTCATCTTGATCCAGAATCGGCAGTATGTGCTCCTCTATCCAATCTCACAAGAAACAAGCTAACTGACCGCAGAGGTAAAACCCGCCTTGCCAAATGGTACGCGCCGTACAATGATGAAGAGAAGATCAAGCTCAAGGGCGAAGTCAGCCCTCCAACCCCTCCTCCCCTCTGTGAATCCAGCTGACACCTCTCCAGGTACACCGTCTCGTCGCACCTCGCGATCAGAAGTACCAGTCCAACTTCGTAGAGTTCCGCAACAACAAGATCGTCTACCGGCGATACGCGGGCCTCTTCTTCTGCGTCTGTGTAGATGCCAACGACAATGAATTAGCATACCTAGAAGCTATACACTTCTTCGTCGAAGTGCTGGACAGCTTCTTCGGGAACGTGTGCGAGCTAGATCTAGTATTCAATTTCTATAAGGTGCGTCAGGACTGTGCCGGCGACCCGCCGCACGACAACGCAGAACCGCAGAACAGCAGAGCAGAGGGGAAATCGTGAAGTCAACATGAGGGAGTTGTGCTGACGCGTCATGTCACAGGTCTACGCGATCTTAGATGAAGTCTTCCTAGCTGGCGAGATCGAGGAGACAAGCAAACAGGTGGTCCTTACACGACTGGAACACCTGGATAAGCTGGAATGAGGACCAGATGGCGCAAGAAAGTATCCTGCATTGGTTGGCAACCTGGCGTTCTATTCAAGAGATGCACAAGACAAAGGTATCACTGGTTGCGCGACATGAGGATAAAGCAAGTGATGAATTCTCAAGGTCAACTGTCCTGTGGTACATGTGTTCTAGCAACAGCCATATCTTTCCTGCCCTCTTCCTCTCAGATTATCTTCTCAGTCTTCCACACCGCTCAAGCAATTAGTTTGGAGTCATAAATATTTGTTGTATGCAGAACACTAATCCCAGTCTGTCTGGCACTCCCTTGGTGTGGTTTGAAGACCCTTCTGCTTGGCCGGGTTTCTTTTTCCAATGGTGTCGATCAGGTTTGGTGGGAGAGCACTTTCAACTATACATTACTTGAAGACTTTCTTACTCATGTTGTTGTTGTTTTTGCAAATATCGTTCGAGGGCAGAGCCAGAATTTTATGTTGTACCGTTCCTTGGTGTTTGGACTAGTTGTTGCTGGAAGTTCCAGCATTTTGATGACCGTGGGCAAATGGACTACCATTCTGCTCTGCGGGGCCCCCTGCCATTAAAGTGGTAGGGATAGGAGTCGGTGTGGAGCTGCCGCTGCTGGTGGGTTGAATTCCTTGACCGGTGGCTCCATGATCCGCCGTGAGCTTGGCATCGGATCTGCCGTTGTGTTTGTACTCAACCGGGCTGAAGGATCTCAAACTACTGGACTGGCTCCGCAAACCGGGAAGGCCTCCCCAAAATGAATCGATGGACATCTCAGGAGTCTCGGGTGTCCTGGTATACCGTTAGTCTAGAAACGGAAAGAGGTCTTACTACTTACGAGATAGTCAGTTGCTCAAGTCGGCGCTGGTCATCTTCCTCCCACATCTGCAGAGCGGTCTGGGGTTTCTTGGGCTTATTGACAGTCTCGGTCATCTCACGTCCGCGGCTCTGGATCAACTTATGGACGAACTGGGAGTATGCCGAGCCACGCTTGGTTGGAGCTGATTGGCCCATGTCTCCTGCGGCTCTTAAGTCAGTCTCCTCGCTGGAAGCCTGTGTGCAGTGAGCTTGACGAGTCTGAACATTGTCAAGGCCATCACCCATCATGGTGTCGCCGAGGTAGTCCTTGTCCAGTTGGCTAAAGCTAGTCTGGTCCAGATTCTCCAACTCCGCTTGGAAGATTGCCTTCTTTCTGACCAAGTCCATCTGAGTGGTTCCCAATACCTGTCCCTTCATAAGCTTTGCCTCATAAGTTTCAATCATACGCAGTCTCTTCCGCAGTGATTGGCTCTTATCAGGGGTGGGGCTGGTATCATTGAATGATCGGCTGGGGGTGCTGGCCATACGTCTGCCTCGCTTTTGTCTCAGCTCCTTGATTCCGGTCATCTCCATATTCATGCCGAGGAAGTTGCCTCGCTCGGAGCGCGTCTTCATCATGTCACGAAGCTTCTCTGAGGCGTTTGATCTATGGCGGTTTCGCAGAACACTGCCTGGAGAAGCGGTGCTCAAACTCTCCTCTTCAAGTTGACCTTGATTGTAATCAAGTCGTCCGAAACGATCAATCTCACTCGACAATCCAGTGACATCACCAAACTCTTCCTCAGCCTCGATGCTGCCGTTCATGTCAGGTGACATATCCAGCATGGGATTAACATTTTTGGGGCAGTCTTGCAAATGACGACCTGCTTCTAATGTCAGTTGGAATTGGAAGTCAAAACAGCGAGCGAAGAGTAGTCAAGCAGTTCTTGATCAAGTACAAGTGTGGATTTATCATACCTCGTTCGCCGCATTGAAAGCAGACGTACTCTCCAGGTGGTGGCTCCCGGAATTCATCGCCCTCGTGGTCTCTACCAGAAGCAGCATTCGCTACTTTGGAACCGGAAATATCACCTTCAAATGCCTTCTGGATATCCTTGGATGTGGGTGGATATCTGTCAAAGCGAGATTTGAAAGCGCCATTGGCCGCAACATAAGAAACCTTCCACTGGTTCATCTCATGAATCAATTCCAGCTCCTTGACTCCGCGGTCGCGAAGTGCGTTAACCCAACGCCAAGAGGTGATTCCCCAATACTCAGTGGGCGGGGTTGGGTTCTCACGGTGGATCTCAAGCCATCCGAGGTAGATTAAGATGGTTGAACGGGTGGATACCTTTGGTGCCAGATTGGCAGTGAGCATAGTCAAATTGATTTGGAGAAGGTCCTGGTCAGTCAGAGCACCAGGGTCGCTCTTGAGCTTGTCCATGATGGAAGTAAGAGAAGGGTTGAAAGAATCCATCTTGTCTCTTCGCTCTCTGAAACTTCCAGAGATCTCTAGTGTGCTGGCAGGATATCTAAAACCAGTTAGCACAGAAGGGACCATCAGGGCAGTTCTATCGGGATAAGGAGAAGGGAAAGAAGGGGCCGCGTGTGTGGGATGGGGAGGGAGGTGGTAGAGTGGCAAGCAAAGAAGCAAGCTGGAGAGAAGTCCGGGGAAGAATGACATACCTCTCTTCGACTTCCGACTCGGTCTTGTTGCGCACGCGCGGTTGATGGGATTATTGAGAGAATGGGTTGTGATTAGGAGAAGGAGGTATGATTGGAAGAAGTGGTTATGAGTGAAAGAAGGGGTCTCTCCTATCTCTCGCTGTCAGTACGTTCGACGACTCGAGATTGTTATCGCGCACACGCGGTTTTTGATAGGTGAGCGGGAGAAGGGAGTATGATTGGGAGAAAGGGGTATGATTGGAAGAAGGGGTTATGTTTAGGGGAAGGGGTTATGAGTGAAAGAAGGGTGTCTCCTATCTCTCGCTCCGTGCGTTCGCCGACTCGAGATCGTTGTCGGGCGCGCGCGGTTTTGATGGATGATTTGAAGAAGGGGTATGACTTGAAGAAGGGATTGAGAGTGAAAGAACAGGTTTTCTCTATCTCTTGGTCTTTGTGCGCTCGCCGACTCGAGATCGTTGTCGTGCGCGCGCGGTTGTTGGTGATGAAAGAAGGAGAGGGTTTCCTTTGGCGAAGGACGTGTGATATATGGGAGGTCACCCCGCTTGGTAGTGAATTTACAGCAGACGCGCGCGTTCCACGAAGCGGATTTTTAAAACTCTCGCTGTGGCTCTTAATGCGAATATCTCATCTGGGAGTTTATCATAATCTTTCAGAATCCTCTCTTGATATTTTAGAAGCTATATACCTTACGATCCGCAGATACAACTACGGCCCCCTGCATCCCCGGTCTGGGACCCTGCGGCTCTACGGACGCGACGCGCCGCCCTCGGAATATTCATTTTGAGGTTCGGCTATCAGCGCTAACGCTTTACGCGTCTCCGCGTCTCAGCCCTATCGATCGTCTCGTCTTTCCCTCCTCCATCCTACCTACCTACCTATTTAGGCACCCTACGGAGACAATCCATCACTCAGCTGAGCCAAAGCTCGCAAGTATCTAGGTATCTAGCACAGTAACAACTTGTAAACCTCTTTCCTCAGTCCTCTCTCGAGGAAAGGGGATTCCATTTCCACCGTAAATTTCTGCATCTGCTTTTCTCTCTGAGAGTGATAATAACGTCTTCATCACTTGCTTGGTCTCTAGATGGCGCGTAGCTTGAATAGATAGGTAAGTAGGTAGGTATATCTAGACTTTAAACATATAAACCTTCGTATCGTATCCCTATCTGCGTAATGAGAGGGGAAGGGGTTAGGTAGGTAGGTATGACTTATAGATAGATAGATAGATGAACGCTTTCGGTTGATTGGAAAGCCATTCATTCACGCGTAAGGGGACGCATGGTATACCAACCGAGATCCTAGATCTATGGCGCTGGGTATGACTGATACGGGTAGGTGATTGAAGAGCTGTGGAATGGAGATGGGATTAAGGGGAGCTGGCTGGGTCTTTGAGGAGGGAGATCTGGCTTTAGGTATATGTGGGATGGGATGGGATGGGATGGGATGGCATCGTTCTATTCGTATTGAGGAGATATGAAGAGATGGGAGAGCACGAGCGTATATAGTTACGCATGCATACATCACAAGTCACTGAAACACATCTCTAAGAATGTTCTATTCTATCAATTGATATATGAGTGATATATATATAGCATCTACGAAACAATGCCATTCGCCAGCTTCTCCGCCTGCTGCTCAGCAGCGCCATTGATCTCCCCAGCCTCGCCGTGCACCTCCCTGATGGCCGCCTCGATTTCCTGGAGGAATCGAGTCACCTCGGCTTCGGTGCCGACGGTGATCCGCAGGCAGCCCAGACAGCCGTGCTCCTTTCCGCGGAAGCGGACCACGACGCCTTTGTTCTCGGCCAGTCTCTCGTAGACCTTCAAGGCTGTGACGTTGTCGGGCTTACCGGCTGCGTCTAGGATCTCCACTAGGAGGAAATTGCTCGCTGCTCCGCCCCGGAATCTCCCTATCCCGTTCACCTTGGGCAGTTCTCTTAGGAGCCTGTCTCGCTGTGCTAGGATCCTCTCGCGGTTGCCCCGCATGACGCTTAGTCCTCCCTCTTGCAATGCTTGGCAGGCAATTGCGCTTGTGAGACTGGAGATGTTATATGGTGCCTTGAGGTTGTTGAGCAGGGACGCTATTTGCGGTGATGTGAATGCGGCTCCTAATCTGATGCCCGCGAGGCCGAAAGCTTTGGAGAGCGTCTGCATCACGACTAGATTCGGCCACTCGGCAACCCACTCGGCGAGCGAGGAGCCCTCGGGCGCAAAATCAATATATGCCTCATCCAACACGACGACTCCATTCCAAGTCGGGTGTTCCAGCACCCGTCTCAGATCCTCCTTCTTGACCAAAGACGCCGTGGGGTTGCCCGGCGAGCAGATATATACCAGCTTGATGTTCGCGGCCTCGGGGCCAGAGAGCGCAGCGGTGATGGCCGGCACGTCGAGGTCGAATTCGGGAGCTGGGAGTAAGGGAACCTTCACAAGGCCGACGTCGTTTACTTGCGCGGACACGGAATACATGCCATATGTGGGCGGGCAGACGAGAATCTTATCGCGGCCGGGAACGCAGAAACAGCGCAGCAGCGCATCGATTGCTTCATCGCTGCCCACTCCTACGAATAGATTGGCAGGGGTAATAGATTTCGAGGTGTGGACGTGGGTATTGCGGAGGTTGCAGAGGAGCTGTTTGAGGTCGTGCTGGTGAGGGTCTGGGTATCGGTGGAGACCCAGAAAGTCGATTGACGCCGGGTCTTTGGGTTTCGACAGGGAAGTAGCTGCGGAGATTTCAGGGGAGATGGTCGGCCCATAGGCATTCTCGTTGGCATCGAGGAGGATGTTCGTCCCATCGTCTTTGTAGTCGCTGAAGTGGGGTGTGAGTCAAGGCGTGTAGAAGTTGGGATTGGGAGCTTACTCTCTTGCGCAGCGATATGGTTCCAACGCAAGAATATTGGGACGAGCGCAAGTCTCTAAATTGAAGGGAGATTTCTTAACTGAAGTCATATTGGATCGTTGGGAGGTGCAATGGCTGATGGAGTAGAATAATTTTTCCAGGTCGTCGATGAGCCTTGTTGGTGGGGTTAGTCATCAGTAGCGTTTATCCAACGTTCAGCCTTTCCTTTGGCGCAAGGCTGAACTTCGAAGCGACACGAATGGAAGCACAACGCGGGCATACCAAGAAGAGAACGGAGATTTGCAAATCCAAAGAGCGTAGCTCGGATTCATCTATGTCATACTTGGGAGCTTTGAGGCTGATAGCCTTTTTTTCCTGCGAATTCTTGTCTAGGACTATCTATGGGACGAGAGGGAGGAGCTGGAAGGCAGAAGATTCAGAATACTACACACGAGATAGATCCCATACTGCAATATAACATGTATCTTGCAACCCTTAAAGCCATTCCAGTCGCTGATAATGGTTTTTTCGCTCTGCTAGGATCAAATCTACAACAGGACTGTTTCCGGGGGTACAAGCCAGGGGCTCGCTTGAATTACTACTTCTAGGAAGCTCCATATAGAGAGAGGCCAGTGTTGTTTCTTTCCACACCATAGCCATCAAGACACAGACAAGAATACTCGGGAAAATGGCAGAAGTTTGGCATGGTAAAACAGTCAACTGTTGTGGAATTTCCATCACCAAGAAGATGCAAAATCTAGGGAGTCGGAAAAGTACAGCAGCCAGAGGGGACATGAACCATACCCTCACACGCATGTTGGGGGTTTGCGGGGGAGATTGGTCGGGGATAGGAAAAGATAGGAGAAGCTTGTATGTAAGGTTAAAGAGTAGCTCATTAGGGACCAGCTGTGGGGTGAGGAGCATCCAGCGTAGAGAACCCTCGCTCATGATGTGAGAACAGACAATGGAGAGACTTATATGGAAGAAGGAGAGAAGTGGGATATCACAAGCAAGTGGAATATTTTGACCCCAAATAGACAGATGCCTACGGTAATCGAGGCAGGATTCCCATATATTCCCATGGACGATGCATGCATTATGAAGACCCCCAACGCCGTCGCTAAATCGAATGCAATGTCTCGAGATCACTTCTTCGAAGTGCCAAACCCAGTGATTCCCATACTAGCCATCATATCATCCTCATCATGCTCTCCCTCAATCCGTACATCCTCGCCATACTCCCTCTTTACCCTGATCTCATTCTCCTTCTCCAGCCTCTTCTTCTCTAACTGCTCCCTCCTCTTCCTCCTCCTCTCCTCCCTCTCCCTTTCCTCCTCCTCTTTCCTAACCTCTAGCCTCTCCCCTAACGTCTTCACATCCTCCTTCTTCTCCTGCATTATCCTCTCCCACACCCTGTCGATCCTCTCCCGCACCTCCTCCGCCGTCGCCCTTTTCACCTCCCCCGTCTGCCCAATCGCTCGGAGATGCTGCATGCTATTCTCATGCTCCACCCACTGCAAATTATCCTTAAAAGTCAGATCGCAGACCTCGCAATAGAATCCCGCGCCGCGGCCCCGCTTCCCCGTCGCCGCCCCCGCCGGCACCAGCATCACCTTGCCGACATTGCTCGAGACGTCCAGGCGGGAGGCGCGCGCCTGCGTCAACGTCTCCTCGCCCGTCAGCGGCGTGTAGTATTTCTTCCCCGCGAGCTTGGCCTCGTAGCGCAGCCGCCGCTCCTCCTTCTCCTTGGCTTCGCGCTCCGCAGCCTGCTGCGCGTACTCGGCGCGGTCGAATTTCTTGCGGAAGTCCGTGTCGGACGCCGCGTTCTCGTAGGCGCCTTTGTTGCGGGACGCCATGGTCGCTGCTGCTGCTGCTGCGTAGTGGAAGTGAAAGGTGCGTGAGGCTCGATGATATCGAGCGTGCTTGAGAGGAGGTCGTTTTTGTTGGTGGCAAGGTTGTGGGTGGTTCGATGAGACGAGGCGGAGACAGACCGAGAGCTTCGAGTTTGCGCTGTTTGCACGCGGGGCAGAAATTCTTCTCCCCATCATACAGGTACATACCCCACGCGCAAAAAATAAACGTATTCCTCACAACCCCCCCCTCTCCCCCGCTCCGCAAGAAATCACCATGCTCTACCTCATAGGACTCGGTCTCTCCGACGAGACGGACATCACGGTCAAAGGGCTAGAAATCGTGCGCCGCGCCGCCCGCGTCTATCTCGAAGCCTACACATCCATTCTACTCGTCGACAAATCCGTGCTCGTAGGTCTTCTTCTTCTCTGCGCGCCCCCCCTCTCTCGAATGCGGGAACTGACGCTGATGTATAGTAGGAGAGTTACTATGGGCGAGAAGTCATCCTCGCGGATCGCGAGATGGTGGAGTCGGCGAGCGATGATATCCTAGCGGATGCGCAGAACGTGGACGTTGCGTTCTTGGTCGTCGGGGATCCTTTTGGGTACGAGAGCCTCCTTCCTCCCTTTCCCGCAAGATTGGCAAAAAGGAAAAAAAATGAAATCAATCAATCAATTCAAAACTGGTTTGACCAGGCTGGCTGGGATGGTTTACTGACAGTCTGAGCCCAGAGCAACGACGCACACGGACCTCGTACTGCGCGCGCGCGCGCTCTCCATCCCCATCTCCACGGTGCCCAACGCCTCGATCATGTCAGCGATCGGGGCGACGGGCCTGCAGCTCTACAACTTCGGGCAGACGGTGTCGATGGTGTTTTTCACCGAGACGTGGAAGCCGGCCTCGTTCTACGACCGGATCCGGGAGAATCGGAATATCGGCCTGCACACGCTCGTGCTGCTGGATATCAAGGTGAAGGAGCAGAGTCTGGAGAATATGGCGCGCGGCAGGAAGATCTATGAGCCGCCGAGGTATATGACGGTGGGCCAGTGCGCGGCCCAGATGTTGGAGATTGAGCAGATGAAGAGGGAGGAGGGCGAGGGTCAGCATGGCGTCTATGGAGAGGAGAGTTTGGCGATTGGCGCGGCGAGGGTGGGCGGGAAGACGGAGAAGTTTGTGAGTGGCACCCTCAAGCAGTTGTGTGATGCGGATGAACTGCTGGGCGGGCCTCTACACAGCTTGGTATTGCTGGGGCGGAGGACGCATGAGCTGGAGAGCGACTATGCGCGGGAATTCGCTGTGGACAAGGAAGAGTGGGATAGGATCTGGAAGAGAGATTACGAGGGGAAGCAATGATAAAGCCGGGTAAGAGATTATAGTGAAGTCGCATTGTTCCTCCATATATTTTACATATTACCTGGCCGCCCCTGAATCCGGTGACTTTTTGAAGAGAGATATCCTCCAACACCACGCTAAAGTTCCAAGTATAAAGACATCCAAATCACTCCTCCACGGTACTCCTCTTTCTGAAGATCCCTTTGAATCCAGTACTCCGTGGCATCCTTTGAGAACTAGTCTCGCTCGCCGTGCTCGGCCTTCCGCTGTACCTCCCACGGAGGGCCTCCACCGACGGCGTAACTCTCTCCTCGTCCCCGCAGACCACCACATACCAACCAATATCCACCCCCTTCTGCAACTCGTCTCTGAGTTTTTCAAACCAGCCGAGGCGTCTGCTCTTCCGTCTCAGATCTCGGGCACTGAATCCCGGGCTCGCAAGATCTCCCGCCGTACCTAACATATCGGGGTAGCCAGCGCTCCCTGATGGGTCCAGCGGCCCCTCCTCTTTCCTCACCTTCGCCTCGTACTTATTTATCTCATCTGACAGAGAAGCCCCCAGCGTAACCTCCACCATGTAATCGGCTACATACGCGTACGGCTGGCTCGTCGAATACATATCCATGGGATCATACTGCTCCACCAGCTTCACCACACTCCAGTCATTGAACGACGGCCCCTTCTTCACACTATTAGAGCGCGAATGCTGAGGCCGATTCGGCGTAAAGCTCCCCTCCGTCGAAGGAGCACTCGCCTTCCTCACCTCGAGCGTATTTGATGCTCTCGTCGGCGGCCGCCCCGTCATCGGCCTCTCCAGATTCACCGGCTTCTGCCGCCGCGCAAGCGATCTCAGGGAGACCATGGAGCGGGAGTTTTTCTTCGAGAGGGATTTCGGCGGCGCGAGCTCGTCGGGAGGGGGAAAGAGCTCGTCCGGGGGGATGGGCGGCGGCGGAGGGTAGGTGGGTTGGGGCGGGATGCTGGGAGGCAGGAAATCGTACAGGGAGTAGAAGGAGTTGAGCAGCGTGATGGAGGTGGCGGGGGCCACGATCCATTCGGCGGCGGCATCTTCGAGGTCATTGAGGATGATGTGTATGCGGATGTTGGCACGAAGCCAGCGGAAGCCGTGGAGGAGGTAGGTCGGCATTATATTCAGGGGGATGGCAAGCAAGATTCGAGTTCGAGACTTGCGGTTCAGGACAGGGATAGCTGATCGCAACGTATCTGTATAGCTTCCATAGGGACCATCCGTCAGGGCCTTGCGAGTTTGAGATCGGAGTGGGGTTATCGTACCCTGGTTGATGGATGACGCCCGAGGTGAGGACCGTGAGGAGAGGAGAGGAGAGGAGTGGGGAACGGGGTGCTCGGGGTGCTCGGGGCGTCGAGGCCGTTTAAATATACCAGACTGGCAGCGTTATTCGGAGGACTGGGCTGGGAGGCTTCACTTGTGTCTGCACACTCCATAGCGAATCGTGAAGCTCCGCGCGCTGGCCATGCGTCGATGGAGAGAGCTCGAGTGGCTGAGAGAGCGGGCGGAGAGAGAATTGGCGAGAGAGAGATCGGGGAATATGAATGGGCGTGGGATGCAAGAAGCGGTGGTATAGTAGGTATGTATGTATGTATGGACGGTATGAACAGTATCTTATGTGTACGCTGCTGTGCAGTGCAAAGGACGTGGAAGCATCACAGAGTGAGATTTGGCTGGGGAGGGCGCTATATCTCGCTATATCCCCCTATATCATCGCTATATTTCGGGATAGTAATAGTAACAATATACAGTACAAATTACAATACGCCGGAAACCTCTTTCCTCTCACGCGGTGCGACCCGGCGGGAGGATTAACGGGGTCGACGGCTTCTACCTTACTGTACGTCGTCCCTTTATCGTCGGCCCCGCTATCAGCAAAATTTTACGGCGATGGGCGCTACCGTATACAATACCTTAGGAATCAGGATGGTCCAGCGCTCAACCAAGATTCTCTCCATCTCGTCTCTAGAACACACTCCTCATCCGAACTGTACCGTCCTACCAGAATAGTCGCAGAGCATGAGGTGCAGCGAGCGGTGCGGTACCCTGCATCGTCGCGAATGGATCCAGCTACCAGGTACTGCTAGCAACATCCTTTCGGGCATGTATGTGGCTGCTCGGAGCGCTGATCTCTATACTGGCCCGTCCATCTTCCCGCCCTGGCAATAGTCAATCGGCGCCGGCGACGATTTGCAAGTAGTGGCCCATTAATTGCTACAGGAACCGGACGGATGTTGAAGATCAATTGCGGATCAAGGGCGCGTTACCTTAGTTAGTAGCGCTTTTACTTGCCTACCTTACCTTATAGTATGTACTATCTAGGTCCCACCCCATTACCGGACGGGAATGAAGCCCACATCAATTTCAAGAGAAGAGGGCGAAGACGAAGGGGAAAAAGGGAGCTACTCAACAGTTCTTTCTTCCATCTTACGCAGTAAGGTGCTTTGCCTATATACACTATACTGTATGCACGCACGCCCACCACTAAAATAAACACTACGGGCATAGAAAAGATGCACACCAATCCGTCCTTTTCAGCGCCACCAAAATAAAAATGCGCGGCTGCCTCGGTATCAGAATAGAAAATCTTTCATAACACACATCATCGACATCGTTAAGAAAGCGCTCAAGTGAGCTTTAGAGAAAGTAGGTTTTGTTTGATGGTGGTTCCCCACCCTTCCTCCCATCCATCCCCGTCCTAGCCCTGTGAACAAAATGCAACTCTCCCAGGATTCCAATGTGGAATCCAATAAACCAGGCCGAAAAGAAAACAAATAGGGTATATGCCAACATCAAGAGTAGACCCAAACTGCATCCAGCAGGATAGAGCAACAATATACGCAGAAGGAAAATATCCCATATATCCAACATGAGGGTATATATAGAGATATGGTTGGAAAGTTGGCGGTTCCAAAAGACATTACGTAGATCCAGACGTATTAGAATAGACTGTAGGTAATAAGCCAAGAAGGAGAAGCCGAAGAATACCCCCGTAGATTCGAAGGTCGAGATGAAGAAGGTACACCCAACGATCCCTTGAGAATGCTAGGAAAGTTGGCTCACAGCAATGCAGCGACGACAGCCAAGACAATGCTTGAGAAGACGACACTGTTTGAGATGTACGTCCCTCCAGCAGCAGACTTCACGGGGCTGCCTTGGGAACCAGTGGGAACTGATGTGTTCGCGGCGATTGGGTTCGATACAGCGGAACCGCTCGCCATGAGGGCAGGAATGTTGGAGGCGGCGGCAGTGGCAGTGGCGTTCTGGAAGAGGATGTGGGGCGCATCGGTTGGCTTGGGAAGGAGCGATGTTGTAGTATTGACGACTGACGAGGTCGATAGGATAATACTAGAAGAGCTAGACGTGCTCGAGCTAGAGCTTGAGCTTGAAGAGCTCGAGGTGGAGGTGGAGGTGCTCGATGGAGTCGGGGTCGAAGATGAAGTCGAACTCGTCGTGGAGGTAGATGACGAAGTTGTGGTTGGGGTCGGCGTAGGCGTTGGCGTTGGGGTGGGTGTGGAAGACGAAGACGAAGACGGAGATGGAGATGGGGAAGAGGATGAGCTTGGGGCCTGAGAGGACGAAGGTGAAGCAGAGCCAGAGCTTGAATCGCCGGCGGAGAAAACCACAACGTTGGCCGTCATGCCCTCGGGGATTGTAACGACGCAGAAGTTGGCGCCGCCAGCACCAGAGGCCTGATCGGCACTGGTGACCTGGCCTACACTGTGCACAGAAGGATCAATCGAGCAGGGTAGACCATTGCAACCCTCACCAGAACATTCAATTTTCACGCCAAAGCTCGGCGAAGTGCCGCTTAGATCACTGTTGGTGAAGATTGGGTTCCAACCAATCTTCGCAAAGGTATTGCCGTTTTCGTCAGTGTTGGCTCCAGCAACATAGGGAGCCCAGTTGCCTAGTGGCTTGGATCCATCGCTCCAGATGCAAGCATCTTCGACTCCAATTCCTGGGGGGTTGATGTAGTAGCTACAGGAACATTAGCAGCGGCATATAAACCTAAGAGAAGCAGTACATACTGAGCAGCAGTGGACGCCCAGTAGCTGGTACCGGGGACTGCCAGTTGCGCCCAGCTCTGAACAGACGTCGGGATCAACATGGCTTCATTTCCTGGCAGGACGGTCTGGCAAAAGGCAACGACATCTCCACAAGAGTTCTTGGCTCCTACGGAGCCGGTTCCGTCAACGCAATACGGCTTGTTGGGGAAGGGCTTGATGATTTGCCCGTCTGAATCACAGTACAGCCCACCATCCTGGTGACAAGTCAGAAGAGTTCGATTGTAGTTTCTTGAGCCCGCTCTCCACTTACCATCGACATCGGATAGGTATAGGAAGTGGCCTCGGGGTTCCACTGAGCCGTGACCTGGCCGGATGGACAGGCGTATGGGCAATAGTGGCCCGGCAAGCATGGTTGGTCAGGGCTCATGGCCCAGCCGGCGTTCTGCGCATCGGGTGTCACGGGAACCAAGCCCGCATCTGTCGGAAAGCTGCAGGTCCCTCGTTTGGTCAGAGCATCTTCAACTTGCTCTGCCTGCGGCGACGGGTATGCCCTGCGGTGGTTGTGCCTCCTGCCAAAAGCCTCCAGATGCTGCAGGTTGTGACTATGCTTCGCCTCGCACGGGGACAAGAACAAGAGGATGGCGGCACCCAGGGCAGCGTGGGCCTCGAGGAACTTCATGGTGAATGCGGAGGATAGTAATGTATGGCGATTGAACTTGGTTTTCGGCCAGTTCTCGCCGTGCAGATATGGATTTCGAACGGGGGCTCCAACCAAGGGGAGGGGGGTCAGTCGTCGAAGGATCAGACGCGTCAAGAGAACGAAAGGCGACGGAGAGTAGAGAACGAGAGACTGAAGGTCAGGACGCAACGAGTGGAAGTCTGGAGAGACGGTAACGAACGTGAGGGCGCGGTGAAGCAGCCAAGAAACAAACGAGCGATGGGGGGAGAGATGCAAAGAGGGCGGCCGAGGGGGATGAAAAGAAGCAATGGGCGGGAGGTTGGCTGAGGATCCCGGGCCCACGGCATGGATACTGGAGATTGCGCTTCATCTCGCATTCAGGGCCTCTGCCGGGGCAAATTTGCGGGAGCGCCCTGGTTGGCCAATCACGACGCGTCTCGCTCTCGCCAAGCCTCGCTACAGGATCTCGTACCTGGCTAGTCGGGCTAATCGGGCTAATCGGGCCAATCTTGCTAATGCGGCGCGCTGGAGCCGTTTGGCCGTTTCGGGGTCCTCACTGCAGGGGCCGTCCACCAGTGGCGTCGACTACTGCAGCCGGGGTGCCGCTTTTGTCATGTGACATGGGTCCCTCAATCAAAGACTTTACCTTAAGGTATGTCTCCGGCCATGTGACGGAATATTGTTATTCCTGTTGAGCCTCTCGCACTGGTGTTTGAACTGGTGCATGGCATTGTCTCGGCTGTTGCTGCCACCGCACAGCCCTATCATGGCTGGGGAAACGTGCGGAATATGCATTGTCTCTTCTTAATAAAGAACAGTAGTGTGATGCATCAGAGGTGGATTGTGGGAGCTGTACGATCCATACAACGAGGCTTTTACCTTATTAGTAAGGCAGTTAACGTCAGAGTACCGTTCAGCACGTGACTGCTCTAGAGCCCCATGGACCACCTCACGCCCCTCCCTCGGCAGCCTTGCAGCCTGAGCCTCACCCCGCCTCGACCTCGAACACGCCCCCAATCCACCTCCCACCATGTCTTCCTCCCAAATTCCCAATCTTCTTTCCTCGCGCGGTGGACCACGTTTGCGAGGCCGCGGTCGAGGTCGCGGCGGCCCATCCACTCTCAGCGCATCGAGCCGCAGAGATCAGAACGTCCAATCCACCGATACTGATGCTGCCGTCTCCCGCCTCAGCGCTGTCTCCTTGGGCTATCTAGATGATCCATTTGCTCAATATTTTGTCCATGGCAATGGGATACGAAGATTGCCCATCATTAATCGCGGTTGGTATTCCCTGCCCCTTTTCTTGGCCTTGACTGCAATATGATTACTAGCTTGAATTTGCTGACCCTTCAGCAGGGACCTATACCCGAACCACTGCTCTCGATACCCTCATCAACTCCTTCCTCTCATCCTCCGATCCTATCTCAAACCAACCATCGAGGCAAATAATATCACTCGGCGCGGGGACCGACACTCGCTATTTCCGCCTCCGCGACCAGAACCGTCATCACAACCTCGTCTATCACGAATTCGACTTCCCTGCAGTCTGCGCGGCGAAGAAGCAGATTGTCGAGGCAAATCGGCCGATATTAGGGGGCGATGAGGGCATATTCCCGAATGGTCCCAATGGCGGGGTCCCCGACGGTGATAGCAATCCAGAGCCCGAATGGGGCCTGCTCCGCTCAGTGGATGGAGAAACCCAAGAACGGTATATATGCCACCCTCTTGATCTACGACGTCTCCCTTCCCTGGAATCTCTCTCATCATTTCGAGGTCTGAGGAGTGATCTGCCGACCCTGGTGATATCTGAATGTTGTTTATGCTATCTAGATATCGACATCGCCACAGATGTGGTGAAGTGGTTTGGGGGTAGGATACCGGAGCTTGGAATCGTGATCTATGAGCCAATTGGGGTAGATGATCCTTTCGGGCAGATGATGGTAGAGAATCTCGCAGCAAGGGGCATCTTCATGCCTACCATCCAGCGATACCGGAGTCTAAGTGACCAGCGAGCGCGACTCGCGGCTCTCGAATTCCAAGAGCGCAACGGAGCCGGAGGAGGAAGCGATGCCGCGACCATAGAGGATATCTGGGAGCAATGGGTCCCAGCAGAGGAAAAAGAGCGCCTGAATAGCCTCGAAGGATTAGACGAGGTCGAGGAGTGGCAGATGCTAGCTCGGCATTACGCCGTAGCTTGGGGCTGGAAAGGAGGCGCGGCCTTGCTGAAACCCCCGCAGACAAGTAGAGAAGAACAATGAATATTATTAACAGAATCATGGAAGTGCGCTCGCTATTCATCCATCTCCCGTGCGTGAGTATGTGTCCGGATACGCATCGTTATTCCATTATATACCCATCATGTCCCTCCCCATGGAATGAATACTCATAATTCTCTTTATTATTGTTGTTTGAAATACTGAAATATATAAAAGCACTCCTTACTTATGCCTGTAACTTCTAGGTTGTTTTCCAGGTATGGAAGGGAGATAGTTTGGGTTTGTTTGTTTTCTTTTCTTTTCTTTGTTGGGGGGGGAGGGGGTGAGGGAGGAAACATAGAAAGTTAGGTATCTAAGGGGGTATGATGATGATGATGATTTAGACATGATACATAGGTACTATATAGTACATTTCAACAACCTGTATTGATTCATCAACAAGTCGATCGATCTGATCAATTAATCATGATCCCTCATCAACCCTCTCGACTCATGGAATCTCTCCTCGGCGGCGATATCCATTCCATCATCGCTCGGATCAATCTCACTCGCATGGATCTTCTTCAGCAAGCCCGCCATCCGCACCGCGTCTTCCTGGCCCTTCTTCACATCCACCATCCAGACCAGCGGCGCCGGCAACAGGATCAGCACCGCGAGAAAGATGAACGCCGGCCGGATGTGGCCCGTGGCATCAACGATCAAGCCCACGACCGCGGGGCCGAAGGCCGAGCTTCCTTTATCCGTGATGGCGTAGAGCGCGTAGAAGGCGGCTTCGCTGCCCGGCGGGATCAGGAGTCCGAAGAAGGAGCGGCAGTACGAGGAGAGGCCGCCCATGACGAATCCGTGGATGATGCCTAGCGGGTAGATCTCCCAGGCTTTCTGAAGCCCGCCGACGCCCCAGGCTTGCACGAAGGGGAGGTAGCCGAGGAGGCCGTACAGAGGGATGATCTCCATGAATGCGACGCAGGCGACGATCGTGCGGTTGGTTTGTAGACCGTAACGCCGGGAGATGATGGGCCAGAAGAAGGCTCCGGCGATGCCGGATGAAATGGAGGTTATGGATAGGAGGGCGATGGCGACGGTGCCCATTTTCAGCTCGGTGCGCGCGAAGAGGATGGCGGTGCCGGAGACGGTGGCGATGGCGTCGGAGAGGAGGAACCAGGCGATTAGGAAGATTATCATTTGGCGGAGCTTTATCGCAACCTTGATGGTTTTCCATAATGAGATCCAAGCAAAGGAGAAATAGGCTACGAATGCACGCCATTTGTTGCGATGGGAGGATGCAGTCTCGAGAGGGGGGCCAGGGCGGTCGCGAAGCCACATTGAGGAGGGGATGGTGAAGGCAAACCACCATATTCCGACCATGAGGAGGACCAATCGAAGGGGAAGGGTCGATGAGACATTCTTCTTCTTCGACATGAGGAAAAGTACCAAGATGCTGAGAATCTGGACAAAGACTGCAGCGATATATCCAATGCCCACGCCTTTAGACGAGATTTTAGAGGATAGTTGGAGCTCCGTGGTAGTTGATTTGGACACTGATGGAAAGGCTCGACGATCATCTCTTTCTTCATCGTCAACCGAGTCTCTGTCAGGAGATAGAGACTCCAAGGGTATAGATGAAGAATCTTGGTTGGAACGACCTCCGGTAACTACTAAGGGATGGTTCGCCACAAGTAGTGGAAGGAAAGCATTGAGCAGGACGAAAGAAGATCCAAGACAAGTGACACCGACGACCACCAGAATAGCGCCAAGAAGATAGATTTTGGGGACGACAAGAATGAACAGCATTGAGGATATGGCTCCAGTAAATCCAAATGCAACTAGAAGTCTCTTCCGATAATCACCTGAAGCTTGTCAGCGTTTGAAGCCCAAACGCAGGAGTAAATACTCACCATGGTCCGCAACTGAGCTGAACGAGACGAGTGCTAGGGCCTGTATAAATACAGCCGCAGAAAAGGTATACATAGCAAAACTAGAAGTGGTGATCTCGGACCCAAAGAGACGGATAATACATTGGGTATTCTCGGGTGCTGAGGCTCTTGCGAGCAAGGCTGGCGCCGTCGTATTGACAGCATCTCCAACGCCCGCCGCAGCTTTCGACATGCAGGAGGTCGTTCTATCAGACCAGAGGACCGCATTCTCCTTGGCAAGCTGTTCCAATGTCACGGGGAGGAACGAGCCCACTCCACAGACCGCGAACACTTCCGCCGCGACGCCGTAAAGATACCAGCCTCGAATCTCACGTTCCGTCGTCTGGCTTGTGTCTTCTCCTTTGTAGCGCGGAGCACGGCGCCCTGCTGCGCGGCCATCTTCCATCTGTTAAATATATACCCTCAAAGGTCCTGCCCGGTCTTATTCATTGAGTAGCGATTGTGAAGTTTAACGCGGGACGAAGTCGTTGCTTCGGCCTAAAGCTAGCACGTTTCGTTTCGGCTTACTCGGCATCGATGACGTTCATCACGTGAATGCCTCTTCAAAGAGAGTGGTCTTTGACCCAGTGGCAGATTAGAAGAACTCCATAACTATATAGATGACTTCAAGCGTAATATCTGGCAGCTGCAAATGTCGAAGCCCGAAAGCTGTCTCCAAAGGCCGGTGGGGTAGAGTCCTTGTAGGTGACGTTCAATGGTACCTCCACCGCCCGGCAGAATCGCCTGAAATCGTAAGGCGCTCGCGACTCGCTTATTCCCAGCAACCTTGAGGTCGGTGGCTACCACTCCTCATCACGGAAACACTATCAGTTAGCTTTCTACCCCGGAAATCTAAGGATAGCAAGAGAAACAACATTGGCAATATGACGGACAAAACGGCGAAGTATCGGACGGAGATCCAGCAGGTCAGTTTGGTGCCTACCTTAGTCTTCCTTGTCCAAACACATCTCCCTTTAGCTGGGCAATGCACGAGATGCCCTGCCCCATGGGCCCTGTCGAATGTCAAGGAAGTGGATTGCTGTCTCGACCTTGGTTTGGGCATCGAACAGAACTTGGCCTGGAGACTAAGCTTGAGAACGGCCCTCGGGATTTGATAGGGCCATGTTCAGTCTGAAGTCAGACATCAAGCTGGCCCATTTAACCTCGCCTCCTGCGCAGACACAGACACAGAAGGATTTGTGTCCCATCATTCATATTTACAGACTAACATGCGTTTACCAGATGATGTATGTCTCTGGGGAGACCGCTGAAGCCTCGGCCGAGACCACGGGCATGATTGAGGAGATCGTACGTCAACAAGTCATTGAAATGGTATGTCTAATGCCAAATCCAGTCGTGATCCTTTTCTAAAACCTCTAAGCTCCGACAATGCACCGAGCAAGCTTCTCGCCGTGGTAGCAGGTCAATTTCTACCGATGACTTGATCTTCCTCATCCGTCACGACCAGGCTAAGGTGTCTCGTCTACGTACCTTTCTCTCCTGGAAGGATGTCCGGAAGAACGTTAAAGATTCCGATGACAAAGGTGGCGATGCCGACCTGGGAACTGGTGATGAACCTGGTGGAGCAGCAGCAGGTCCCGTCGTAGATACCGCCAAGAAGAACAAGAAGGCCAAGGTTGGTCTGCCTTGGGAAGTGCCATCACTTTACAACCAAGAAGTTCCCGAGAGAGAAGATGAAGAGGATGAGGATGAGGAGGAGATGAATTATGCAACTCTACAACGTCTTAAGAAAGCCGACGAGCGCACAAAGGCCATGACGAAGGAGGAGTACGTCACGTGGTCAGAATACCGACAAGCTTCCTTCACATTCCGCAAGGGCAAGCGGTTCAAGGAGTGGGCAGGCTTTGGCGTTGTCACAGATTCGAAACCCAATGATGACATAGTCGACATCCTGGGATTCTTGACTTTTGAAATCGTCCAGACCCTCACCGAGGAGGCGCTTAAGATTAAGGAGCAGGAAGACTTGGGCAAGGCGAACTCGGGTGGAGAGCAGCAAGGGAAGAAACGTAAGCTTCAAGGCCTGTTTGATCCGCCATCCGAAGGACGAACTCCTGTTGAAAGCCGACACATCCAAGAGGCTTTCCGAAGGCTGCAGTCGCGTCCGAATAAGCAACGTGCTATGCGCAATTTCACAAGAGGTCTAAATAGAACACCCTTGAAGCTGGTAAGTTCGACTGCTCCTGTGGTCAAGAAACAATTTACTGATACTTATAATAGTTCTAATTTCCTGGTGGCTTTGCATGGGTTAACGTTTGGCGTTACGGAGGAGGGACGTATAGGTGTTATTGTGTGGATTGGCGTCACGATACCAGGTTATAATTGTATTTTGTTAAGTAAAAATTTTGGTTTCGATTCAAAGGATGTTGGCGTCAACGCTGATACTTATCTGAGACAGCTTGTTCATAGTGTTAGGAACTACTCACTACGTAGGAAGGCTCAATCTTCTGCCATCTCCATACTTATGATATCTGGTACTGTGGCCACCGCAAGAATTTGGCATTATGTGCAGACAACTTCAACCCATGAATTAAACCTCTTCAAGTGAAGACCCCAAGTCAGCCCTATTTTTGGCTCACAGATATCATCAATCCATATTTCCCCCTTTCATATTCCTCCCAATCCAATCCCTTTCTCTACAAATAAAGAGATGAATCGTCACCTAGGGAATTTTTCTTTTTCTTTTTTTTGGAATTAATCCAGCATCAACGAATCCAAGAATCAAACAAAAGGACCCAAAAGCACACCCAGAACCCACCACCTCTTTCAAATAATGAGTCCTATTAAACCCACCCCGCCGCGCCACCAATCCGCTGATAAACAACACTTATCCGAACCATTTCCAGAGGAGAGAACAGGGAGTGTGTCTTAAGCGAGCCCCTTTACCCCGACCTCTTCACAGTCAGGATTTGTTCTGTTTCCGCAACGAAGTTGGTTGTTCACGAGGATGAACTTCTCGAGGATGGGCGGCTGGTGCTTGCGGCTGTGCTGGGCTTGTTTGTTTATTTATTCACCGTGATCTAGATAGAGATCTGTAAACATCTCATCCAGAGGGCAGCGTTCTCGACTTTCTCTCTTCTTCCTCAACTCGACTCTCAACATTGGAACTCGGGATAGCGAACGCGCTCTTGAGTTGTGAGATACCGGATAGATACGATACAGGTCTGTTCCACTCCTTTATACTCGATGGGCAGAAAGAAAGAAGAAAACTCAACTAACCACCATTGGCAGAAACCCCCAATTTCTTTCTTTCCATCCAAGCCAATCCATCCATCCATCCATCCGGCAAGATGTCAACGGCCAGCACGCACCAGTGTGTCATCTGCCAACAGCCAACCGCCACAGCCTGCGCGCTCTGCATCGACACACCCCCCTACCTAACTCCCCAGTCCCCCATCTACATCTGCAGCTCAGCGACATGCAGCACCGCGCACGGCGCCCTCTGCACAACTCTCCAGAAGCGCCGCGCGCTCTACCGGGCGGGCGCCACGCTGCAAGCCATCTTCTACGATTTCCGGGCGCAGCTGTTCGAGATCCCGGTCCTGCGCACCGAGAGGCGGGGAGACAAGCTGCTGGTGTGGATCAAGGCGTTCGAGCCGCTGCAGATCGACCATGACTTGATTAGGGGCGTGCCCGAGGGCGTGGTGCGGGATGGGGAGGATAGGTTGGCGTTGTTGAGTTTTGCGAGGAGTTTGGATGCTGTGGCTTTTATGCATGAGTTGGTTAAGTATTTCTTGAAAGGTTGGTTTGGTTTGATTGATTTGATTTGATTTGAGAAGATTCTCTTCTTCATCCTCACTCATCCCCTTCTCCCCTCCCCTCCCCAAAAAGGACACAGAAACTAACACCCCCCCTTTCTTCACCCAGATCTCACAACCGACATCCTCGAAGTGTGCTACTTACCCCCCCGCACTCTCCCCCTCCAAATCCTCCTCTTCGGCCCCAACGATCAAGACATCGGCCTCATCCCACCGCACCACCTTCTCAAACTAACTCTCGGTCACGAAACCTACGCTCTCGACCTCGCCGGCGCACAATACGGATTCCCCGCGCCCATCATACCCTGGGCCACGTATCTCCAGACGCGCTGCAGCAGCGAGCGGGGCGCCATCGCCACAGGGCATTTTCTGTATTTCGGCAGCGCGCGCGATCGCAAAGTCGTCATCAGGCTCCAGGATACCTGGGAGGCAGTGTTAGCGGATATGCATCTGGAAGCTGCGAAACAGATGCGTGACATGATGATACATTGGGAGGCTAGAACGGGGGTTGGGATTAGTGAGGTTTTGGGGGGGAGCGGAAGGGTGGAGTTTGAGTGGAGAGAGGGGGAACTGAGGGGTGTTTTGAGGGGGGCGGTTAGGTTTTGGGTCGATTGGCATGCGGAGAGGGCGAGAGAGGCGCTGATGGTTGACCCGTAGTAGGGAGGTGGTTATGGGCGAGTGGTAGGAGGGAAGGAAAATGCGTATTGAGCAGAGGCACCAGAGAGCGCTCTTCTATCTCTTCTTTTCGTCTCTTCTCTTCTCTTCTCTGAGATGTAGTTATACACACCAAACCTAGGTATCCAAGAACCCAAAAGAAAATCCCAACTCCGAAATTAAACCAACGTCACACCTTCAAATCTCCCAAAACGTAAAACATCTGATACACGCACGGTCAAGAGGGTGAGTTGCCACATGGATAGATAAATGGGTTCGAGTTGTAGAGCCCAAGCATCCTCAGCAAATCCCCCAAGACCCGTGGGATTTATTGTTTCATGTCCCCCCCTCCTTTTTTTTTATCTTTACTGGAATTTAGAAGCTAGGTAGGTAGGTTTTTGATGGTTAATTGGGGGAATTGATGATCAGGACCCAAGGATTCTCGAATTAAGATAAACAACATAAGGTAGGTAAGATATCAAAAAAACTAATCAAATCATATAAAACCCCATCCCATCCCATACTCTCCCACCTCACTCACTCACTCACTCCTTCTCCCCTCTTCTCCACCTCTCAATCTCCTGTTCATTAACCTCCCTCAACCTCGTAACCTGGGGCGTTTCCCCCTCTTTCTCTCCCCCAAGCTCCCCCCTCCTAACCTGATCCTCCACCCCCTTTTCCCCCCTTCTCGCAATCGCATACGTCGCCGTATTCGTCCTCACCCTAATAACGCCAATCCTCGGATCCTCCGGTCCTCCATCATGCACGCCATCACCCAGATCACCCAACCAGGCTTTGAGCGCTGGGGAATAGTATTTTTTAATCGTGCCGCGGTCCGTGATCATGGAAGAGGTGCCCGAGATGGACGCCCATTCCCCTGACGAGTTGAGGAATGATATGTTGACGTGCGGATCGTGGGAGATGTCTGACGTTTTGCCGGAGATGGTGTTGGTGTGGAAGATTAGGTCCACGCCGTTGTTTTCCTGTGCGTGGTTGGTTAGTAGGGGAGGGAAAAGAGGAGGGAGGGAAAGGGACGTACTTTAGCAGCTAACCCCATACACCTAGAAACCAGCGCCCCAGTCTGTCCATGATGCGTAGTCATCATACCAAACTTACACTTTGAAATAAACTCGCTCAAATCCTCAATCTTCTCTTTCAGAGACACATTATCGATGTTCTTCTCGCGGTACGGGTCCGCCGTGGGCTTGTCGCTCGTAGATGTAGACATGATGTCGTCTTGCGTGTTTGATTTTTTTTTGTTTTTTTCAGGTTGGTTGCACTTTTTGTGTGTGTGTTGTCTTGTTCACCTAGAGAGAGATTTGGGTATGTGATATTAGCATATGTACGTAGATAGGTAGGTAGTATTTCAGAAACATAACATAACATCTCATCTCTCTCCAAGCAAGCCAACTAGCTAGCTTCCCTTCCTTCCCTCCCTTCATATAACCAGCAATGAAAAAAAAATCCCATCAAACTTACAAATCTCTCAATATCATCAATATCAGAAAATCAAGATATAAAGTATTCAAACAAAAGCCCTCTCCTCCCCCTTCCCCCCGCCCCCGCCTTTTATATATGATCAACCCATCAATCTGGCGTGATACCATGATGACGTATTCCAACATCCAGGGCCAGTTACCTACCTTATGTAAAAAAGGCCAGGGAACGTATAGGGATTCTGATTTTCCTCCTGCGCCGGGATAACTGGAATGCATGACCTTATGATGAGGAAATTCGTCATGGTTCCTGGGCTTCGGGTGGCGAGAGGTGTGTGAAAATGTGGGGTAAGGTAGACACGCGGGGTCGCATCAACATGCGATGGATCTCATGGGCGTGCAGTGCAGATATGGAGAATGCTTCTTTATCAATGCATTCATTCATTCCCTTTTGCTTTACCTTGAGCATAGAAAGTGCCTCTTGATTAGTGCATTCCCTTTTACTTTACCTTCACCCTGGTGCCGAGAAGCAACGGCGTCACGTGCTCATGACAAAAGGCCAAGCGTTAGTGTCCCCAGTTTTGCTTCACCTCACTTGTAGAGGGCTACCTAATCATTTCATTCCTGCTATTGCTCTTAATCTACATGGACCTCTCGCTCAGCACAGCTCAGCACCTCCTCCGTTGATCACTCGAAAAATCCACCCGAGGAAAACTCGCACTACCCTAGACAGCTGGTGTCCGGGGAGCGAGGCATCTGCAAAGCCAGAGGATCTGGAAAGAAGAGAAAATGAGACACTAGTCATACAATTACTGGCACCATTTAAAAACGAGGCCAGGGTGTGTATACTGCCTCCACATCCACAATGGCTTCTGCAGATGTGCAAAGAAGTGAAAGGAAAGGAAAAGAAAAACCGTCGGTATCCTCCTCAGAAGTAACAACGGTGAAATGCAAAGAGAAGTCGAGGAAATTTTAGATGTGTCGTTTCGCTCGTATCCAGCCATCCAGGTGCCCCATTACGCCGTGATTCCAAATATTCTATTTCCTTCTGACCCGAAAGATCTCAATCCACCCATCACAGAGCTTGGCCGGGAACGGGTTTGCGACCGACGGGACCGAGAGGAGGACCCCGGAACTCGGGCGGAGGGTTGGAGGGGGGGCTGGTAGCTGGGTTCATGGGGCTTGGGCCGGGAGGAGTATTGCGTCGCTCTTGCATCTGGGCGGCAGAGGGACTGGAAGGACGACTTTGTTGACCGTTTGGTGTCATGGGGCGTTGGGGGTTGTATTGGGGACCAGTGGGAGTCATGGGTCGGTTGCCAGTGGGAGTCATTGGACGACCCTGATTCATAGCTGGAGACATTGGACGACCTTGGTTCATGGCAGGGGACATGGGACGCGCTTGAACGGGGAGGCGCATGCCTGGGGGAGGAGGGCCGCGAGGGCCATTCTGCGGAGGGCGAGGCTTGACGGGGCGGACCGAGAGACATGTACGAGGGACGACACCTTGGCGAGAGCGGTCGAGACGGATGCAGAGTGCCTGGAACGTGTTAGATCAGACGCAAACAAATTCGAACGAGAACTTACCCATCCATCATCATACTCGTGCAGGAGTCTGATCAGCTGACCAGCACGGAGCTCCAGCTCATCGTCCATGGATGGGTTGAAGTCGAGTTGGACACGGTGAACAGTGCTGTTGGCAGGACCACCAGCGGCGGCGATAGCTGCACCGGTGCCGGTGGGGGTTGGGGTAGCAGTGGCATCGGATGAGACGCTGAATTCCGTTCCGGAGGGGCTTGGGGGAGGCAACAAGGGGCCCTTGGTGGTGAAATCCATCGCCTTTGGTCCCTGACCGCGGATGGAAGCTCCACGCACGAGTCCTGTTGCAGCACCCGCTGCCGCACCGGTCGACGCCGCAGCAATGATCTCGCCCTTGGGAGTGACATCATCCACGACAGCTGGACCACTTGCATTGGCAGCATCGATGGTTTCGGCGTGGTTACCGAACGGGTTGTTGAGGTTGTTGGCATCAGCTCCTCCGGCGGTGTTCGGTGGTGGAGTGGCGAGCGCATTCCCACGGCTCTGACGCTTCTCAGCCAGGTTGGGGAGGAATTCCGTCACGGGACGCAGGGAGAGGCGGGGAGCGGTGGCCGTGGTGCGTGTGCTGGCCTGTCGTGCTATGGCGGCAAAGGCATCCTGCTTCTCATTCTCATCATCCAGGCGTTGACGATCGGCAGCGCGGCGCTTCCTCATGAAGCAGAAACCGACGACAGCAATGACAGTGGCGACGAGACACACGATACCGACGGCAAGTCCGACCTTCCCTCCGGTGCTCATCCCGCCGGATCCCGAACTCTCTTTGGCCACGCTGGAAGCGCTGGGTGTGCTGGAGGCATTCGCTACGGCCTCGAGAGAAGGTGTAGCGGAGAGGAGGGCCGAGGAAGAGCTGGAGATGGCACTGCTGGCTGCAGCCAAGAGGATCGAGGTCGGCACGATGGACGATGACGGCACGATGGAAGCCGGGAGGACGGCCGAGGTTTCGAGAGTGGTGTGCTGCGGCTGGGTAACCGGGAGCGTGGTGGAGGGGACCGGCTTCACGACGTGGGAAGAGGTATCCACGACCAGAGGTGCCGACTTGATATCTGCTGAAGCCGTCGTGGCGGGCGGAGCTGGAGCCGGAGCTGGGGCGTGGGTCGGGGCCTCGATGATGGGACCCAGCGTTGTATATCCTCCCACCTCGCCCTCGAACGTCTTCGGGGCGGTCACGTAGACGACGGAGACGATGGTGGACTGGTCACGCGCATGGTGACGATGGAAGTGGTCGTGGCCGGGCATGACGAATAATGGTGTGCGAGTCGATGAAGGAATGAATGAACGACCTTGGCGGTCGGGTGGGTGCGATCACCACGCGTGTATTCTGGTCACCGAGTAGTTGTTGATCTGGTCGACGATGTATTCGAGACGCGGGTGAAGATGACGATCGGGTTCGAAAGGAAGGACGGTAGGCGGGCAAGATCGTGAATACGAACGAAGCCCACGAAGGGGGAAAAGGAATGGAAGGGTGGTCGCGACGCAAGAAACGAAGTAAACAATCAATGTTCAAGAATCAATCCGCCGATAAAAGAGGGACGACGGAAGAGAGAGTGAAGGGGGGTGGTTGATTGTCGATAGCGACGACGAGGTGGAAGGGAGGGAGGGAGGGAGGAAGAAACAGAAGAGAGAGAATGAGAGAGCGAGAGAAAGAGGAAAAGAGAAGGTGGAAAGAGGTTTCTGTGCCAGGGGGCGGGCGGGCACGATTGATGGGGGGGGCGGCGTGATGGGCGTGATGGCTTGACTATGGCTGATTCGCTTGATTCGCTTGGATTCGCTTGATTCGCCTGATTCGCCTGATCCGCCTGCTGCTCCCTTCGCCTGGCACTCGCTTGATTGGCCGCATCTGCACCTCCCCTGCGCCTTTCCTCTTCGGGTCGGCGCCATGCAGGAACGCCGCAAACACGAGCAGCGCGCGCTAAGCCGGATAGAGAGCTAGCCAGGCACGGGACGGCCAGGGCGGCACGGCGCTGGATTGGCCGAGGACCCAGACATAATTTTAAAAAGGGCGGGGACGATAGTCACGATAGTCACGATAGAGAAAGAATAGCAATCAATCATGAGATGGCATGGGACTCACTGATACACCGGATGTTATCATGATATATGGGTACTTATCATTATCACCATATCATGATCCGTATCATCGGGTCGGTACCTAGGGGAGGTATATAATAGCAACAAATATCAAGTCTACTTCTCGGTGCCACACCCCCAGCCTCACATCCAGTAATCAATCAATAAACCCCTTCTAATTCCTTCCGAGTCCCAATCAATCCTTCCATTCATCAAGACCCGAAAGACCGAGGCACCACACCACACCACACCACACCATCCATCATCCATCCATACCTCAGGCATCCACACCCCCGTATCAATTTCTCTGAAACTTGGCCCCTGCGCTCTGTGATTGGTTCATGGCCCCTATTCATTTCCTTTCTGTTTTAGCGCTCCTCCACGTGATTCCAGGACCGGATCATCCCATGTTATGATGTCAGTCAGTCCAGTACCTTACAATATAATGTCGAGTCTCTAAGAGTACCTATGAGGAGAGAGACAGACCTGAGGGGGGGACCGGTTGGAGAAGAAACATAAGATTGAAACTTTTATTGGATAATTTCTAATCATCTATCTGCTACAGACTACAGCCCTCTCAATAGATTCAACACATACATCTATCGTACCTACCTACACTACGATTTATTGCCCGACCTAACCCACCCAATCCAGATCCAGATCCCCCCACCCGAGAGACTCGAGTCATTCATTCAATTCACCCCCATCCCATCCCATCCCTCCAATCTTCCCAATAATCTAGCGAAACCATCCATCACTAAAACAACTGAAACTCAATCAAATACTGAAACTTGTCATTTCGCGAATACTCATCAGAAAGAAAGAATCCTAGGTAGAGCAGGCCCCCTTCAACCGAGGAACGGGACGCCGGGTTCTGGGGACATCACGTGCACATTGCAGACACGAAGGAATATTCTAGGTTCTGCCCAATTCCATCTACCGACGTACTTATCTTAGGTATATTGGAGTATGCATGCATACATACATACATTCTGTACATAGGTAGGTAGGTACCTACATACATATACATATCTGCATGCATACCTACATACATACATGCCTACATACATCCATCCATCCATCCATGCATCTATGCATCCCGTCCCCAATCCAACCGCCCAAAAAAAAAAAACAAAACAAAAACAAAAACAACCCGCTCCCTCATCCATCCCCACCCCCAAAACCCCCCTCTCTCTCAACACGCCCCTTCCAAGTTCCCCCCTCAAAAAAATCACAAAAACAAAAGCAAATGAACAGAGTGGGACTCGAACCCACGCCACTTTCGTGACCAGGAAACTGTATGCTAAGGGAGACACCTTAACCTGGCGCCATAACCAGCTCGGCCATCTGTCCTTTGGTGATTGTTGTGTGTTTGCCAGCTTACTGTGGTTTTTATATGTAAGCCGGCATGGGATTGGGATTGGGATTGGATTGGATTTCTGTAGTCATTATTTACCTACTGTAGGTACATACCTTAGGTACAGATTGATTGATTGATTGATTGATAGGTACTGAACTTTGAAAATACAAGGTTCATTTTTCTTTTTCACTCCATTCCCATGCCAATACCCCCTCCCTTGTTTTTCTGCAATGATTTTTTTTTTTCCAAAAAAATCAAAAAAATCCATAAATCACTTTGCACACATCTATTATCCATACCACGCACCTTAGCGGAGGGATTTTTCTTTTTCTCTTCTCACCGTGGAACCATGATTGGATCATATACATTAGAGTAGAACGGCTATCTTCTCTATTCCATAGGGTCGTTGGAGAGTAGGAGGGACTTTTTTTGGGGGAGGAGGGGGAGGAGGAGGGGGGGGGGGGGTTGCATATATTGCATCTACCTCACGCTCCTACATCTACGTACCATCTCAATTGCCTCCTTAATTCTGTAACGGATTCATATTGTAAGTAGCTGTGGTCTACAAACAGAGCGCATTTTCGCAACGCAGAGAAAACAAATCGTAGAATCATCCCCAGCCAGCAAGGTAGCCAGAGAACCCCCCATACGCAAGCAATCCTAAGGGCTCCTGGAAAGAGTCAAATGCTGGCCCAAAGGACAATGTATTTTGAGACCCTCCCATGCCACGGTATCCCCCACTACGCCTGGAAAGAGGAAAAAGAAAAGAAGGCGCAAGTCCGAGCACATCGAAAGCAGAAATTTTGAAGACAACCGACGAGATTATCTCCCCTGGTATCCTCCACGCCCTGGAATAAAAAAATACCTATGTATGAGGTCCCTTGAGAACAAAGGTGAACCATCCAAGGCAAAAGACAACTGACCGTCTGGCAAGAGAGGTAGCTCCACGCCGTAACGCCCGCGATTTCGTCAATACGCCTCAGAGGAAGAAGGTACTGATGGAAGAGGACTCGCTACAAACGATAGACTTGCCCGAATCCGAGTCGTCTGGAGGGACTTCACCATCAGTCGGCTCAAGTCGTCTAAAATAGGAGAATCCGCGAGTGCGCATGAGCTCCAGAGCGATCTCCTTATCCCTCTCTCCAACGGCCCGGGACTGTGAATCGATGAAGTCCTGAAGAAACTTCTTTCGATCCTCAAGCGCCTTGCGTGTCTCGCCAGCAGTGGGAACCTTTTCTCTCGTCATGCTATGGCATAGGGTGCACGTCTGCTCTACCATTGGCGCCTCAGGACCGCTCCGGCACTTCCACCAACCCTCTCGACGTCCCACCGCTGCCCATTTTTCGTCGGCATCATGATACTCAAAATCCCACGGAGGCTTGTTGGGGTCCCCTTTAATAGGGTCGGCGGTTAGCTCCTCCAACTCAATTAGCTCATTCATCATTGCCGTGAATGTATCCCAAGGCTTATCCACTAGATGGCTTGGGAACCATTCTGGGAGATCTGCGCCGCAAGTGTCGCGATCAGCAAGTGTAATTGGAGGTCCAGGAGGGATGTGTCTCTTCATGCATTTACTGCAGTACCCAAGTTGGCTACCAGACTTGTTGACATTGTCGACAAAGTCCTTGCGCTGCTCTTCGGCTGTATAGATCTCACCACTGACTCCTGGAGTTGTCGTAACCCATGGGGTCCGCTGAAAGTTGATGGTACGGGCCAGCTTCTCTCCCTCACTGTGGGGCTCCATATGTAGGTTGGGATTCTTAGCCTCCTCTCCAGCCTTCTCTTCAGTCTTCTCATTCGCCTCAGTGCTTGAGCTGGGAGTGAGTATAGTGCTGGAGTCAGAAGTGGACGAAGTATCCTCGACGGCCTCGGTAATTGACAGCAGCAGCTCATGTGCAGGCTTGCGGCTCTTCGCATGGCCGACGACCGTCTTCCTATTCTGTTCGCCGAGCACAATGTGTTCAGACCGCCTAATGGTGGTTTGTGAGACAAACTTAGGGTAATTCTTCGCCTGGACCTTAGCATGGTCGATATGCTTGATACCGTGGCCTTTGAGAGCATTTTCGTAGGCCGCATTGTTAGGGGGCGGGAAGGCTCTCAACGCAATCGGACCGGGTCTTACATTCTCGTTGATGACACCGAATCCACCTCGAACAATGTTAGTGCAGTTAGGCTGGTACTCGGGGTATCCGGGACCTCCTGAGGTTATGTCAATGATCGATTCAGTTGGAGCCTGAGCGCAGTACTTACCTTTGCCATCATGAATGATCTTAGGCGCATAACGAGGAGGAGGAGCGGAGAGTGATCGATTCCGTGGAACAAGGGAGAGAGGTCCAGACGAATTCTCTCTGTCTGGAGCATCTTCGCGGCTTGCCATGTTGATAGATCTCGGCTGATAGAGTCGCTTTTGGCAAGGGCTTGGGACTCGAGATTGTCGAAGAGATGAGAGAATCTGTATGAGGGCTTCTGCAAGGAAGCTTCCGTCTGAAGAGCTTATGCCTGAGGGTGTCTGTTTGTGAGGGTGTCTGCCAGACCTTGTCTGAAAAGACGTCGCTTTTGAGAGAGACCTGGGACTTGTATGTTGTTGAAGATCTGTGGAGAATCTGTCTGAGGGGGTTCCCTGTCAGAGATGTGTTTGTCAAAATGGTGTCTGTCAGATGAGTGACTGTCTGGGGAGTGCTTGTGGAGTGGATTGTGTGTGGAGTAGCTGTGGAGAGTGACCGTGGAGAGTGACCGGAGAGCTTCCGTCTGATGACCTTTGATCCGCGGATGCTGTACAAGAGTGTCTGAGGAGATGTCTGTCTGAGGAAGTATCTGTCCAAGAGGAACTTCTTGGAGACCACCCCTTCAAAGATTCCTCTACCAGACTTACCTCACACCCAACCTTCTCCGCACTCCAAAGTCCTCTGGCACACAGGACAAACCCTGATCTGACAACCTTCGTCGTTTCTCTGTATGTCTGATATCAAGAATCACAATCCAGATAAAGAAGGAGAGTGGAGAGTGGAGAGTGGAAGGAGAGTGGAAGAAGAGTGAAGAAGTTCACAGATGCCAGCACCACCAACGTTTGTTTATTTATGCGTGACCGTGACAGTCTATGATGTCGCCGCCAGAGCCTGAGGACGACTTTGGAGAACGATGTCGTTGTGAGGCCTGAGGACGACCCGGAATAAAGAAATAGAACGAACCCCTTTTCGATGTGTTCCTTGACGATGTCGTCGCTATCGCGGCCTGAGGAGCACATCCGCTTTTCCTTTTCGGCAGCTGCAGCAGGTCAACGACGTGGCCTGAGGACGGTAGGAGAAGTGCAATCTGAATTTGGCAGTTGCGATGGAGACTTGGTGGATAGACTGAGAACAGACATGCCGAACCCGGAGAAGGATGAGCAGCACACCCATTTTACCAATTTTCTGAGAATTATAACTCCTTTCTTGAAAATTGTAAGGGAACAACTAAGAACTACAGATATCACTAATAGAAAGACAAGACATTCAAGACATCTGGGTAGATGCAAAGGTTATTCTCAAAGAAGGAAAAAGATGAGATATTGTTACCCCTCCCATATGGTTCCCGCAGGTTCGTCCTTTGAAGAAGAATCTAGTATGGAAGATACTCGAATAAACGGTTTGTAAATGCATCATTGAGTCTAACTTCTCTCAAACTGCATCTAAATAGCAATAATCAAGCCGAGCCCTTTCTAGGGCACTTAAAAACAAACTGTGGGGGTATCGCAAGAAATGAAAATCTGAGGGCCCTTTGTTATTGTAAAGGTCCCACGCTAACCTTTTCCCTCTCCCGTAGCGCCTGTTCCTGTTCTACCTTTACTTTGGCTCTATCCATTCTCCTCCTATCTGCCTCGAGAGTGGCAAATCTTCCCCGTGCGCCATGCTTGACTTTGGTGATCATATCGGCGGCCTTCCCTTTTGTGATGCTATCCCCAGTTAATTGCTCATCTTTTGAGCGAAGCTTGTTGAGGAACGCAAGCTGCCCGTCGCTTGCGGGGCTATTCCGCCAAGATTGATTTCGAGAGATGACTTTGTACGGATATTTTTTATGTGCATAGGTATCCGCCGCGTGAAGTGCATCCGTGAATGTAAGCGCTCGTGCGATCGGCCGAGGCTTCATGAAGGGAGCCTTCGATATTGCTCCAGAAAGACGAACAGTTTCTGAAACAAGATAGCTCCCGTTGGAATCCGCAGCGTTGTCTTTTTCTAATTTCAGGTATGAGCCGTCTGAATTTGTCAGGACATATCGATCCTTGTGGACGCAGACCCAGGCGTGTGGTGACATAGCTCTGATATGCTGTTCTTCGGATGCGTCACTAATTAGATCGAAGACCGACTCGTAATCAGTGAACGTAATGTTCTTTGATACCGGGAAAGAAGACCCAGAATTGGTGTTCAAAGATCCAGCAACGTTCTTCCTTGCCATCTCCGCCTCCCTTCGTTCTTGAAGATCCTTCATGTCCTCTACTGTAGCACTCTCCAAAACCTCCTGAGGGTCAAGTCCGAACAGAGTTGGGGTGGTGATTATGCCCGTCTCTAGACTAGCCACCATATCAATGATGTGGCAATCTTTCTTTCCCGGATGCAGTCTCATGCCTCGACCGATCATCTGGACAAGAAGGTTGCGAGACTTGGTTGGACGTGCGAGTAATACACAATCAATATTAGGAATATCGGTTCCCTCAGTGAAAACCCCGCAGTTCACAAGCACTGGAAATTCGCCTTTTCTGAAAGACTCAAGGCGAGCACTTCGTTCAAGCTTAGGGGTATCGCCTGTAACAAATTGTGCATTTATACCGTGCTTTCGAAACGTGTTGGTCAATCCTGCTACATGAGCAAGATCAACGCAGAAGACCAACGTCGACTTCCTCGATCCGGCCTTAGCAAGCCAGCTACGGACGGTAATTTGGTTTGTCTGTTCATTGTTGACCGCCTGAGACAATTCGCCGGGTTGAAAATCGCCATTGGCCCCTTTTCTCACCCGAGATATATCGACCTTCGACTGAACAGTAGTGAACGTCACATCCGAAAGCCATTTCTCCCCTATCATATCAATATAGTCCTTGTGGTATACTATCTGGTCAATAGCCGCGCCTAGTCTTAAACCATCGAACCTTGACATTGTCGCAGATACCCCGACAAGAGCCGGAGACGATGGTTGTGCCTTCGAAAGTCCGAAATAATCCAGAGTCCTCATATATCCCGGAGCCACAATATGATGTGCTTCATCGACAAGTACGAGTTTGAAAAGGCTAGGATTGAACTTGGACATGCGGTCGCCAGACACGATACTTTGGATGCTTGCCACAGTGATGTCTGCATACCCACTAGCATGCATTGGGCCCATTTCAATCTCGACTTTCTTTGTGGGATATGCATTGCTACAATGTCGAGCTGCTTGCTCCACCAATTCTTGTCGATGTGCCAATATCAGTGTTTGCGTAGCGGTTTCGGTATGAGGTTTAACGCGGTCAATTAGTTGTGTAAAGATAACCTTCGATGGTCAGTAAGATCCATATAGAGGGGGGACACAACCTACAGTTTTACCACTGCCAGTAGCCAAAGATATCCCAAGGCGTTTGTGCCCTTGCTCTAAATGAGAAAGCACTGCCTGGATGCATTCTTCTTGATACTGGCGCAGACGGATTTTTAGGGGCGGGCTTGGGTCAACTATTGTCGGGGAAGATGTCGAAGCTGTCGCAAATCGACGTAAGGTTGGGGGCCTAGTGCCAAGATTCCATCTCTGGAAGAGCCCTATCCATCCTCTCGAAGCTTGAGGCATACTGAGGGATCCATCAGGGTCGTCGCAAGTCGATGCTGATGTCGATGTCCGGGAATTTTGCCATACGGGATAGATGCATTGGCGCGCGAAGCGAGACGCGAACCCTTGCTCGGCCGGCAACGGTTTCTCGACCAGGGGGTAGAGATATCAATCAGATCCTCAATCTCTACCTACCTTACGTTACTAGGAAAATCCATCCGCTGGATTTCTTATAGCATTGGCCTTCGTTCCCACAGCTCGCAAGTCTGGTTCCCTCCCCCCAAATTATGTGGACTGCAAGAACAGAGAATACAGTTCGGAGAAAACGCCTAAAACAGGGGCGAAAGCAGAAATATGGACGCTGAGAACCTTGACGATCTTGGGATCGAGGTCCCATATTTGGACGAAGACTCTGGATCTGTCTACGAAGAACCGTCCGATGTTGACCGGAATTCCGATGAGGAACTTCAGATCTCTCGAGTCTCCAGAGCCAGTTCACAGAGACACCAGACTAGAAGCAGAAGCAGAAGCGTAAAAAATCGGTCTCGTGACGAGGAAGATTCGCTGCATGGTTCAGCTGCGAGTTCACAGATAGACCAGAAGACTCGTGATGATGCATTACAATGGGCTGCCAATTTCCAACCGCCTCAATCCCCAGGAGATATCAAATCACCCACAAGGCGTGCCGCGGGCACTCAATCAAAGCGGAAGGCGGAGGAAAAGCCAGCTAGTGAAGCCAGAGCAAAACGCCTAAAGAAATTCTACAACAACGATTATCGAGAACTTCTGAACATTGAGATACACGATGCAGTTGCAAGAACCGTCCTTGCTGATTACACACCTCTCCCGGAAAGTCAGATTGGGTCGTCAATATGGACCTCGGAAGAGAAGGATATTTTTTTCTCGGCATTGTCCAGGTTGGGCAGGAATGATGTCCGAGGGATTGCACTTCGAATCGGGAGTAAATCGGAACTTGAAGTACAGGAGTATATCCAAGTTCTGCACCAAGGGATGAAGGAGAAAGACGATATACGCAAGAATCCCCTCAGCTACGCGGATCTTCCAGCTGCCTTTGAAATCAGTGGCGAATGCTGTGGCTTGCTGGAAAGAGCTGGAGAGGCTCTTGCATCCCGGCAGGAATGTTCAGAAGAGAAGAAAGAAAAGAATAAATGGGGCAATTCCTGGCTGCTTACTACCTATCTCAGTAGAGAGATAGAGCACCAAAGGAAGGAGAATGGTGAAGAAAGCATAGAGGAAACCCTCCCTGCAGCAAACCTACTCAATCTCAAAAACTGGCTTGAATTGTCTCATAGAATCTTCATGAATCCTGGTGAGCCTCGGGAAGAAGATAACTGGCAGGCTTTGGCTGAGCCAGGTGAGACACCAGCTATTCGAGCTACGGCATTTGGGGATTTCCATTCTCTTGCGGTGAGCATTACGAAACGACTTATATCAACCACACTCTTCTGCACTATGTCCAGGCAACGAGCTACAAGTTCGAGGAAGTTCAAACGCGCCGAGGTCAATACAGACGACGTGGAAGCGGCTGTGAAAATCTTGGGCCTGAAGAGCGACAGTCACGAGTTCTGGGTTGGGTGCGCCAGAAGATCCCATCTGAACGTGTTTGACGACGGCGAGAACTCTGGTGATGAGGCTGATATGACATATGACGAGGTGGAAAATGCGTTGCGACAAGAAATCCCCAGGCGCTCTCGATCTCGGTCATTGAGCCGCCCCCGCAGGCTTTCCAGGGCGTCTGTCAGTAGCGTTGACATCGGAACGACTAGAGATGATTCAACAGACTCGCAATCAGAAGGTCTCGAGACCGATCATGCTCCTCTGCCCAGCCAGGAATCTGATGTGATGAGCAATTTCAGCCTGGAAGATGAAGAGTTCATGGACTTATCAGATGACGAAATCATACCTCACAATCCACGCTTGAAAGAGGCGAGGGAACGAAAAATAGAAGAGATAAAGGAGTTTATGCGTGCTCAAGAGGTATATGAGGAAGCATTCGATGAGCAGGCAGATCAGATGGAAGAGCAACGATTACGGAAGTTACTTGGGCAGACAACGCCTTTTGATGTCAAACCCGAACCTCTAGAGGTACCGGCTCGACCTAAGCATAGCAGAAATCAGATCGAGGAGGTAGATTGGAAAGATTCTGTTGAGTATTGGAGTCCATGGGAGACGCTACCAACTCCCGTACCCGAAGAGAGCTTTGCAGCGAATGCGAAGAGGAGATCCCGGAGGGCGAGAATGGGCATACGCGAGAAGAGTCCCGGGCATGAACTTTCAGCCGTCACCTATCTAACGGACGAAGAGGAGCTATCGTCCGATGAACCAGAAGGTGAATCAGAAGGTGAGGGGTTCAACGCTCACCCCAGTCTCGAAGAGCAAGAAGCCCCTTACGTTGGAGACGAGGATGCAGGAAATCTGGAAGACTATAAGCCAATTGGAGATGGCACGATTCACGATGATCTGCATTCGATATATCATGCTGAGGACGAGTCCCCGCAACTTCGGTCACCGACACCAGAAGGCGCCAGAGCTCGTTCTGATGAGCTTTCAGACGATTTTAGGATTTCAGATGATGAGATAGATATCAAAACCGAATACAACTATTGAAAAAGACTTGCAGGCACAAACCCATAGGGACCGTTCTAAGTGACCTTTTATTTTCTAGGAATACACAGAAACCAAGAAACTCCAAGTAGCCTACAGGTTGCGACTAATGCACATTATCACAGTGGCCAGACTTGCCATACTCAACCCCAATACGCCTGATTATACTACCCTGTTTTGCAAACCTTAAATGTCGTAGCTCTTTATTTGACCCTCAGCACTCAATGGTTGCACACTACCCGCAGCTGGAGTTGCACCCTGGAAAGTCATCTTCTCCCCTCCTGACATAACCTCCTGAGCCATCCTCAGGCCTTGCTCACCACCTGTGGCAGCTGCTGCTTTCAAACCTTCTTGCACATCCCTAACCCGCTTCTTGAATGCAAGACGATCTAAGAATAATTGCTGACGCCCTCTTTCTAGTTCTCGACGCTCAGCTTGCAGGATTGCCTCCATCTCGTTGAACTGCTTGAGCTTCAGTTCGAACTTCATGAGGGTGGCATTGACTGCAGCCGAGACAAGCCGTGTCATCTCCCGCTCTTCATGAGAGGCAAGCCCTCCCGCTCGAGCAGCAGCAGAGGCAAGCGGAACGGTCGCAAGCCCGCTCAGAGAGTGTGTGGTAGTTGTAGTCGTAGTGGTCGTGGTCGTGGTCGTTGTGTCATGTTGAATATCAATCTCCATAGAATCACCTTGCTTCTCCTTGCCCTTTTCTGATGACTTGGATTTTTCGAGCGAATCGCGTAAGCTTTGTTTCATCACTTCAACACTCTTGTTTGCTGCGGCTGCGGTTACACTTGGCTCTGTGAGACCAGCCAGGAAACCAATGACAGACATGACTGGGTTGTCCGCCTGGCTGAAAGGAAGTAAGCCTGATCGCGAACCTAGCATGCCCATCCCTGCGGATCGGGTGAGGGGTTCTGAATCAAGATACTTGTCTTCGATCTCAAATTGCAAAAATTTGACCACACACTCCTCCTTTGTTCGCGTACCGACATAGTCTGCAACTTCTGCCCAGTCCTCATCGTAGCGCTCCATAGCTTCGAGAAGCCGAAGCACCTCACCATCAGACCAGGGTGCGTCACGTTCCGGAATGCCTTTGTACCTAGGATTCTCAATCTTGACGTATACACTGGATTGATGGCTTGCTGGCATTCGTCCATCTGCGAAGCAATTGGGACAAAGATCATATTTGACCTTGCCTGGGCCAGTTCCTTGGTCCGCCTGAGCGTTGTGATAGTGGACAACTGTGCAATCAATACCGCAAGAAAAGCAATGAACCTTTTCGGTAGTGTCCTTCACGACATCTTCGATGGATTGTGGGGCTGCTGGTTCAGCACCATTTGTTGTAGGGGCATCTCCATTTGCTTGTTTTTCTGTGGTATTGTTGAGTTTCGACTCCTTTGCGGTGGGTTCGTATATGTTCCGTCCGACTTCAAGGTTTAAATCACCCTTGGCTACAGGCGCTGCAGCAGCCTTTGCCTCGGTGTCTGCATTCTTCTTTCCCTCAACGACCAATGGATCGGCTGCAGGCTGCCATGGCTGGAGTCCACGCGGAGTGTCGCAAATGACTTTGAAATGTCCCGTGAAGGGTGGCCCAACACTGGAAGGTCTTTGGTCTGCATCAACCTACGATTTCATTAGTCATACTATTCTAGATGCATTTATGCTAAAGACCTACCTGGTAGTTTATAAGACCCCACTGCTCGAGGAAAGCGTGGACTCGCATAATAGCACACACATCTCCCGCTAAATTTCTCCGGCAAGCCGTCACAGTTAGGTATTCAATGGGATTAAGACGGTATGTGTTGATCATAAAGTCACGGTAATCTTTGTAAATAGCTGGAGTCTTGCTTCGATTTCGGTTGTTGAAGAATTCCGGGAGCGCCTTTCTTTCGATGTTGTTGATCTTATGCATATCGAACCACGTGCTGTAACTTGGCAGGATTATAGAGTGCGTTTGCGAAATAAGGTGTTCTCGTGCTGATGCTTCGATAGACGTCTTTGTCTTCTCAGCTTGCTCCTCTGCAGTGCCGCTTTGCGCGGCACCATCTCCTTCACCCTGCCCTTGGGTTTCTTTAAGGTCATCTTGAGCTTCAGCCATCTCTTCATCCTTTATCTCATCGCCTTCACGTCGAGGCGCATCAGGCGCATCAAGAGGGTTGTCAGATACAACGGCAGGGGTAGAGTCGGATGTACCATCCTTGGTGGCGGGTTCAGTTGTGGCATCTGCATCGCCTTCAACCATCGAAACATCAGCAGCTAGACCTCGTTAGTAGATATAGATGTTGTAGATGGCGAGAGCACGTACTTTCTGCAGCTTGGTCTTCCTGGGTGGAGTCGCCTTGTTGTCCAGAAGGAGTAGATTCTTGTTGCAGCGGCGGCTGCGCCAGAATGGAGTTGCTACCAGGAGTGGCGCCAGCGGCATCCGAGCCAAAGTTCACCGAATCGTCATCCATCTTGTAGAGTTCTGAAGGCTCTGGGGATGCGAGATGTCGCAAAGGATGTACTTCAGCTGCAGCTCACTGAATTTAAGCAACGGTCGCAGGACACTCCCTAATCAGTGGAGAATGGTTCTGCGCGTTAAGAGGATCCGGAATTGGCGATGTGATGGTTCATCTGCCAACACGTGGGGTGTCGCGATGATTCTGCGATTCGCGGCGCGTGTGATGTTGGATATCTTTTGATACTTTTGTCGAGGTGAACTCGCGATCATCCAGGCGCGACAGGCCAAAAGATCGATCAAGAATGGTTAGCGTCCTGGTCACGTGCATCTACGTTGGCGCTCGGGATCATGATCAGCCTAACCTCGGATATCGCGTGTGCTTGGTACTTGTTACCCTTGATGATGCCCTTCTGACTCTCCTTCACACATCAATCCTCAAGATGATTTCAAAAGTGGGCCAGTTTGTTTTACGCCAGGCGCGAACTCAATTGGCACCAAGGGCCAGTCCTACGCCTGTTGCTTCACTCTCAGCTCTTGCTCGACTGTTATCCTCACTCGCTGTTCTTGAACAGAGGGACGGCAGACTCAACCATGGCTCATTAGGTGCGGTCACTGCGGCGCAAAAGTTGGGAGGGTCGATTACCGCATTTGTCGCAGGGGGCAATATTAAGGCTGTGGCAGAAGAGGCAGCAAAAGTTGCAGGAATTGAGAAGATTATCGCAGTTGACAATGCGGCCTACGACAAGGTATGGTTTCCGGTATGCTATATCTAGTAATCGTCACCTAACGATATCCTAGGGACTCCCAGAGAATTATGCCCCGCTCCTTGCGGAAAACATCAAGAAGGGAGGGTTCACCCACGTTATTGCTGGGCATACGGCTTTTGGAAAGAACCTGATGCCTAGAGTGGGCGCATTACTAGATGTCCAGCAAATCTCCGACATCACAGCCATCGAGGACGAAAAGACCTTTGTCCGACCAATATACGCTGGAAATGCAATTGCCACAGTCGAATCCTCAGATCCAATAAAGTTAATCACGATTCGGGGTACTGCATTCGCACCAGCTGCGGCCGAAGGTGGATCGGCATCGATCGAAGACGGGGTCGACCCCAAGGCTGAGAGCGCAACAGAATGGGTCTCGGAAAACCTCGCAAAATCAGACAGACCAGACTTGGCTACCGCCAGCAGAGTCGTGTCGGGTGGCCGAGGATTAAAATCAAAGGAGGAGTTTGACCGCATCATGTTGCCATTAGCCGATGCTTTAGGCGCAGCCGTTGGAGCCTCAAGAGCAGCCGTGGACAGTGGATATGCCGACAACAGCTTGCAAGTTGGACAAACCGGGAAGGTTGTGGCTCCCCAATTATATCTTTGCGCAGGTATTTCGGGAGCTATCCAGCACTTGGCAGGAATGAAGGACAGCAAGGTCATTGCAGCGATCAACAAGGATGCCGATGCACCAATCTTCCAAGTCGCAGATGTAGGCCTTGTGGGAGATTTATTTGATAAGGTGCCAGAGCTCACTGAGAAGCTCAAGCAGTAATTTAAATTAAAAATACATGGAATTTACGTTATGATTGCTTATTGTTCAATCAAGAACTGACAGCATCTCTTCTACTTTTGTGAACTTCTCTCTCTCTTTACCGTTCGTTTGACCTTTGGCTCTTTCCGCAGCATCGATTCTTTGCCAGTCACGCCAGGTCACCCTCCTGCAGCCTCGTGCCTCAGCCTCGCCTTTGATTGCATCCCAGCCGAGGCCAGAGCTACCATTTTCTGCGTTCAGGAATGGAGCATGGGAGTGCCAATCATCAGCGATTGCATCCGCTGTTGAGAAGGCATCCTGCATAGTACTTGCAATGACGCCTGTTGGACCCCTTTTTACCCATCCAGCGCAATACAATCCTGGTAGGTGTTTTGCAGATCCGGAGTCCTCATCGGCCTTGATCACACGCCCAAACTGGTCATTAGGTATGATGCCTAACCTGTCATTGAATGGGATGCCCAATTCCGAGAACCCAGGTAGACTCTCTGACTTGTATCCTATTGAGCGGAAAGCTACCGATGAGGGAATGTTAATGATTTCGCCAGTGCCACTAGCTTTAGCAGAAGGATCGAAGGAATCCGGAACCAGTTTGGTTTTCTCGAACGAAACCCCTCCTAGCTGAGACTGGGACGTAGAGCTTGGATTGAAGCTCGCCGGGGAAAGGCAAAAGTCAAGTGACCATGACTTAGCCGCTGATGAAACCGAAGCACTTGATCCCTTCAGGAGAATTTCCATGATACGTCGAGGTGCTCGGGGTAGCTTTGAGATGTCTTCTGGCAGCAGTGATGAATCAATAGGATGGAATGCAACAGTTGGTAGTTTCACAAGCTCTCGGATCTCCTTGATCGTGAACGCAGCCTAAAGAGCTGGTTAGCAGGAAACAAGATGTGGCTGATCGAGCGAACCTGTAAAGGGCCTCTCCTTCCTACAACTCGCACTCTCTTTATTTTGCTTTTCTTTAGAGTCTCTATTGCGTTCGTGGTGATATCAGTAGATTTCAGAATATCTGGATCTTGCAAAAGGATTCTGGCCACATCAAGAGCGACATTTCCCTGTCCAATAACTACCGCTTCATCCCCTTGGGTAAGATCCGGCTCCAAGTCTGCGTATTCGGGAAGACCATTGTACCATCCAACAAAAGCACGAGCTGAATATACGCCTTTCAGTTTGTCTTCTCCAGGGATACCTAGATTTCGATCCTTTGATGCTCCGTATGCAAATAATATCGCATCGTAGTGTGGCAAAAGAATGTCTAATGGAAGGGCTCGTGAATGACTCCCAATGGACACGTTCCCGATGTAGTTGAACCTTGGAGACTCTGCGACTTCTTCGAATTTCTCCTGGCAATTCTGCGACGGCAAATTAGTGGCGCTTCAATTCAAGTTCGAGAACCAGTAACGCTACCTTGACTTCAGGATGGTCGGGAGCTACACCAAACCTGACCAAACCATAAGGCACGGGCAGGTATTCATACATATCAACTATTGAATTCTGTATCTTCGACATGACCTTGTATGCGGTATAGAAGCCCGCCGGACCGGACCCGATGACAGCCATCCGGAATGGCCGTCCATCTTCAACTTGAGGTTTCGAAGTATATGCTCGAAGTTGCCGGGTGAAATCAGCTGTAGGAGTGCGAGGCCGCCTCGTTATAGAGTTGGCACATCGTGTGCAAACCCAGCGTCGCGGAAAAATGTTCATTGTCGCGTTGTACCCACGTCATTTGAGGCTCTTCGGACTTCTTTATCGCGGAGGCCAATACAGTTGCTGGGCCAACCGGACCCTTGTCTCATTGTTGTCATTCCCTGTACGACGGGGGAGCATCCCTGGTTGATATTGATGTTCGTACAAAAGACATCGTCACGTATTCCTGGTCGGCCTGCTGAAGCTTCCCAAGCTGAGGCAGTTCTTCCTTTGTTCAACGATGGGTGTCGACCAGCCTTTCCTTTACGATGCTGTCAAGCAAGACAACTCTCTTCCTTACAACAGCTTCGATCCCAAGGCCGTCACACGCGCAAGCTATGCTCCCAAACCCCCGCGACCAAAGCATGAGGGGCCGTTAATCTCTTTCAATCAGCATCCAGAGTATGTTGACGATAGCTTCAAGTCTCAAGGAGGCAACGCTAACTACTACATATAGCTCCTATTTCATCCTCCCGTCAGGAAACACAGATGTGAAACCGATGGACCCCTCCGTCAAGAAGTGGATAAAATGGATGAGAATAGTTCAACTGGTTTTGAGATGTTTGGAGTTATTGTGCTCAGTGGGATTACTGGTCATGATGATCCTGATTAGAAAAGTCGACGCCTCTACGGGGTGGATTTTGAGAGTAGTCGTGAGTTGTGGTCGGAACGTTGTCCATTCGGAAAAGGTGCTGACCTGCTTCAGCCTGGCATTGCCATTCTCCACACAGTCTACGGTGTCTATCACCTGGGAAGGAAGCCGTCTGGAAGAACCCCAGCATCATCTGCGTCCTATATGCTATTCGCAGCTTTCTTCGACATATCCATTGTGCCATTTTATGTCTTCGGCGCTCTGGTTTCGAAGACTCAGGAATCTTCATGGACTACGGTCCTTTCTAACCAGGACCTTGAGCCTATACTTGCTACGGTGGTCTTCTATTTAGCAACTGTAGGCGGCGCATTCTACTTCATATCTTTGGGGGTCTCTCTATATCTTGCTGTCACATTCCGCAAGATCACGAAGCTTCCTCCTGACATGAACCCACTGGAAGATAACCTCACATCTCGCCATAAGCGCAACAAGTCTTCAATGTCTGTGGCTACAACTATGTCAGAGAAACGTCTTACTTCTCCCTTGGAAAGCAAATACAGTTCGGGGGCAGCATACGAAGACCTCTCCCGACCACCCACAATACCCTTCTTCCATACCCGTTCTGGCTCTGTCGACTCCTTCTCAACCTACAAAGCAACACCCCCACCATCCCGAGATGCGCGTCATGATTTACCCAGCCTGAAACACCAGGTCACTTCCGACTCAGCTCGCTCTTCTCGCTCTACCAATGATCTGAAGCGGAAGTCTCAAGGATCCGCACCTCTCAACCGCGGCTCTTATACCGAGGTCCCCCTTTCCGACAACAGCTCGCAACGCTCCCCTCGCAAGATCGGGAATATCCAAGAAGCCTGGTTCACGGCCGACTCTCTGGCCACCACCAAGCGGAGCCGGTCCGCGTCCCCCAAGAAAGCCAGCTACCAGCCTCTGCACCAACGTTACGACTCGGACGATCTCTCATCGCGACACGCGCAAGCACTAGAAGAGGACCTCCACACACCCTCACCCCTCTACGAACTTGACCGCGAATCCCCGCTCACCGAGATCCGCAACAGCAGCGGCGACATCGCAGACCTATCTCCGCAAGTGAGCGAGAAGCCATCGATCCGCGAATTCAAAGCGAAGGGCTACGGTGAGCTGAAACCGGGAACTCCGCCCATCATGATTGGCGCGAGCAGACAGGTATCCTCGGGGATTGATTTTCCGAAGAAGGGAGGCTTTTGGGCGAAGGATAGAGATGTGAGTGGGAAGCTTGCGGAAGAAGGTCGAGGAGGCGATGGGAGTGGATGGGGAGCACGGTTTAGGAAAGTTAGTGGGAGGTAATTGGATGGATGCTATTAGACATCTTTTGCATGGTTTTGATACATGTTTTTTTTGCTTTTTACTTTGTTTAGCCGGCGTTATATCGTGCAGGAAGCAGGAGCTTTATGCTAGGGGTTGGTTTGGTGTATCTTGCGGTTATGGTTTTAGATGGTATCTGGGATTGGAAAATGAGAAATGTTAATACCTTGGGAGCGTCCCATCCCCTCCAAACTCCAAAATATTGCTTCTCAAGGTGACGATGATAATGATCCAGACTCGACCCTATGTTTCCTAATATATGCCGCCCAATCAGTAGTAGTAGTTGTTGTAGTCCTCCCCCCTCCCCTTTCCCCATCCAAAGAAGAAGCGCCTTCTTCTATCCAACCCATATGATCCCAAGCTTCCAAACCACATAGATGTCTCATGGTCGGTCTTCCATGCGGGCAATTCCACGGCTTATCCAGCTCTCCCAAATGCCTCACAACCTTGCCCATCTGCTGCATTGTCAGAGTCTTCCCGATCATAATACTACTTCTACAAGCCCTCATCGCGAACATCTTCCTGACTTTCGAAGGTCTCGGCACCGCTATCGAGCCAGACGGTTGTTCCGCGAGGAGCGCGAGCAGCTCTTCGAGATCCGGGAGCGAGAATGTCGTCTCGCGACTCAAGGGGAGGCTGACGAGTTGGCAGCGCTGCCCGACGGGCATGCTGCCGCTGGAATCGACGCTGACAATGAACCCGTTGCTTTCTAGGGCGGGCTTGTTCTCCATGACGATTTCCTCTTCGAGCGCCGTGAGCTCGAGGGTTTTGGGCTGCACTAATCGCTGCGATTGCACGATGGTCGTTGATTGCAGACGCTCGAAGTTGTATTTCTCGTCCGACGCGTGCTGGTCAATGATAAATATCTCGTCGCCTCCCCCGCGGGACGCCTCCGAGGAGCGGGAGGCCAGGATAAATCCAAGGTTGAATTGGCCGATGATTTTCATCTTGGCGAAATCGCTCTTGGAGATGGTTAAGGAGAGCTTCTCTTCCGCTTCTTCGGAATCCAGAGTGGCATTTCCGGCTTCCGCAGCTGGTGATTGGCGGTAGGTGCTTAGAGCTTCATCCAGTGTACGAAGTTGCTGGGCAATCTTTGAGGTACTGGTTTCCAAAATTTTGACAAGATTCAAAGTCATATCTTTTTTTCGTCCGCCTCCTTTGAGGAGGGCTTTAGCCCGCATGACATTCTCCTCTGACGGCTGAGCGGATGCTTCCTCGGCAGTCTTGATCATCTCTTGGACTTTTGCCTCTTCTCGGGCTTTCTTTTCGTCTTCATCGACATATTCATCGTCATCATCTGGAGCTTCAAAACCAGGCTGAGAGGATCGGGGTTCTTCTTTAATCGCAGCTTGACTTGACAAAGGCTCAGCGATTGTCTCATCATCCGCAGCAGGTTCGGATTGCACGGGGAGATCCACCGAACCAGGAGAAAGAGAAGAATCACGAGTTTCATCTTCAATTTCCTCGGCTTCGCTTTCATCTTCCTCGTTTTCCTCTTCTTCGCTTGATATAGACTGCTGGGTTGTACCAGGTGCCGCAAATCGCTGGCTGAGTCGACTCCCAAACGAGGGATGAGGGCGCTTGGGTGTTTCCGCTCGACCCCTTTTGCGAGAAGTACTAGAAATACTATCGACCCGTGGTCTCTTGGGGTATTGTATCCCAATAGAGCTTGTCACGGTATGGTCGCCAATAGTGATAGTGGCCAACTCTGCAGGAGCACGCTGGGACCTTGCGCTGCTTGAGAATGAATTTGAAACTTGGGAGGATGGTTTCACGGGTGACGGAAGAGCAGGAATTGGCGGCTCCGAAACTCTAGGACTACTCTCTTGGCTGTGGGCATCCCCTGTTTGCTGTTCAGCAATCTGTTGATCGGTGTCCGCGACAGAGAAAGATGATCTGGGGGAGTGAGCATGAGACTTCTGGCTGATGGTAGGTGAGCCATCTTCAGCAGCGTCCTCTGCTAAGACTTGTCCACTCTCTTCACCTAGCTTCTCAGAATCATCCTCTGCGGAAAGACCAACGGAACCCTGATTATTAGCCTTTGAAGATTGAAACTCTGGTCGGTTCTCAGTCTTTCTGCTCATCCAGTTCGAAATCAGACTAACAGCCTCGCGATCGCGATTCATGGAATCCCTAGACACTGCACCCCTAGTTTTAGAATTTGACGTCTTGTCTGAAACTCTTTCTTCGCCCTCCTCTCTGCTAGAATCTTCAGAGCTATCTTCGCGCTCGGTGGGTTCAACCGGCATCCTTGGCATCTGGGAAGAGACGGTGTTCTCGCGACTAATCGTCAACTGCTTGTAGGATGGCAGCTTCTGCGCGGGTAGTTGCGAGACAGGTACCGTATATTCCTGTGATTCGAAAAGAGCGATGAGAGCCGTCTTCAGATTCTCCAACATACGGGTTTGGTCGTGGAGTAAGATAGTCCGCTTATCAGGACTGACGTTGACATCATATAGGTGAGTGTCTAGTTCTATATTGGCAAATATAAATGGCGATTGTGAAGCATTGTATGCCTTGTAGACTTCGTTGAAAGCCTTGGAAACTTGGGGTAGCCCACAAGGCCTTGCGTTGACGAAGAACATTTGCCTATCAGGAGTCTGTCGTCCTTCGCCTGATACAGGGCGTGAGATATGGCCAACGATGCGAACATCCTTCTTTCCTCCATCTTCCTGCGTGCTCCGCCGTTGGCTCGGACCACTGGTTGGCTCTAATTCCAGTGTCAAATCGAGAGGCACCAAGGCCGTAAGGGTCTTTGCTCCGAAGACGTTGGCGATGTTGTCCCTGGTTGTCTGATTGCCCTTAGTAGAGAATAAAATCGTCTTCTTCCCTTTGGCAGCCTGCTGAGAAACGGAAAACTTAATGCCGGTCTGAATGCAAGCATATTGGCCCAAGACACCAATGACCCTGCTCCATTCCCTTTTGATATTTCTCTCGAGCTCTCTCCTCCTAACAGGAAGATTGTTGAAGAGGTTTTCCACTATCACCGTAGTCCCCTTCTGCGCAGCGACGGTGCTCTTCCCCTTCAATTTCCCCGATACCTCAAACTCGAGCTTCGTGCCCTTCGGCGCATCCCGCGCCATACATGTTATAATGGAGAAACGCGACAGCGCGCAGAGCGAAGACAAAGCCTCGCCGCGAAAGCCGAAAGTCTGAAGAGTCGCGAGGTCGGAATAGGTCGAGAGTTTGGACGTGTAGTGTTTCAGCGCCACGGTCTCGTAATTATGCGGCGAGATCCCATCGCCATTATCTTGAACCTCGATGGATTCGAGCCCTTGATTTTTGAATCGCACATCTGTGTGGCATATTGCATTAGCACGTATACCTATACAAATCTCAAGGCTGCTGCTGCTGCTGGAATATTCACCTATATTCGTCGCCCCCGCATCAAGACTATTCTCAACCAGCTCTTTCACCACGGAACAAAGATCAACGATGACCTGACCGGACTGGATTTGATGCACCTATTGATTTCAGAAGCGTTAGAACGAGAGCGAGAGCGAGGTTCACGCAGATAGCATTACCGTCCGGCCTTCTATGGGTTTTATGGTGGCCATAGCATGGCGGCTTGAGGAATCGCGATCTCTTGGGGAGAGAGACGCGAATTGATGGATCCTGAAGTCAGCCTCGCGTCGGACGCAACGTCACTCACAGCCCATTCACCATTCAACCATTTCTCAGAACATCAAAGTATATCCCTGGCGAGTCCTTGGACGTGGATCTCTACCTGGATTTCATTACCTGCCATTATATTCTCTAGTTCTACTTCTCAGAATAACTAATGCCTGGATCGCCATCCAAACCCAAGTGGAAAAAGCAGGCATCAATACTAAGTGAGGTACATGATCCATGGATATAAGGCGTTGAACATTGGCTAATAGTGCTATTTTATCGGTTTCTTCTCCATTCTATATCTATATCTAAGAGCTACCTAGGTCTCTTGATCCTCCCGCTATGGTGACTGGCTGTATCGAGGCACTGTGCCTAGTGTTTCCCATACCAATTCTCGTATGCTTCTCGAGATGTTATCAACAACAATACCCTATCCTCAAATGAAAATATGTAAGAAAGCCATATTATTATAGGCTAGTTTACTCTATTGTTAAAAGAAAGTCAATGACTAAGAATAAAGATGATTCACTACAAGTGTTATAGTTAAATCTTATATTCTAAATTCTGAGTCCTTCTACATATGCTCCCCCTTTTCTCAGGAGCGGGGAGGATGAAATGTTTCCTTTTTGTCAGAGGGCTTCTTCAGTCTAGCTTGATTTTTTCAATAACTCCTTAAGCAAGGTCGCCACACCAAGCACTTTTTCCTCCTCCATCCGCCGACCAACAACCTGCATTGTTATAGGCAATCCTTTATACACGTCGGGTTCATAAATGCTTCTGATGTGTCTATCTAGATCGCCCGTCACCTTCGGAATCTCTTTCCCTGCGGCATCCAGTTCCTCTCCCAGATCAGCTTTGTGCAGCTCGGGATCAACAAAGCCCACCGGCACCGTACATGACGAGAAGTCTAGCACGTTTACAGTACCCGTGTATCCTAAATATCGTGCTTTGGCATAGTGACCATGTCGCGGAGCAACGGCCGGATTGACAGGCGTGAGATAGACATCCATCACATCCTCGGAAGTTCCGACTTTGGACGTCTTCTTCCACTGCTTCAGAATTTCCGTTTGGAAGGCGAGTCGCTCACATGCCAGGGACCAAGACTCAAGTAATGTGAGAGGCGGCGCAGCAGAGGCGTTGGTTAGGAGGTTCTGAGCAGGCTCGCCGGAAACAGCACGCGATCGATCGATGTCACCATTTGCATCAGACGCAAAGACTCTGGTTAGAATCGAAATAGCGGCCTTTTGGTCAATCCTCCAGGGGATCACTTCGTGCCCTGCAGCTTTTAGTACTGCTTCCAGTTTTTCCATACCCCAGCGAATGGGTGGCTGTGGGAATATAATTCCATCCCAATGCATGATTCCGATTTTCAGTTTCCTGCCCGACGTAACGGATCTGAAGATCTCGTCACGCCAGGGTACTGGCTGGCACTTGGGATCTGAAAGCCACGGTTCGGCGTCAGCGACGGTCTTGGTGAAGAGGACCAGCGAGGCTGGTGAACGTGACATGGGTCCGACAACCGAGGCAACCGTTTCTTGTCCTTCCATGGAGTTTAGTATATTGCTGTACGGGATCCGGCCGGATGATGGTCTCAGACCCCAGAGGCCTTGATATGCTGAGGGGCTATGAGAAGTCAGCATGATTATAATTCGGTACTTTCCTTTTCCCCTTCCTCTCTCTTGCTGCGCGAAGAGAACTTCATCACTCACCTCCTAATCGACCCCCCTATATCAGAACCTATACCCATAGGACTCCCACAAAAACCAATCAGAGCGCCCTCCCCACCACTCGATCCCCCACACGAGAAAGAGCGATTGAACGGATTACTCGTAGTTCCGATGATATTATTCACAGTCTCTCCCCACATACACCCAATACTCAAACTCGTCTTGACAAACACCACCGCGCCCGCCTCCTGCAAGATGCTCACCAACAAGCTATCCTCCTCATCCTTCTTCCCCAGGTTCCCCACAAACCCACACGTCGTCTCCGTGCCCACCACCCTCACCTGATCCTTCACCGACACCGGCAACCCATGCAGCGGGCCCGTCGTCCTCTTCCCATTGCTCTCAAACTCCCGATCCAGGGCTTCGGCCCGCGCCAGCGCCGCCGCGTACGGGAATTCCAGACAGCAGTTCAGCAGCTGGTGCGCGATGACCGCGCGGTGCGTGTACGCGTTCAGCACCTGCACGCTGCTGAAGCGGCCCTGAGCAATAAGATCTAGGAGTGCCGGAGCATCGAGGCTCGTGATGAGAACTTCTTCTGATGTGAGGTATTGGGCGGCGAGCGAGTGCACGGGGGATGGGTCGGTGGTCGAGTGGGTGAGGTCGCTGTGGATGTATTGCGGTGGTACGGAGGTTAGGATGCGTGACTTCTTGTCGAGGGCGCGGGCTTCCCAGGAGGGGAGATCGGTGGTGACTGTCATGCTTGTTTTGAGAGTGGGACCTCAAGCTTTGCTCTGTGGTATGATATGGTTCGTAGTTGAAGGAGGGGGAACGGAGGAGCTGTATGAAAGAAAGAGTATTCCCTCGAGTGAGAGGTGATACTATGTAAATGGAAGTAAAGAAGTCACAATCAATCACCTACTCATGCACAGTCAAAGAGCAAAGAAAGATAAGGAGCGCGCATATCCCCTTATCCGAGACCTATGTGATAAACTCACCGGACCCCATCTTCAAGGATAGGTATCTTGCTCCTGTAGGAAACTGCAGACAGACAGTGGGAGCCTGGGAGGTCGTTCCGTAGATGGATGACAAGAGCCGAGAGTGGGGGATTCGAGAAGCGCGCACGTGATGTATAGATACCGGAGTAGGTAAAAAGGCGGGCCCATGGGCTAGATAATAGAAAGACCCGCTCGCCCCATCTGTAGGAACTCCCTTTCATTTTATCTCGTAGGGCAGTATTATTCATGGCCGGAGTAGTCAAGTAAGCATGCTCATCACTGAAGATTGAGAGTTGGCGCTCGAGAACTTGAACCCAGGTACAGCCGCTTGGGGAAACGAGCGAAGTTGCTGAATTAAGATCGTCGAAAACGAAAAGTTTAGAATTTCCTACTTTCATCATATTTCTTTTTTTTTCTTTGTCCTTTTCTCTGCAAGCCTCCCGAAGGATCAAATAGCTCGTCCACCATCAATCTCCAAACAAGTGCCGGTGATAAACTTCGCTTCGTCGCTTGCCAGGAAGAGGCAGTAATTGGCAACGTCTGAAGGCTGGGTCAGCCGCCCAAGTGGGACATTAGATACGAATTTCTTCACGTTCTCTTCCGTGTGCGGCACGCCGACAAACGTCTCGAAGCTATGCCATGTCAGCCGCAGTTTTTGAGAGGGGGACCAGAAGACTCACAGGCCAGTGCCGCTGAGAAGGGGGCAGACAGAGTTGATGCGGATGTTCTTCTCGCCGTATTCCGCAGCGAGGCCTTTGGTCGCGTTCGTCACGGCGGCCTTGCTGGCATTGTACCAGACGAGGCCGGGGCGAGGCCTGACGGTTCCGATGGATGCAATGTTGATCATGGACCCGCCTTCGCCCTGGTTGATGAGATTGGGGATAAAATGTCGGGAGCACTAGATGCTTGTCAATATTGCGGATTCGGAATAAGGGGACTCGTTTGGCCACTGAGGGCGGCAGAAAGAACTCACATGGAAGATGCTCTTCACGTTCACACTGAATACCTTGTCGAATTCATCCTCAATAACCTCCAGTGACGGCTATCCAGCATCGAGTCAGCCGCCCGATCGATACCTTCTCACCCATTCTCCCCGGGAACAGCGCCACTCACCTTGTTCCTATAGCTCGTGCCCGCATTATTAACGCAAATGTCCAACCGGCCGAACTTGTCGAGCGTGTTCTCAATGAGATTCTCCCAGTCCTCCTCGCGCGCAACATCCATCTTGATGAAATACATGCTCCTCGGGTGGTAGGCGGCGACGCGCTCCCCACCCACAGGGTCTATGTCGGCGACGACTACTCTACAGCCTTCCTCGGCGAAGAGCTTGGCGATGCCTTCGCCGAAGCCGCTGCCGCCGCCCGTCACGATGGCGACTTTCCCGGCGAGGCGGCTGCCGAGGACTTTCGGCTCTGTGACCATCTCTGCCATGATCTCGGCCATGCTCGGGAGGGGTTTGTTGTTGAGGGGGTCTTCTCTGAGGAGAGAGAGGCAGGTAGGTAGGTGATGGAGAGCTTGGATGGGTACAAGGAGAAGGAAGGGTGGAATCGCAGGACTTGATCAAGGTGGGGAATGGAACTTGTGGAGATGCAGGCCGTGGATATCACGAAGATGCGAGAGGCAGAAATGGATAGTTACGATCATGAAGAGGATTGATGATGGAGAGACTTCCCCCATCCGCCCGATGATTAGTCCCTGGCAAAGAAAGTGGCATGAGGGGTAAGGCATCACGTGAGTGCGGGGGAGCTTGCCACGACGACGAATGAGACTTCTCATCCTCCCTTACTTACAACCTTGGACCGCACTGCCCGAGGTCGATTCCGGGTATTTTATGAAGTTTGGGTTTATACTGCAGCACTGTCGACTGCAATGGTACCTTGGTTGACATCGATATCGCGGTTAAAGACGAGGTCAATGAGGGCGAGGGTCCAAGCTCCTGCACGCTACTATTAATAGTTCACGGGTATGTGCAGACTTCCAGAGCTTGGCCATCTTGGGGTGTAGTGCATATCTGGGTATATCGACATATGTGAGAGACGGAGAGAGTGCTGCAGGACAGTCCGTCCTTATACTGGGAGTCTTCCATGTTTGAACAGAGGGCGATCAAAACTGGAGCAGGCCTCACGTGCGAACACAGCCGGCAGTTGACGGGGCAGGCTACCTGGGTAAGGTACCTTACCTACCTACGGGACAGTGGACACCGTACGCTGGGCCGAGGCTCAATTGACAGTTAGCTGACTGGACATGTACGCATAATAAGAATAAGAATAATGCAAGTAATGCATGTAATAATCAATGTCACTAATGAGAAAATAATCCCGGCCTATTACCACCACTGGTCGCGGGCCAGTGACCATCTGGGTGACGTGATGGAACGGCGGCCAGAAGGGGAGGCTTGAGCTGAGGTAATCATGGCTTTACCGTTGGACAGTTGGACTTGTGTTTAGAGTATTTTAGAGTTTCCGTTTTACCAGTTTAGCGTTTAGGTACGGAGGGTTATTGTTGTTCGGCCTCATTTCTGCTCCGTTTCCACGGGCGAATATCTGTCTCAAGAAACAGAGATCCATTCATATCTAATCAGGATTATGAATAATACCACTATAAGAGATTAGAATGTACCTGGCAAAGAGAAAGACAACCTCCTTTCACGTGAGAGATCAATAATATGGAACCCGTTCCAGCCTCCTCCTCGTGCAGATCCTGGGTGGATTTAGGTAGACTTGAAGAAAATGGACCTCCACACAGTCCACACACCGGCGCTCTCGACTATTATTGCGGCCTTTTGCTTTCAAACTGTTTCTGCACAGCATTCCCTAGCCGGCTCCTGTAGTTGTTGCCCTCCAATGCGGTAACATGGGATGCACATCGCCAGGCCCCCCCGCAGAATGCTTCCATGATTCCATGATTCCACGATCCCAACTTCCAGGGAAGAGGACTCCGTCGGGCCAGAGATGCTACTATGGCATGATACCATCCTGTGCCCTCTGCAGCATAAGCTGGAGAGAGGCCCGGACAACATGGACTTCTTTTATATTACCCTCTTCAGTCCAATACAATACATCATCAATCATCTTGTCTTGTCGTCTTGGCCAGCTCCTGTCCTTCCTTGTCTTGACCAAGGTCTCCCTCGACCGATTCCCTGTCGCTCGCTCCCGCACCCTCGTTGTTGTCGCCGCGTCGTCGTAGGAACACTGCCTCGTCGTTCATACATATCATAGCATAGAGGACTTCCCTTCCCCCCCCC